TCCGGTCACTGACAATGTTAGCAATACTTTCTTAACTTTGCCCACAGGTTCGTTCATCTAAGTGAAATAAAAACAGCTAGATAAAGATGTGACGCTTAAACGTGTTAACTAAAGCTAAATTAACAGAGCATGGTAAAAAAAAGTAAAGTGCTGGCTAGGTAGCTAGCTAAGCTAGCTGCTGCAGTCAGCTAGAATAACAAAACTGGAACCTAACCAGCATTTATGAGTTAGCTGACTTTATCTGGTCTGGCTTTATCATTTTAAGCAAGCTTACAGCATTTTAGGCAGTTTTAACCTTCTAGTTTTGAACTCACCACAAACACTATCACAAACCTTTATTAAAGAAATAAAGGAAAGATATGACTTTTGTCCTCACTGATAAGCAACAATGGGACACATGGTCATGTAAAAGATATACAAAAAGATGTTTAAGTTTAAAAACATTATTAAGTTATTATGTGGCAGTTTTATCTACAAACTTATAAATATCACTTCGGACATTGTCTGCGACTGATTTGGTGGCTCAGTGTTGAGTCAGAGGTGACTTGGGTTTCTGTCTGCTACTCCAAGCCTGTATGAGAGATTAGATTAGCTCCAGGTCAGTGCCATAGCTTTGATGGTTCTTTCTGATGTTCCCTTCATTCGGTTCATGTTTTCTGTGCTGCTGCCTTGAAGCCAGACCAGAGCGAGCCGCCAGTGAGTCAGGCCTCGCTCGCACACTCTACTTCTACTTCTTTCGCTTTGTTTCTGTCTGTGGTTTTGAGACTGAAGTGTGATGTTGTGGTAACGCGACCTCTTCTCAGGCTGCAGGACGGGGGTGGGCGGCCATCTTGTGCAAGTGTGGGGTGTAATTAGGAGAAACTGAGCTGTATTTGGAAAAGCACTCTCCCTCTAAGAAGGCAGCCAAGCCTGGGTGCTGGTTCACAATGAAGTGAAAAAGTGTACAGAGCAAATGGGTTTGACCATCTGGTTGCGTTGGGAGACCAAATAGTGTAATAGATCAGCAAACACTCAATGTCCAAGCTTGTCTAAGTGAGGCAGTGATTTCTGAGTACAGGAATGGAATTGTTACAGAAAGTCAGCGAGAAAGGATAAATACAAATATGTCATGAAGATGTGTTTGTTTAACCATTTCCAAACCTTTCCTCAAGGAATCCCAGTGTTATTTGTAGATGTCATTCAGTACCTGGTTTAACTCAATCCATGCTTCATTAAATTAAATCAGGAGTGCTTGTGATGGAGTGAATGGACTTTGAGGAGAAATTTGGAACCAAATGTTGTTTTTCAAACTGGGTCATGCATTTGGCTCATTACGTTGTTTGCATTTGGAAGTTTATTTGCATTTATTCAAATGATATATGGTGTTTTTACAAGGAAGAGGGAACTTATTACTAAGATAAATGGTTTTCAATGATATACTTAGGTGCCTAAGACTTTTGCACAGTGCTGTGTATGTATGCTCATTTGCCAAAAACCAGCTTAACATGTTTAATGACATCTAGTTTAACCAAAAAGGTTTTTTCTGAAATATTTTATTGATTTGCAGTCATGTACTCTTACTGTGGCATATCACTCTAACAATCTCATACATTGACCACTTTTAATCATCATTCCTGGTCACGTTTTAATGGTCACTCCTAACTAATCATACCTAAATCAGCTTCTGATTTGGTGCACTTTGCCAGTATCTAGTATTTTTCATATGGACTGACGATGTTGATACATAAACTTGTAAAACATGCAGAAATATGTACTACATCTAACTGAATCAAAAGCAAAAGTAATGAAGAATCAGTAAGGTGAACGGTATTGCTGCAAACTTTTTAGTTTGACAAATAAAGCTTCGTAAATGGTTCTTTAACACACACACACACACACACACATATATATATATATATATATATATATATATATATATATATATTTGGTGTATATATATATATAATTGGTATAGAACCTTTAGATCATATCTTTCTGTTCTTTAAACTTAAAAAATAAATAAGTAAATCATTGAAAGGTCCTTTAAGGATCCGAAGCATTGCTCCATAGAACCATTTTTGGCTCCTATGTTGTTAAGAGTTTTTGTTAATGAACGTATTACTGTCTTGGAAAAAAAGTAAATTTTCATGTTTATTTTTGCAGAGTTACTGTTGCTTCCAAATCTTGGCCTGTAGTTAATGAATGTGAGTGTGTGTATATGTGTGCACGCTGCTGCACAGTCAGCTCCTTTATAGACCCCCTGTCTAGTCCACATAGAACAAGGCTCCCCATGGCAAGTAGCAGCTAGCTGTAAGAAAGAGCGCAAATATTGACTTCCTTGCCTCACCCAGAGTGACAGACTGAAACCAGAAGCAGGCAAACCCACCCAGACGAGGTGTCGGCATGTGAACGAGAATGGGACGCCCACAGGGCCACAGCTATTTAAAGCTCATACAGTTGTTAGGACTACTGAGATTGTTCATGAAAACTTGTATCGAAAGGGACACCTATTCTATGTAGACGTTAGAACGTCCATACAGCTCGTTCTTACTTTGGTACTGCAAGTTTGGATTTTTACTGGACCTGAAACTCCCCTTAGGATTGTAAAGCAGGTGTTAACACAGTGGTTCGGCCAAAAATCAAATGTGCACAATTTTCCCCTCAACACAAATGTGGTTGATTAGACAAGACATGTTTAGTGCCTGAAGTTTGCCTCTGTTGTTTTGTGCTGATTCCACCAGGCTAATGTAGCTAACAAGTAATGGAAGTTAATATACCACCGATGCATAACCTGCATAACTAAATCATCACCTTAAACCTTGTTGACTTGTTTGATAATCTCAAATAGACCTGCTTATGTGATTTCTAGCACTGTACACACCTTTTTTGTGTGACTTACTGTAATCTATACTATAATCTATAATACATAATATAATCCATGAAAATGGATGAATGTAGCAAAGCTAAAAACACTACTAGCAGCCTAAAGCCTACATTTTGTGTGTAATTTTGGAGAGTGTGTTATATATGGTGCTGTATAGAGCCATTTTCAAAATTGTTTCACATTCTCCATCGATCTGAAGAACAATTTCACCATGCAAAAAAACCATTTAAGCATGAAATGGTTCTATATAGAACTATGGTTCTAAATAGAACCATAACCTTTACTAAAGGCGCCTTGAAGAACTATCTTTTTAGGTGTGTATGGCTGTAAAAATCAGCAAAATTACAGACAAAATGTAGGCTTTATGCTGCTTAGTGTTTTTCACCATGCTACGTAGTTTTTTCCATTTTTATAGATCATAATTCCTCACATGGTGTCAGAAACTACATAAGCATGTCTATCTGATCTTATAAACTACATAAGCATGTCTTGTTTGACCCACTAGTCCATTTCTACGTAGCTGCATTAGCCTTATTGCGCCAGTGCAAAACTAAAGAAGCAAACTTAAGATACCAAACATGTCTTTACTGATCAACCACTGCCATTGCCGTAAGTAGACTATAATCACTAATATTCTCTTTGCATGTATATGATATACATTTACTGTATCCACCCTGCTTGGGTGGTTGATTTCAGAAGAAATGTCCTCACTTTTGGACATACAGGGTACCACACCCACCTAATTTATGTACCCTGTGTGTGCAAAAGTGACATTTCTGCTGAAATCAAGGGTTCTTTATCCCCTTTTTACTGCAGTAACAGGTTCTACTCTTTTGGGACTGCATTCAGTCACAAGAGCATTAGCAGTGAGGTACTGGTGTTGGATGATTAGTTCTGGATCTCAAACTCCACTCCAGCTCAGCCCAAAGTTATTCAGTGATGATTCATAACTCCAGAGAACACAGTATCACTGCTCAACAGGCCAGTTATGCACTGGTGGGGGTGACCGATTTAGCAGGTTGTCGACTAAGAACTGCTGTGTAAGGAAAAAAAGTGTGTGTTGTTGTAGTCCTCTGATTCTGGTTCCAGTCGTGACTCATCAGGTCAGATTTATGACTTCTTATCTCAAGAATTTTACTTGGTAGGTGGAAATAAAGTTTGAAAAAAAATAGTTATTACTTGTTAAGGAAGTATGTGGTTCAACCTTACTCAGAGAGAATAACACATTATTTCGGTAGAAATGCGAGAGAATAAGTAATCATTTTGACTTTCTGTTTTAAAACATGTGTTCATTTTTGGCTGGCAGGTTGAGCCAAGCTTGAGCTCTGTGCCGAGTGCATTTGGAAAGCATACAATTGTTAAATCCCTGTTTAATTTCACTCGGCACATCCAGCCCGTTTAGGAACTGTATGATATTTGAGCTCAAGGTGAATTTGTGTATTTCTTCAAATCATTTTTGAAGACAATTTAACGTTTTTTTTATTTCCTTCATTAAATTAAGAAAAATGTGACACGGCATATGTTCACAAATCAATTGCACATAAATATTTTCCAAAAAAAAAACACTGCCTCAGTACAAAGCTTTAGTAAATCATAGTGTAGATGAAGAAATATATGAACCTGCTAGTACCATTACCTGATTTTTCCGTATCACACATGTGCAGAGCACTCATGCTCCTGCCCAAACGTAGCAGGACCCTGCTAATGGTGTGTTTGAGTTTCAGAAGAGAATGTTAAAAAACCCACCTCCACATTCATTCACTCCCCACTCATTCACCCCCATTCATTCTCCCGTCACCATTAAAGCAAAGACAACGTGTCCTGATTTGATATTGTTCTTAATTCAAATGGGTGTCTTTTATAACACACACTGTCTATGTGGTTGTCTTATATGTATGTTGCTCTGTGAAGTGTTTTAGAGACCCAAAGCCTCTTTAAACAGATTCCATGTTTTTTGTTGTTTTTCTGTTGTTTTTTAAGGCCACTTGCAGCTAGCTGCAATAAAGGCCCAGAGACGCAGATGGGAAATTGAGCTCATGTGTCTTTGGCCTTAAAATTTGGCTCGTATACCCATAAATCATAAGACAGTTTTCTCTGTGGCTCAGCCTGACAGTGCTTCTCTCTCTTTCGCTTGCAGTTTACTATCGGGTGCTGGTGAACTTCACAGATTCGTTCACGTACGGGCCTGAGCTAGATGACATCTACTCCACTCCTTTCAAGGAAATCTCGGATGCTGTCGTGGACACGGTGGGTATTATCAGGCCTGCATCTTCTAACTTTTGCAGGAGGCACTGGAGGGATTTTAACATCTCTTGTTCTTCAACATGCCATGTCTGTCTCGGACTGTTTAGTGGCCAAGCCCATCAGTTTGATCAGGAGGGTTAGAGCAGGGAAAACACCAAAAATGTGTAGGCAGTGGTAGTCTAGGAACAAAATAGAGAATCATTGCTTTAGATCAAGGCTACCCAAAAAGACATTTCATTTGGCCCACCAGTAATTTACCCTAACCCCACCCTCTCGCCCAATGAGAGAACAAGTAAATTTATATACTATACAGTATACAGTAAAATATATATTTTTGAAGTGTTTAAGTAAGAAAATATATCCCTATCAAGGCACACAGTCATTAGGATGTATTATGATTCAACATTTTCTCTGAGGTTCAAATTTAAAATGACTTTTGGGGACACATTTAAATAAATGTTTTTTAAAAGTAAATTTTATTTAGGAAAAAAACCTTTACATCTGGCTTGCAGGCCAAAGTTGACCCATGACGGTGCTTGATTTGGCCTGCTCAGTTACCCTCACCCAATGAGAGAACAAGCATATTCTTATGCCGTTTGGAGTAATGTTACTCAGATCCTGAGAAGCACAAAATGCAACCAACTTCTAAGACTGAACTTGAGAACTACAGAGGTATAGAAAAATATCTCTGTGTATTTCTTTGAAAAACTGAAAGCAAGTCTCCTGAAAAAAGCTGGGAAGCTGTAATAAAGACAAAGTGTAGACATAATAAATGTTTAGTTGTTCTGTGTTGCTCTTGTGTAATTTTCTGCTTTTTTCCTGAAAAAATATTAGAATTATTAAATTCTGTAGTTTGAAGTGTTTTAATAACAAAATTGCTTGTAATATTATAAAATACATGTGTCAGAACTTGATATAAAACCTGTCTACTTTCCTTATTTGTATATCATTTTGACTTTTTGACCCTTGGCCCACCACAAAGATTGCGCTTTGACCCCCAAGACAAAAGTTTGGGCACATTGATCACTTTTTTTCTTTTCATGGTGGACAGTAGTCGTTATAATAATAAAATAGTGATTGCAGTCAGTACTAAACTGTGAATTGGACTGATAGCAGCAGTTAGACCCACTCCCTCTGTCATAAAGTCAGTTGCTGTGATTGCTGTTTGTGTCTCCCACAGCTCGAGTCGGAATACCAAAAAATCCCAGGAACCCAGACCGTCAATGTCGTCTTCATTAAGTAAAGTTGATTAGTAACTCTTTTTATATTGCTTATTTTGATGACTACAACTTCTGTCTTGACTGACTTCTCTTTATCTCGTCAAAGGAAAATTGGTAGCAATGTGTTTGTGGAGCTGGATGTGGGCTCAGACGACAACAATAACGAGGCACAGATCCGAGACGTTATTTACTCCGTGGTTAGCGAAGGAAGCATCGCCTCCTACGTAACCTCTGTCCAGGGCTTCCAGTTCAGACGCCTCGGAGAACGTAAGTACAGCATACAGTGGCAAAAGCCCACGTTTCTGCAATTATAGGCTGTCCACAACATCATCATCTACAAGAGAATCCCATAAGCGAAGATGCTCCTGATCAGTGTTCCTTATGTCTAATTTAAAGATGCTTCCTTTTTTTTCTTTGCCAACATGTGATTCTTCATTTGAAGGCATTGATGATAAGCTAATGAGTTAAATCAGGTTTGTTGAGCAGGAAAATCACCTGTCCATCTAGAACTCAGAGTATGGGGACATTTAACTTCACAGTGTTTTTAGTGAGTTAGTATGTTTTCTTTGTCACTTTGCAATAACTTAAGGTGACACTGTGGCCAAAATAATTAGAAAAAAGAATTGTAAACATGCTTATTTGCCTCCTGCAGTGGTGCACTGTTCTCCAAAGTGACCTTTTTTCCAGTTTTAAGACTAGAAAGCCCCCCTTCTGATAATGTACCTTGGTGCTGGGAGGAGGTTTTGAAAAACTACAACTGCTTTTTATGTCACTTGGTAAATGCAGAAGGAAAACATAGCTAATGTTAATGCTAGGAAGCTGAATATTTTGTTGCTACTGTATTATTGTAGCAGCTTTCTTTAAATCATCATTGAAATGGAGTGAATGGAGAACTCAAACAACAGAAATATCTCATTAGTTCAAATGGACAACAAGCTAAAAGATAAAGGTAGCCAGTTAGCTGTCTACCTATCTAGATACCAAACCTCAGTGTTTGGCTGATTTTCTCTTCTATCTGAGTAAAGATAGGATAACCGTTTAGTTCATTTGGTTCGATGACCTTACACTAATGCCAGTTTGGTTGTGTTTGTTAGCATATAGATCGGTGGCTGGGCTAGCAGTTGAGTTTTCCAATGATTGTATGATGTATTTCTATAATGGATGCTGGGTAATGAAGTGAGAGAACATTGAAAACATGAAAACAATAAATTGTGAATTCTGTTAAACTGATGAGGCTGAGGAATCTAACGCTTATGCTAATGAGGAGAAACGTATTAAGCTAGGCTGGGATGCCTCGTTAACAGATTAATTATCTGCTTAGATTTTGTCATCTTGACAAAACTGAAAGAACAGCTGCCAAATAGCTACCTTGGGAATAACCCAAGCAAAAGCCATATATTTCTGGCTAGTTATGATGTCATTACTCATCAGCAGACAAACCTTTCAGGTGTTTAACCTCTTTCCGCAGTGGCCAATCCACCGGTGGATTGGTGGAATTGATATGAAAATGTTTAATGAATAAAATTAAATGAAACGATCTTTCTGTATGTCAAAAAATTGTGCACAACTGCCAAAAATAAAAAATAGCATTTAAGCACAATAAAACACTTTTATAAATGTTAAGTTTGCTCCCCTTAAAACAAGCAGAAATGCCATTTTATGGCTACTGTGAAAAAGGGTTAAACCAACTTTGGGTTCAATAGGTTGGAAAGGAAAACTCTTCATACCAAGAATTTATGATGAACGCACTTGAAGTATCAGCTCAAAGCTGTTTCATGTTAGCCAGACCCAACAAACCTAGATATTTTTCACGTATGTGAGACATAACAGTGAAAATCAAACAATACTCTTTCTTTATGAAAGAAGCCCAAGTGTCCCCAAACCTTTGATGAGCAGTGTACATTTGATGCAGTCACAGTGGTCTTTCTGAGGTCATGCAGAGAGTGTTATGGATCATTTCTGTGTCTGGTTTATAGCTGAAATCCCCCCCACGCACCGGCCAGGTTTGTACTGTGCCATGCTTGCTGCATGGAGCCTGTGGAGTGCAGTCGTTCTCACTTCTCAGAACCTTTGCAAGGACACCTCAGAGAATGTGATGGATTTGACAACCTTCTCATGCATGTTTGCACCCACATATCTTAACTGTTGTTGGATGAGAAGACTGAGATGCTTTGCATGCTTGGCTTCATGGCCAGTGATGCCGAATCCCATGAATGCAGCTCTCCTGTAGTGTTCTGAAGTGTGATCATGATAGACTGTATCTTAAGTAGATAGCAAAGCATGTCAAATTGCTTTCTCCCTGATGACTGTGATCCATGTAGCTGTGTGGGATTGTATTGTTCCTCTTGTATGATCTGCTAGAAAGAGACTGCATGTCTTGCGGCAAAGGTCAGAGTGCTTTCCTGGAAATGAGAGAGAAAACTAAGTTGTTTTCAATTGTATGGAAGGGTTATCTGCTTCATATCATAAAGCTAGAGATAAAGTGCCTTTTCTCCGCAGTTGGAGGTGGGTAGTGAAGCCTAAACTCATACATAAGTAATATATTATAATTACATGTAGACAATGACGTAATGACTCAAGTAGAAGGAAAAGTATTAGGACGAGTGGAAAAGTAGCACGTCAGAAAACTCCCTCTAGAACTGAGGAACATCTTAGCTTATCAGGCGTCTATCAGCATTGGAACTGAAGTTTTTTTAGATGCTATGATTCTCTTTTCATGGTCGTTTTGGGCTACAATAAACCACTGAAGCTCAAAGATGTGAGGTATGACCAGCAGCAAAGCAACTCAGGTGCTGAACCAGAACAACAGATCAAACCCATGAAGGGAATTAGGAACTCAGCGAGGAAGTTTACATGTACAAAATTATCTGATAACCACTGAAAATCAGATTTTGGCAATAATTCATTCAACACATTTACAAGCACTTCAGTAATCTGATAATGAGAAAGCTCCGGGTCTATATGAGTCACTCGGTAATCAGATCTCCTCCTAAAGATGCAACACGCACCTCCGCTGTTGCTTAGCAGTTTGCAAATAAACTCACCAGAGAAGCACAGCATATGATTATTAAGCTTCTTTTCCTTTTTAAAACGGAATTCCAAGTCAGAATTGTTCACTGTGGTGTTGATAGGAACGAGACGTCTGAAGTGTTTAATGCTCCTAAAAGTTGCATCACTGAACATTATTACACAAAATGGTTATGGATACATTGCCTGATGCATGAGACTTTGCTTTACAATATGATATAAGAAAATAAGTTTTGATATAAGGTTTTGGTATAAAACATTTTTTAAAATGCATCCAAAATAACCAGAGAAAACGTAGTTTGTAAGATTTATCACCATTCTGTTTTATATTAATATAACTGTTATATCTCTGCCGTGAGAGCGAAACATCATATGTCCATTTGTCGTTTTTGTTTGTTTTTGACGTAGTTTGAAAAAGCCTGTTGCCTTTTATAGTGTGTACGTTTCACGATGACTGGACCAAAAGAAACAGCCCAAAACTGCTTGGAAAAACTGGTTCCATTCAGTTAGATTAAAAGGAAAGTAGTTTTTTCCTTCTCCTGTAAAGTTATCATTTTGGAGATATGAGGTTTTGTTCCGACAGCAGTGATGTACTTTATATACTTCTAAAAAGAGATGGGTAGGTGGTTTGAAACAGTACCCCTGGTTCCTATCACCACCATGGTAAACAAAACAGAGCTGGTTAATTTCTCTTCAGTGAACTATTTCACATCAAACCACTCCAAACAACTTTGTGTACATCTCAACCATATTGTTATGCAGAAGTTTTGAAAAATCGGTAGGTTTTTTCTTTTAACATGGAGTCCTTTTTTTTACTTTTATATGGTTCCAAATTGCACATAATGTGGTCATTTATCACCATTTCATGTTTTAGCGCTAAAAAAAAAGAATTTAGTGTTTACTGTTGCTACTGGGAGATTTTCACCATCTGCACAAATGTAGGGAAAAAAAATCAGATAAATGGTATACATTTATGTTACACAGCTTACTGAGCTAAAATCCAACTTTCTTTATTAAATTTCTTGAAATTTTACTGCTGGTTTAGTCCAGTGTAAGAAAGTGTGCTGTTTATATGACCAGTTGAATAATGGAATAACTGCCAAAATCAGATAATGATCATATTATTGGTGTGAAAAACTAAAATAGGACTGAGTAAAACGTAAATTACTTCACACATATGCTTGAGTAGGAGTAAAATATTATAAATTGAATGTACAAACCTATCAAATTTTTACATACGTGACCTGAACTTGTAGCTACCCACCTCTGTCCACGGTACGTTTCACCTGAAACTGGTTCTCAGTGTTTGGAAATCTCCTAAAGTTTGCCATATCTGACTGTTTGCTTTGTGAGCATGATGCTCTGCTGCTGGATTACTTAATGAGTCTTTTTCCACTCACGTTCACTTTCTCCAACCCTGTTAGAGCCGGGAACTTTGCAGTCCTGTTTGGCGGATGAGTTCGCCTGTAATAACGGAATGTGTATCACTCTGGACAAGGTCTGTGACAAGAGAGCCGACTGTTTGGACATGAGCGATGAGGAAAACTGTGGTGAGTAGGAACACACTGTTTGGATTTTCTCCACTCAACTGTAAACTTCAAGGCCTGTATTTAGTTCATCACTCGCATAACCACATAACCAACATGTTAGCTCACAAAAATTCATAGAAGTTACCACCAAAAAATTCACAAGACTTGTACATAAATAATACTGAGCACTTATTGCAGTTTATTTGGATAGCAGAAAACGCATAACGGGTGATGATGAAAAGTTGTTTTATTGCAAAAACAATAGAATTTTGCAAACTCTTACAGGTCACATAAACGCACTCAACCAGTCACCTTTGTCTCTTTCTTTGATGTAGTCTTGTGAGGCCAGACATGGTCTTGTATGAGAGTATACATCAGAGGGCAAACTTTTGGTGCTGGACTACAGTGAAATCTGCTGCAAACAAGGCCTTCTCTAAACCCTGGTCCCAAACTCCTCTCAGCCATACTTTTTAAACATCCACAGTACAATCAATAACACAAACAAAACAAGACAGCGAGCAAAGTGATGAGTTTCCCTGGCAAGAGTATCAATAACAATTTTTATTTAATTTTCAATTATGAAAAAGAGGAAAAAGAGAAAACAACAACAAAATAAATAAATAAAAAAATAAATAAAAAATAAATAAAAAAATAAAAGGAAAACAAAACTCAAAATAAAAACCAAAAACAGAGGAGGGTAAGAAACTACAGAACCACCCCTCTAACCCATCCCACTAACAACAAGAGACAGCTTGCTAGACATAATGGTGGACATTCTAGACATTCCATTCAAAAACAAACACGTATAAATAAACGTAGCCATCCGTCTTCATAACATTGTCAAGTACAACATCTCGGCCAAACCTGAGCACATTCAACAATTTCACATATTTGATGTGGAAGACTGGAACGGAATGGAGACCAGGTGCGCTCCAATTCTGTATTATTACCTTTAATTCTAGCATATAAGCGCTCAAAGGGAAGAATTTTCATAATTTCATTATGCCAAAGGTTAATAGTGGGTGGCCTGTCATCCATCCACTTAATTAAGATATATTTACGAGCAATGAACAATAATTTGTAAGTGAGCTGGATCTGACAAGATGCAAGCTTAGTCTCATCCTTAACCATTCCAAGCACAAAAAACCAAGGGTCGCTCTCTATGTTGCAACTGAATATCCTTTCAAGCTTTAATTTGATCCTATTCCAGAAGGAGGCCTGGCAAGAGTTTTTAATGTTTGTTTATTGCACATGTAATGTGTTCTCCACATATGTAACGCACCTCTACATGCTTTGAGTCTTTGGTGCAACTTTTTAGCCATGCTAACTTACGTTACATTAATGGGTTAGGGACAGGCTTGTTGACAGTGTTGACAAGTACCATTACCCCCTGCCTTTACAAGGCATTGGATGAGTTGACAATCCCACCTGCTCTTAACTCAGTATTTCTCATGGCTGTCCTTAGATTGTTATGAGATCACATCTGGTCCCTGCAAGACTAGCATTGGCGTTCCAGTTGAGATAACAGATCGGTTTTGTCCCTGTCATCTCCAAAACAGCTCAAATGGCTTTATAGACATCCGAGCTATGCGTTAAACTTATATGTTCACTTAAAGTTTCAGCTCCTGGGTGGAGATGCTACTTTAGCTTTTCCAAAATAGAATCTTTTTTCCCAATGCGAGGCGACCTGCCCAGAAAAACATGGAAACATGTATCTAGTGTTTGGTGAGAAACGATAAATAATTCTGCATGTAATTTTCTCAGTGGAGGAGGAAGAAAAACATGGAAATGTCCGATCATAGACAGCAATAAAATCGCTGTTGAGCACCTGTAAATATGTAAATTACCCCAGGAAGTGTAAATTTAATCCCATTCAAATAGGGCTTTTTGCTCAAAGTCATTTTGTGACAAAAACATGACAAAAAAAAAACTGCAATCTGTCCATTTTTTATGGAAAAAAGTCATTTCCATTGTTGGCCACTGTTAAGCAGCCAAATTCCTTTAATTACAAAAGGGAATAACGTAATTGCCACAGCATAATCTCCGATTTGTTATGGTTTCTTTTATCACCAGCTACTGATGCCCCTATTACTACAATTACTCCTGTGGTCAAAACACCGCCAGGCCCTGTCCCCTGTCTTGCTGACCAGGCCATGTGCCAGAGCGGGGAGTGCATATCCCGGGACTACCTGTGTGATGGAGAGAGAGACTGCAGAGATGGCAGCGATGAACTGAAGTGTGGTAAGAGCCCAGTGGAGCATAGTCAACAGGTATCCTCACAGTGAACGAGGGTACCGTTCGTATATCAGCTCAGATATTGTGAGTATTTATCTTATTCCTCAGGAACTCCTTCCCCCTGCGAGCCCAATGAGTTTAAGTGCCGGAACGGCCGCTGCGCCTTGAAACTCTGGCGCTGTGATGGAGACAACGACTGCCAAGACAACTCTGACGAGATAGATTGCCGTGAGTTTGACTGCCTTTTCTCTTTTTTGCTGTACCGCTAAGTGAGCCGGCCTCTGAGAGTCACTGACTGACTGATTGGCTGACTGACACTTATTCTTGAAATGCTCTTAATATCATGTTTTATGAATCTGGCCCTCTGTTTCTGTTTGTTTTTGTCTCTGTGATGTCCTTCTACAGCTTTGACCAGTAAGATTTGGCAGTCTTGGTTATTGTACACAGATAAGCCAATACATTTTGACCACTCACAGATGAAGCAAATAACGTTGAAATACCTCTGAACAATGAAGCATGTCAAAGTCTGGGATATGTTTGACGGTAAGCGAATGGTCAGTTCTCGTAGTCAACATGCTAGATGCAAGAGAAATGGGCAGGTGTGAAGACCTGAGCAACTTTGAGAAGGGCCAAATCCTTATGGCCTGATGACTGGGTTGGAGCATCTCTGAAATGGCAAGGCTTGTGGGGTGCTTGCGGTCAGCGGTGGTGAGTACCTACTGATAATTGTCCATGGAAGAATAAACCACAAACTGGCAACAGGGTGTTGGGCGCCCAAGGTTCATCAGTGCGCAAGGGCAACAAAGTCTATCCCGTCTGGTCTGAACCAATAGAAGAACTACAAAAATATTGTCAGGCTGGTTTAGCACAACTCACAGTGCATCTCAACCTGCTTATGGGTCTGTGGCTATCAGAGTGCTCGTGCTAACCCCTGTCCATCATTGAAAGCACCTACAATGTGTTGAGACTGAACCTTGGAGCAACGGAAGAAAGTCTCCTGTTCTGCGAGTCCCATTGTCTTTTACATCTCATGGACGGCTGGGTACATATGCGCCATTAACCTGGAAAAGTGATGGCACCTGGATGCGCTGTGTGAAGAAGACAAGCCAGTGGAGGGAGTGTGATGTTCTGGGCAATATTCTGCTGGGAAACCTGGGTCCAGGCAGTCATGTAGACGTCAGTGGTTCCCTCATGGCAGCGGACTCTTTCAGCAGGAGAATGCACCATGCCACACCGCACTCATTATTTAGGCGTGGTTTGAGGAGCATGACGAAGAGTTCAGGGTGTTGCCCTGGCCTCCAAATTCCCCAGATCTAAATCCAGTCAAGCGTCTGTGGGATGTGCTGGAACAAGAAGTTCGAATCCGTAGCGGGTCCACCTTGTAACTTAAAGGACTTAAAGGTTCTGCTGCTAACGTCTTGGTGCCAGATATTGCAAGGCACCTTCCGAGGTCTAGTAGAGTCCATGCCTCGGTGGGTCAGAGGAGGGCCAACAGCATATTGAGCATATTGGTCGTAATGTTTTGGCTGATCTGTGTATTTGTTGATATGTAGTAAAGCTTCTTTATCTGTTTGTAGCTGCTAAAAGGCCCGGAGACGCGTGTGCTCCAGAGCAGTTTGTGTGTCTGAGTGACCGCGCCTGCATTCCTGCCAGCTACCAGTGCGACGAGGAGCCCGACTGTGCTGACCGCTCGGACGAGTACGGCTGTGGTAAGGCACTGGCCTAAGGTCACCACTTACCAGTAGATGTTGTAGTCGTTGTTGACTGCAGATGCCTCTTTTTCTTATTCTATCTATTCTTTTCTCTTCCTTTCTATGCTTATTAAATTACCTTTCTCATATGAACAGTCCACAGTTTAATCTTTTGTTCTCAGTCTTTTTCAACTACAAACATCTCCCTTATTAAATTTCCGCTTCTCTGTTATCCCAACTTATTCAGCTTCTATCTGCTGGCTGTTTCTAGTGCTGCTTGGCTGATCTCACTGAATGAGTTAACCGAATATATCTCTGTCACACACCACCAGTTAGGGATCAGGAGGAGCTCTTAGTGTGTACAGGCCTTTGAGTTTGTGTGTGGATGTGTGTGGGAGGGAGAGTGAGAGAGTGTCTATTTGTGGTCGTGAGTGTCTTGGACAGCTGCACATGGGAGGAAAAAGAATTGATTGTTGTTTTCTTCTCATTATCTTTAAGCCCCTCCCACTGTGACCAGCCCCCCAGAAGAGTCTGTTACGGCAGTGCGGGGGCAGACGGTGACCTTCACTTGTACAGCTGTTGGCGTGCCCACCCCCATCATTACTTGGAGGCTTAATTGGGGACACATTCCAGTCAGTAGCAGGTACGCTGTTAGATGACCTTGCCCTGTCTGACCCACATGGAGGACAGAACGGCTTTCTAGTTCTGTTTGACTTCATTGTGCTATACAGTACCAGTCTACCTTTCAGACATGACTGATTGAATGATCTAAGGCAGGGGTGTGCAACCTGAACTGAACATAAGGACAAAATAATATACAAGTATATTATATAGGTGGGTTTTAAAACTTTTTACATGTAATTTTTTACATGACATTACCCTGTATTTTATTACTAGAATACTTCAAAAATAACTAATTAAGTAATTGAGGAAGTTATACAGTACCGTGTCAAAGTCAGAGATCACCCTTCATTTATTTTATTTCTAGTCAGAATGGCTTATAAGTTGTTCATTTTTCAGAGTTTTCAGAAAAAAGCAGAAAACATTTGTTTGACTGAAAAGTACACAGGAGCTTCTGCAACAAAATGTTGTTTTTTTAGTATTTAGTGTGTCCTATATTTGCCTTTATCACAGTTTCCATTCTTTTCAGAAGACTTGCTTTCAGTTTTTCAAAGAAATCTGCAGGGATATTTTTCCACACCTCCAAAGTTCAGTCTTAGAAGTTGGCTGCATTTTCTATTTCTTTCCATTTAAGTAATCCTGTCATACAGTGGGTGGGGTAACTCGGGCCTGTTTACATCTTGCATTAACATGTGTTTTTGGTGATCGGAGCATGTTCAGATCAGACTGTATCTGTATACAGTTACATGAGCAGAAGCGCCTCTACTGACTATAAGGTGAGAACAAACAACGAAATAAAAGATGGAGGATCAAGAAAGCTGAAGTTAGCCCCAAACCAGCAGCCTTCATGCACTCCAGGCCAGCCTTGTCCACTCGTATTGTAACAGAGAAAACAGTACACAAAAATAAAATGGAAACAATGTATGCGCTGATGTGCTTTTTACACAAGAAAGGTACAATTGGATCTCATCACACATTTTAGTGGAAAGTGTAAATGGAATCCGGCCAAAGTTTGTCCAGATATGATCTGGACATGTGTTAAGGCAAGCTGTAAACAAGCTATTTCTGGCAGGCCAAATCAAGCGCCCTCATGGGCCGACTTTGCTTGCAGACCCCGCTTTGTGCAGCCCTGATATAAAGGCTTATGCTTAAATGATTTAAACTTCAAGATTGGTTTCTTTGTTGACTCTCTAAGTGAAAAACATTAACACATTCTACAGAGAACACACCTTTACACATCTTAAAGCACATACTATTTATTTACTGACATAAAATAAACATAAAATGTGGCAAAAAGTTATTGCACTTTTTATATTCTATTTTTTCAGCAAATAAACTAAAATTGTGCACTAAAATATACAGAAAAATGTAATACTAATACTACTACTACTGATAATAATAATAATGATAACTTTAAGAATAAATTAATAGTCTAAGAGAGATTTTGTATGTGCACTTATTTATATTAGAATTTTTTTTAAAGCAAAAATTTGTTCATTTGAGGGAGAAGTTAATGAACTCTGCATGTGAATTTTTTGCTGAACTGTTTCTTTAAACGTTACACGACTTTTGTTACACAACGTTGCTCTGATGGCCCTTTGCGCACCTCTCTGTATGAGTAAATAAAAACAATGCCACGTGGGTCTAATTGAAATCTGGAGAGAACGCTTGCCATTTGGAATGGTGTAACTGAGCCATCTGTACAATTGGATCCAGACAGTGAAGGTTTTTTGGCAGGAGTGCTCTGGAGTTGTCCCATCACTTCATCCCACAAAAGGAAATGCTCTTGGGCTGCTGCTTTGGGCTGATTATTTATTAACAGCCCTGCCTGATTTGTTCTTTACAATGTCCTCACCTTGTTTATAATAACTCAAAACCTTAAGGATTTCTGACACACTCCTAACCTCCATTCGCAGCTCTTTATTTTCCACATTCCATGTCTGTGTCGCGTGATTGAAAAATGCAGAGAGGAAAAAATCCTTCAGTGTTTCTGCTCTTCTGCAATCCAAATGAACATTTCAATGGTTTAATCGATTTAAAAACAATGAGAAATGGCAGTTTTATTCCAGAAAAGATGTGCTTGGAGAAACTGAGCCATGCGAGCAGATCTAAAACAGTGCCTCTCTCTTGTAGGATCTCGATGACCAGCGAGAAAGGCCAGGGGACGCTGACCATCCGGGATGTGAAGGAGGGAGATCAGGGGGCATACACCTGTGAAGCCATCAACGCTAAAGGCCTGGTGTTTGCGATTCCAGACGGAGTCTTGACCCTTTCTCGTGTTCCAAGTACGCTACCACAATCCAACTCTTACATTACACTAACGACTTCACTCTCTAAAATACAGAATCCACACATTTGACAGAATTTCCATGCTTGCTTTAGTGAGTTATGACTGAGAATTATTTTATTTAATATTTCAGCATGCTTTTGTTACTGCCGGTATGATTTCTAAGCATTAAGATTGAGGATTCAGGATTGGTGGAAGAAACATCATTAACCTTCTATATGCACTCATAGCAGAAAAGACCTGAAGGCCTTTATAAAGAAGGTTAAAGAGCAAAGTGGGACTTGAGCTCATTATGAAGAAGATGAAACATGACAACATGAACAACCATTAACTTTACCATTTATGGAGAAGATGTGGAAAGTATTGACAGCTTTTGCCTACTTGGATCGATTATTAATGCACTCGAAATACGACACAGATCGGCACTTGGCAGAACACAGATGAAGGAGCTTGAGAAGATCTTCAAAAACAATGATTTGCCTCCACAAACAAAGATTAGAAACGTCCAGGCTGTGGTCTTCTCTGTGGTTCTTTGTGTATGTAAACACTGGACAGTAAACAAAAGAGACTGGAAAATTGTTGATGCTTTTGAACTTCAGAGCTGGCAAAGACTTTTGAGAGTATCTTGGATGGCAACGAAGACAAAGAAATAGATCCTCAACCAAAACAAGCCTCCCCTCTCACTCGAAGCCAGGATAACCAATCTTATTTTGAACATATCTTCTCAGAAGAACCAATTAATTGGAAAAGACTATTATGCTTACAACAGTTGAAGGTAAAAGAGGAAGAGGATGACTAGCTTCAAGATGGATGGATACCCAAACAGAAGACAGCATATTCTGGATGAAACGCTGTCCATATGATGGCCAGGAGTCACAACTGACGTGACGGCATTTCATAAAAATAATCTAGTTATTTGTTAGAATGTCCTTCCATTTTGTGTTGTAGGTACAACAAGCAGTATCTGGTTGACCGATAGCTGACCATGCTTTATGTTTTGTCCTGTGGTGTGACCGTGTCTGTGCTTTGTTGCTAGGTAACTGTCCTGAGGGACACTTTAACATCGGAGGCCGCTGTCTGCCCTGCTTCTGCTTCGGCATCACCAAGAACTGCCAGAGCACCGGCCGCTACCGCAACCAGATATCACTGCGCTTCAGAGAGGAGGACGACTTTAAAGGTACCACACAGCTACTGAAGTTACTGCAGTTAGGCCTAAAACTAATGATTAGCTCTGAAATCTTTTAATTTATTGAGCAAAATTCAATTAATCCACTAGTTTAACCATTATGCCTTCTTTAGTTTCTGTTTTGCTGTTGCCGTCATTTAAAATTCGCCCCCTAGAGGTCCTGCAGTGTAATGCAGTCTGTCATATTACACCGACCAGCCCCTTCATTCAGTACATCTCCTTCCATCTACTCTCATTGTCTATTTTATCTGGTCCAGTTACCATATAAGTACAATTACAAACTGTAGTCCATCTGTTTCTCTGCATACTTTGTTAGCCCTTTTTCACCCTGTTCCTCAACAATCAGGACCCTCACAGGACCACCAGAGAGCAAGTATTATTGGGTGGTGTTCATTCTCAGCACTGCACTGACACTGACATGGTGGTTGTGTGTTAGTGTGTGTTGCGCTGGTACGAGTGGATCAGGCACCTCAGTGCAACTGCTGGACTGAGAATAGTCCACAAATCGAAAATATCCAGCCAACAGCGTCCTGTGGGCAGCGTCCTGTGACCACTGATAAGGGACTAGAGGATGACTGTGCAGCAACAGATGAGCTACTGTCTCTGACTTTACATCTACAAGGCGGACCCACAAGGTAGTTGTGTCTAATAGAGTGGACAGTGGGTGGACACCTTCAGGCAAACCGCTGTGTCTGATCCACTCATACCAGTGCAACACACTAACACACCACCACCACGTCAGTGTCACTGCAGTGCTGAGAATGATCCACTACCCAAATAATACCTGTTCTGCGGGGGTCTTGAACGTTGAAGAACAGGGTGAAAGGGGGCTAACAGAGTATGCAGAGAAACACATGGACTACAGTCTGTAATTGTAGAACTACAAAGTGCTCCCATATGCTAAGTTGATAAAATTGACACTCTCTCTTTCAGGAGTGAATGTCTCTTTCCCAACACGACCAGGCACTCCCCCTCCGCTCACTTCCACTCAGCTGTTTATTAACCCGGAGGAGGAGGAGTTTCAGCTGGTTGACCTGTCCCGACGCTTCCTGGACCTGGATTCTTACTGGACTCTGCCACGTCAGTTTCTGGGCAGCAAGGTGCTTTTTCTGACCCATTTCTACATGTAGAAAGTTAATAAAATTACAGATGTGTACACGACCTTATATCAGCTACTTATGAGACGTTATATAAGCTTGTATTAATAAATAAATGATCGCTGGCAAAACCTTTAAATCAAAGTCGTAACTTTAGTACCAAGTTGAAACCTGTAACAGGAAAGTAATATTGGAATATTTCTGTAGTTGTAATTAATAAAGCTGTCAGTCTGTCTATTTAGCAGTTGGTTAATATGTCACAAATATTTTGCTCCATGTAAACGTCAGCAGCTTTAAGGAAGTGAAAAATGAAAAAAAAAAATGTAACAGCCACAAGAAGTTTGTTCATGTTCCTTATGTTCCTGTATGTCGGCCAGGTGGACTCGTATGGTGGCTATCTGAGGTATAAGGTGAGCTACTCGCTGCAGAGAGACGGCTCAGAGCCGGTGGATAAGCCAGACGTCATTCTGAAGGGAAACGGTCAGAGACTGATCTACCACCGCAGCCGTCCCACCTCACCCAACATTAAAAATGAGAGAGAGATCAGGTTTACTGAGGTCAGTTACTTCTCACAGACAGAAAGTGAGTTATTCATAAGTATGGATTTTACTAAATCCTTTCCAGATGTTGGTCTTTGCAAGAAGATCACATCTAACTTCACAAAATGAATTACAGACACTTATAAATGCAGTAGTAAATATGATTTGACTTCTTAAACAGCTATGCACAAAAAGTGTGTGTGTGTTTGTGTGTGTGTGTGTGTGTGTGCGTGTGTGTGTAAAACAAACACTTCATTCTACAGTTTGTGCAATATTAAATAACAATTATTTATTGAAGTTATTCCAAAATTTTTAACAGTCATGTAATCTCAAATTCTACCACAATCTGATTACATTACTTTCGTTTCAGAAGTATTATTAAAAATAAAAGAAAACTTATATGTGAATTTACCAATGTGACTACAAGAAATATTTACAATGTAATAAATAGTAGGTTGAAATAATAACACTGTAAAATCTGTGCACTAAAATACTTCTGTCTGATTGATGGATTGGTGCAATATTCCGGCTTTTGATCTCATGTTTGAACCCTGTCCCGTTGTAGGAGAACTGGCAGCACTCGTCCGGGCAGCCAGTGAGCCGTGAAGACCTCCTGATGACCCTTGGCAACCTGGAGAGCATCGGCATCCGCACCGTCTACGACAACCGCATGGCCAGCGTGGGTCTGAGTGACATCGTCATGGATACCACCAGTGTGGAGTTCAGCCTGCAGGGCCAGCCTAAAAATGTAGAGGAGTGCAGGTCAGATTAATCACACAGCTGCACTCTGCACTCCACTCGTTTTCCTGTGTACTTTGATCTGAAAGGTCAACATGTGTACGCAGCTTCATAATATATGCTTCATAATATGTGGCTTGTCATGTGGGACAGCCCCAACACATACCCCCCCCTTTTTTTAATATTCATATTTTCTTGCTGTTACTTTTCCTTTAAGTACGAATGCTTGTGGTGGTTTTATGAACAGCTGTTTACTAATACTTGAGGGGTGCATCATTCAGCTTCATGTTCATCTAAGTTTTTATCTTCCTTGGTATGAAGAGCAGGTTTTGCCTAAATAATGATTTTTTTTTGCCAAACTGTTAAAACTAGGGCTGTTAAAGTTAAAGAGAATGCCCCAGACCATTTAGCTCATCTGGAAAGTGCCCTTAGCTGCAAGGGAAGGTCCCTGCACGGGGGTACTGCAACTGCAGTGTCACCACAGCGGGCCAGCCTAAGAAGGCTTGTAGAACAGAAGGTCCTTTGCCGTGAAGGGCTAGTGTTGCTCATGGGTCCAGGCAGGCCTATGGTGCAGTGCAGCATCTACTACGCAGCCAGCCCAGGCAGCCTCATAGCTACTATACAGCATCAAACAAGTGGCTAGCCAAAGCAGCCTTGTAGCTGTGTTGCAGCGTCACTCAAGCAGTCCGTGCAGCCTCATTACTGCGGTGCAGCTGGTTAAAGAGGACTTTGTCAGATCCTTAGAATGGATCGAGATGCTTGGTTCAATAGGGTTGAATATACTGCTGACATTGCTGTATATCATACATCCCTGCTGTTGTAAGAAAACTCTGTATATCTGCAAGAGTTGCTTTATAGGAGAAGAATGTACAAGAAAAAGTTTGTATACATTGAATAAATAATGATTTCTTGTGGCAGCAACAATGTAGAACAAATGTGAATTCTTGTTTTTAGCTGTTAAAGCCTGCAAGGACACTGACTAAAGTTAATGCAGGTGTGTAATTTTTCTCGTAGGTGCCCGCCGGGTTACTCTGGCCTGTCCTGTGAGACGTGCTCCTCCGGGTTTGAGCGGGTGCCTGGTGGCCGCTACCTCGGCACCTGCGCTGGCTGTAACTGCCATGGCCACGCCAGTGCCTGCGATCCTGTCAGCGGACACTGCCTGGTAAGAGTTATCTCTGTTTAGTGGGAGACGAAGCTCATTCATATGCAACTGACAATTCAGCACATCGTTCCAGCTCAAGAGGCACATCAGTAGTGTACACTCTCAAGTGGCAGTGCTCTCTCTCTGTTTCTCACTGTCTCTCTCAGAGTTGTCAGCACAACACGGAAGGACCCCAGTGTGAAAAGTGCCGGCCCGGCTATTTCGGTGACCCTAGCCGGGGACGGCCTGATGACTGTAAGCCCTGCCCCTGTCCCTACACTGAGACTTCTCGCAGGTAAGAGCTTATTCTCTCGTCCCACTCTCACGCACATTCCTGCTTTCAAAATCAGGAGTACATCTGTATACAAAAGTTTAGGCACCTTTCGCCACAAATGCCATAATTTCTTTTTTTTCTATTTTCTAAACTAATCTGTCCATTGATGTTTGCAGAAAATGTTATTTTTAAAAATAGTGTGCTTGAGACTTGAGTCACACTTGAGTCAGCAACTCTAACTCAAGTCACACTTAAGTCTCATGTTGACTGACTTGTGACTACTGTGACTCGCTCTTAGCTGACTGTCGACTGGACTCTGACTCTCTCTTAACTGACTGTTGACTGGACTCTGATTTGCCCTTGACTGACTTGTGGCTTGACTCAGACTCTCTCTTAATTGACTCGTGACTTGACCCTGCCTTTCTCTTAATTAACTCGCGACTCGACTCTGGCTCTGACTTAACTGACTTATGACTCGACTCTGGCTCTCTCATAGCTGTCTTGCGACTTGGCTGTAGCTCTCTCTTAATTAACTCAATTCTGACTCACCCTCAACTGACTCACGCCTCTGACTCACTCTTAACTGACTAGCGACTCCACTCTGAATCGCTCTCAACTGACTTATGACTCAACTCTGATTAGCCCTTAACTGACTCGTGGCTTGACTCAGAATCTCTCTTAATTGGGTGAGTTGACTCACACTTAACTGACTTGAGACTCGACTCTGACTCACCCTTTGCCGACTGACAATTTTTGACTCGCCCTTTACTGACTTGTGACTCTCTTAACTGACTCGCAACTTGACCTGCACTCTAGATTTAAGACTTTAAGCCTAAGAAAAACGGTTTAAGTTAAGACCAGCAACTTTAATTGCCTGTCAGTTTTGCTACAGTCATGCACAGTGATTACTGCAATGCTGTTCCCATGCAGCTCACAGCAGCATCAGGTTCAGTCTGGCCTAAAATAACGAGCCATTACAGAAAACTCATAGTCTGAATGACAGAAGTGCTACACAAAGCAAGTGCAGTGTTCAGAGGAAAGAGGCACAACAGCTTAAAACTGTTAGCTAGCGTGTAGTTTGGATAGCAAGAATTCTAGCTAGCATAAGCTAATTGAGCTAAAGGTCTAGTAAAGAATTACTAGCTTTTGGATTAGCTATTGCACTAGCTAGCATACTTGCGGAACAAACTACAGACTGACCAGCAGTTTAAAGGTGTTTTACTACAGTTACTGTATGCAGCGCTTCAGTTCTGTCATTCAGAGTGAAGGTCTTTCTGCAAGTAAGGCTCATTATAGTCTTCAACCTCGATAGGTGTCTGGTAGGGTTTACTGCAGTGCCTGCAGCTGATAATGAGACTAAAATTCTCCACTAAAGACTCAAGACTTTACTGAGATTCACATGAAACTTGAACATCTTAGTTAGAAACACCTACAATGTCCTACTTCCTGGCCACTGTAGCAGAAATACTAAAAAACAATATAAGTATACAGTTACTGACTGTTTTCATGCACAGTCTTTCAGCCTCCCTCTCCCCCTTTTGTCATTGATCAGTTTTAGACCACAAGACTGCTGTTGACAAGATATTATGTCACTGCTAATTTGGGAGACGTCCACCACCTAAAAATATCCAGCAAAGGGCAGCTCTGTGTTCAGAAACTGACCACTGATTAAGGGGCTAACACAAACTGTTCATGGCAACAGATGAACTATAGTCTCTAAATGTACAACAAGGAGGAATATAATGTGTTTCAAATAAAGTAAGTGTAATTATACTAGACATAGTTGGTAATAACAATGTGATAAACATGCTCAAAACCCATGTGTGCGCAGATTTTCAGATACCTGCTTCCTGGATGTGGATGGCCAGGCCACATGTGACGCCTGCATACCAGGCTACACGGGCCGGCGCTGCGAGAGGTAAGGCTTTCAACCTGTTCTGACTTTTCCTCCTTTAACCTTTCAAAGTTTCCAATTATGTTGCATAATTACACAGTTAAATACATGTTACGATTTGCATCCTGGGTCAGCAGCACATCTAACATTTTCTGTTTTGATGTAAAAAAAGCAAAAAAAAACAGACCAAAACATACGAAGGATTTCTGATTCAACAGCAACTGTTCATTAGCATGTCTATGAGCTAAGTTGGAAATAATTAATATTAAAAAATTACAGCATTCTTCTGATATTGCTGCCAATAGCTGTGTCTTCTAAAGATAGTCATTTATCAAGCAATTAATGTATGTTTTGTTCCAATCGTAGGTGTGCACCTGGGTATGTGGGCAACCCTCTGCAGCCCAACGGCAAATGTGTTCCAACCGGTGAGCCTCTCTCTTTGATCTGGTAAAACAGTGATTTACAGGCGACTAAGTGAAGATGATAGCAAGATTTATGGCATGCTAGCATCTTCTCTGAGGTCTTAGAATCACAAGAGATCCCACACTTTCTACTGCATCTGCAAATGCCAGCTATTTGCTCCCACATATGACGAGTTCAAAGCACTCCAGATGTGCGACACTTCTGGACCAAATGTTGTTTTTGACCTTTTTTTACAGAGAACCAGATATGCGACAACAGAGGAACGATCAGTTCCAGCAGCAGGCTGTGCAACTGCAAGGTAGCTTTTAATAATTGAATTGTTGTCAGTAATATTGCTCTCTTGTGAACTGAATTAGCACATTCAGCATATGTAACAGTGTGAACACCCCAGGTCAAGGACATGTTTTGTTGATGTCCTATGTGAAAATAAGTTAACACATCCTCTACAGGGAACAAACTTAGATATGACATTTTTCAGGAAATTTTAGTGCACAATTTGTATCTATTTGCTGAGTTTAACATAATGGGGGGAGAGCATAAATATATAAAGTGACATCACCTTTGCACAGGCCTCATTTTATGTTTTTGTGTATCAAAATGTGCAGAAGTGTGTTCTCTGTATTGGCTGTGTTTACTTATTTTCACTTGTTTATAATTCAACTACAGGTCCTATTTATTCACAAATGTAGGCCTGCCGACTATTCACCTGTACATAGTATTCACCTTACATCTATTTGTCTATCAGTGTCTGAGGAATTTAAATGATCATGTTTTCATTTGTCGCATTGGTATTTCTCTATTTAACATTCTGAAGCTTTGTCATTTTTTAAGCAATAAAAATTGTAGCCTAATATAAAATTCATCAGCAAAGGCCTTTAGATCAACATTTATAGGTAATATATGGAAAATGTTAAGAATACTTATACAAACTGCACTACTTTCCACATAGCAGTTGAAGCTAAAGGAGCAAAAATGTCTCAGAAAGAAATGACATGAGAGCTTTTAAAATGATCCTACATTGAGAAAAATGCTCAGTGCAAAATTTGTGATAAGGTAGGCTCTTACACCATGGAGGTATGACGTGTTGGGTGAATTATCTCAAAAGGTTGGTATCATGGAATACTACATTTCTCTCGCTTTTTGAAGTAAAGGAGTTTGAAGTAGTTTGTAGACATTGTCAAAGTTTGTTCAAATTTACTGTTCCTAACCCAGACCATACAGTCCATATATGGAAACGATACTGCAAAAACTGGTCATAGTTAATTCAGGTTTCAGCATCTAGAAAGCATCTGCAGTGGACCATCAAAATACAGTGTTTCCCTTATATCCACCTACAGTAGTTTAGGTCCACCCATTCATAATGAAGTTCTAGGAAGCGCCACACCTCCGAGTGCTTTTTAAATGACACACAATACAAGTCAGCCAATCCATACAGAGCTTGTGCATCTTATATCTATTTGTCTAATTTGTCTTAAAGGCACAGTTACAAAAACAGCCCATTTTATTCTAGGGGTTAAGGAGAGGTTGGAAAATGAAAATGTAAAAATGAATTATGACCATTTCTGGCATAAAACCACACAAATGTCATAAGTGGACTTGAAAAAATGAAAATGCAAGTGTACGATATGGGCCGTTTAATAATGTTAGTGTAGAGATTGTAAGCCAAGCATTGACACATCAGCGTCAGGTCAGCTTCGCGTAAGGGAAGTGCAAACCGCCCTGCCTCCAAACCATACTGTCTCTGACTCAGCTCCGTCAGGTAACCCCTTCAGGCAAATATCGGCTCTTTTCTCCTTTTCTTTTCTAATTAAATAGTTTTAAAGTTTTAAGCTTGACAGCAGATCTGTGTATTGTGACAAAATCACTATCAAGTTTTTACCATCGTTTCAGAGAAGAATCTCCTCCACACACTGTTAGTACAGCGCAGGAGCTGCTCTGAATCTAGAACACCAACAAAGTCGTCAAATCTCAGTAAAATATTATTTTAAACATAGTTTAGAATGCTAGAAGTAGCGGGAGCATGTGACTTGACTGGAGTTAACACACACAAGTGGGGAAAAAAATAGGTGATAGGTCGGAAGGGCTTGTGTCTAACATTGATGTGAAAACATTGATTAAAGTAGAAGCGTATCTGTCACCTCAGACGGATGACTAAAAACACTTCAAATGTTATTGATTTTAAGAGTTATTTCTCATTCGGAATTATCAAAGAGCATTTCGAAGTGTGCAAATTGCTGTTCAAGCCAGCCCTGTTTTTCGACACCTAGAAAAAATTGTTTTTATATCTGTACTTACTGAATGAAGATTCTCATTCTGAACTCTAATACCTCTGCTCTAATATGTAACTGATATTTTCTTTTTGCTATATTTTTGCTGTGTAGGCTAACGTGGCTGGAGCTTTGTGTGATGAGTGTAAGCCAGGCTCCTTCCACCTGACTGCTGGCAACCCAGATGGCTGTCTGCAGTGCTTCTGCATGGGGGTCACCAAACAGTGTGCCAGCTCTACCTGGACCAGAGACCAGGTTAACCACCTTCCATCTGCAGAACCTCAGATCAGTGACACACTGTAGAGCAGGAATTCAGGGTTTATGAAGCTAATTGGTTCAATTTAAAGTAATAGTTTGAAGAAAGAATAAAAATGACACAGTTTGGCTGTAGTTGATCAGCCAAGATATGTAGGCCAATGTAGCTAACAAGTAAAGGAATCTACTACCACCAATTATCAACGACGTTTAGCAACCACAGGAACCATAGAGTTTAAATGTAAATAGATAGACTTACTTATGTGGTTTCTGACACTGTATGACATGAAGTTATCTGTAAAAGTACACATGTATGTTGCATAGATAAAAGCAGTAGTAGTGGCCACTTAGCCTGAATTTTTGTCCATTTTTGCGCAATGGAAATTGGTGGGGTATACAGTTCCATTACTTGCTAACTACGTTAGCCTCGTTGGTTCAGAGCAAAAACCTCAGACATGAAATAGATCTTGTTTTTGATGAATTACATTTAGGATGATTGGTTTAAATTTGATTTTTCGTGAAAGTGTTGCTATGTAAGGCAGCCGACGTACCTGACTTTAATTCAGTATCATCAATTTCACAGAAATGGTACAGTGTGAAGGTCATTAGAATATGGCCAAAGTCAAAAACTGAACCTAGATCTTAGCCTAAGCAGCGGTTAAATACATCTGTTTTGAACATGTCTACAGGTACGAGGTGGCGTCAATGGGCAGCTATTTACTCTCGCCAATGGAGCTAACACACGCACCATCACTGAGGGCATCGGCCAGAAAGGAAGCACAGAAATTGTCTTCCGCTCTTTCAACAGCATCCCCAGCGATATCTACTACTGGGTCCTGCCTGAGAGCTTCCGAGGAGACAAAGTGAGTCTGTTTGGATTCTGATAAATGGCAGCTTTGAAATAGGGCTGCACAATATGGATGTAAAATGCAGTGCTTGATAAAGCTTTTGGATATCAAACAAAATTACAAAAAGTACCATTCACTATTGTGCAAAGGAAAGAAATGAAATACTCATAGCTACTTAGAACTGCGGGTACATTTTTGTGCAGTGTAAGGCTGAACAAGGCCACAGTGTCACTGATGCAAAGCACTGCTCTTAAAAAGGATGAAAAGCTGTTGGGCTGCTAATGGTGCCCCCTTATGGAGAATTTGTAGCCTGCTAAATGTGAGTGAGTTCCATGAGATGCTTCGGTGTAAAAGCAGTCAGGATTCCCTGAACAGCTACTTCTTTTTGTATTTGCAGTCAGGCTAAATGAATAAATATGCATTTTTTTGTTTTTTAGTATAGGCTTACAAAAATCAATAAATATTTAATGCCTTTAAAAGCTCCTTGAGATGATGCAGGTTTGTTGTGACAGTACACAATAATCATTTCATCTCTACTCTCTTGTGATAATCATTGGAAGCCAAAATCATAATTGAAAATACAATTTGATTAGTTGTCACTTTGGTGCTGTACACCTGAGGTCATTTGCAGCCCTTAACGTTGTGTTTATATCACGATAATGATGAAAGTACGGTGTATCAAACAGACCTCCTTCGAAGCATAGCCCGAGTCTCATAGAGCCGTGAGTGCCTGGTGATAGTGAGCGCACTGCTTTTAAAGCTCTTTTTTATCATACTGTATTAATACGTGAAATTAGAAGTCTATAGGACAGATTTACTGAGATTTTGTACTGTCTCAAAACCTATTTGGGTGTCTAAAGTGACTGTCACATTTAACAAAATAGGCGCAACTACCCTTTAGCACCCGTAATAAGGTGAAAGGGGTGGTCGCTGCTCTCTTGTGCTTTTGCCTCATTGCGTATGCATTTATAAGAGTTTATCTCTCAAAATGGGATGTGGTTATTATAATGAAGCATCTACTGCAAAGACTGATAGCAAATACTGACTGACTGTGCGTGTTTAACTCTTGTGGAAAGCTTGTCTTATTTTGGCCACTAACCTGGCTGGCATTGTTTATGCTCAGAATCGGAGAAAAGAGAGTTTTTCAAACACATTTTTCGGCCCTTTGAGATTCTTTCCAAATGCACTCAGCATGAAACTAAAGTTGAGCTCATCCCACCAACCGAAAATCCCAAGAAGTTATTATTAGTACCTAACGAGTCACTGTTTGAACCTGAATCAGATAAGGATTTAAAAAAAGGGTTTCTTTCTCCCACCTGGCAGAAACCGCCTTCCAGACAAAAAGCCTGTGTTCCAAACAGGAGTTTATGTTGTACTGGTCATGTGTTAATTACAAAGTTTTTCATTTGAATGTAGTTCTTAGTAGATGGGCCACCCCCACTGGTGTTAGACGGTAAACTCTGCTGAGCTGTTTTGTAAATGTGTTCCTGCTGTGTGCAGGTGACCGCGTATGGAGGAGAGCTGCGCTACAAAGTGCGCTTTGAGCATCGCTCTCACTCTCTGGTGATCGACGGACAGCCGGACGTGATTCTTCAAGGCAACGGCATCTTCCTGGAGCACTCCTCACAAACCAAGCCGCTCCCCCGAGTCCCTGCCACCATCACCGTACCCTTCAGAGAGGTGTGTTAACACTACATGAGTGCAGTCATTCGTTTTTAGAGTGTATGTGTAGACTTTTTCGAAATTTATGGCATATGTAAAGGCCAACACTTGAACTTATTTCTCATAACTACATAGTATATTCATTTCATAGTTACTAAATAATAAGACATTAAGATGAACGTCTGCATATGGGGTTTATAACCTTGATGAGAACACAGTAAGTAGTGCCGTTCTATTAGATGAGAGCATTGAGGATAGCACATTTTTCGGTGGGCAACATGATAAAAACATGCAGTTGATTAGTGTTCTGTACTGTAAGTATTGATAATATCCATGATATATAAGCGTAAAACTTATCCTGATGTAATTAATTTTGATAATGATATCATATGTCAGACGATGTCATGTCACTTACCCCTACATTCAGTTAAGATGCTTTATAAGGTAAAAAAAAAGCATCCTCTGATTTTATTGACTTGGTCTTACACTGAAATAAATTCTCAATTGACTGGTATTTTTTGGTATAAATGTCAGACCAAACGTTCACAGCTCCCTATTGTATAACAACCCATCATTAATTGAAAGTTAATATATTTATTAGTGTAAAGTTTTGGCATTCCTTGCCTTTGATGTCTTTAGCTAATTGCCTGTTTTTTGTTTGTAATCTCAACCAGTCTGCTTGGAGGAGGGCTGATGGACAACCCTGCACTAGAGAACACCTGCTGATGGCCCTGGCTGACGTCACTGTCTTCATGATCAGAGCCACTTATGCAGACAGTATGGCTGAGAGCAGGTACCTCTGCGGCGTCACCTGTGTTATAAACTGTATGCTTCTTTGGTTGTGGAGCTACAAGGCTAATGTAGCTAACAACCAGATGTTATAAAATGGTTATGAATATGATGCTTATGTTATGGGTGTTATGAGGCAAATACTGATACTGATATGCCCCTATTTTTAACATTAACATTATATATAAAAACTCAGAAGATGTTTAAGTTCGCTAGTGGTTTTGGATAGTAAATAAAATGGCTTGGTGTTGTAGACATTGTGACCGCTGGTTTCGATCACGACCACTGGATTAGATTTTTTGCAGAACGATTAACTGATGCTTCTGTTGCACAACTTCACTGAGTTTGGGTGTTAATTCCTGGTTCTGTGTTTATGTAGCATTGCTGACATCCAGATGGACATTGCAGTGCCCCACTCCACAGGAAACGAAAGGGCCCTGGAAGTAGAGGAGTGCGCCTGCCCTCAAGGCTACAGAGGACCTTCTTGCCAGGTATGTTGCTCACACTTTGTCAGTCCAAATTTAAAATCCACTAAGATCAAACATGCATTGACCTGAGTCATTAAACCAGCCTCACCCCTGTGGCACACCTGGCGAGACGAAGTCTCAGGCTTAAATATAAATACAGGACTCATGTTTTCTTTTGTTTTGTCATTTGGGTGGAGGTTCCTAGAATCTCGCAGTGCAGAATCCTTTTGCTCTATAAGTAATCAGAAGTTTTTAGGCTCTCTCCATATCGCGTGCCGTCATGTGAACTCTGTCTAATCCTTTGTTTGCAGGAGTGTGATGTCGGATACACGCGCACCGGATCTGGCCTTTACCTTGGCACCTGTGAGAAGTGTGAGTGCCACGGGCATGCCAGCGGCTGTGACTCAGAGACAGGAGCGTGCCTGGTGGGTAAACATTTCCTTAACACATACACACACACACACACAGCTGTGCCCTGTGGTCCTATTAAAACCTAGTCTCGCAGGACCAGACATGATCTTGCAACAATAATGTCTGGGGATAGCTATAAGAAATTTTGGGCTAAATGTGGGTGAGAACATGGACTTATACCATATGGCCTAAAGTATGTGGACAAATCTCAAATTATCGAGTTCAGGTGTTGCAGCCACACCCATCGTTAACAGATGTATAAAATCAAGCACATAGCCATGTAATCTCCTTAGACAAACACTGGCAGTAGAATGAGTCATAATGAAGAGCTCAAACTTGGTGAAATGGAAGAATCTTGGAGCAACAATGAAGCTGTAGACCCGACAAACTTGCAGGGCTTGGCCGCCGAGTGCTGAAGTGCGTTGCACATAAAAATTGCCTAACTTCTGTTGTATCGCTTATTACAGAGTTCCAAACTGCTTCTGGCAGCAACATCAGCACAAGAACTGTCCATCTGAATCTTTATGAAATGGGTTTCCATGGCTAAACAGATGCACACAAGCCTAAGCTCATTATGTGCAACGGCAAGTGTCAGCTGGGGTGGTGCAGAGCACTCAGCCACTGGACTCTGGAGCAGTGGAAATGTTTATGATTGATGAGTCATGTGTCGACAGTCTGATGGATGAATCTGACTGCCAGATAGTGAGAACACTACCTACCGTAATGCACAGTGCCAACAGTAAAGTTTGATAGAGGTGGAATAATGGTCTGGGGTTGTTTTTCAGGGTTTAGGCTAGACCCTTTAGTTTTATTAAGGGTAATGTTAATGCTACATCTTACGTACATTTCAACTTATTGGCAACAGTTTGGGGAAGGCCCTTTCCTGTTCCGGCATGACTGAGGTCCATAAAGGTCCATAAAGACATGGTTTGACGAGTTTGGTGTGGTGGAACTCCAGTGGCCTTCGCAGAGAGCCCTGACCTCAACCCCACTGAACACCTTTGGGATGATCTTGAACATTGATTGTGATCCTGACCTTCTTATCCAATATCAGTGTCTGACCTGACAAATGCTCTTTTGACTGAATGGGCAGAAATTCTCACAGACACACTCCAAAATCTTGTGGAAAACCTTGCCAGAAGAGTGGAGGCTGTTTTAGTCACGAACTCTGTATTAGTGCCCAAGGTTTTAGAAAGGGATGTCCAGCAAGCACATATAGGTGTGATGGTCAGGTGTCCACATACTTTTGGCAGTATAGTGTATTAGAGTTTCTAAACCAATCCAATGCCTTGTGAACACAGGGGGCGATGGTGCGCTTGTCAACATTGTTCGATAGACATCATGCCTATTGTTAGTTGCTGATGATGCGAAGAGCATTGATCACTCTCCTCTTTTCATAATAGGAATGCCTGCACAACACAGCTGGGCCTCGATGCGAGAGCTGCCTCCCTGGTTTCTTTGGCAACCCGGTAACTGGCGGTATCCATGCCTGCAGACCATGTCCATGCCTTGGTCCTGCCCCTGGAAACAAGTGAGTTCTACCTGGTAATGGAGGCACAACTGCCTGTCCAAGAGCCACGTTTATTTGCTTCACTCCTCTGGACAACAGCCATTATGCATTGAAGCGTAAGGTCAAATCTTATTATAAAATGAGTGCACGCAAAATTCTGTGACTGTTTTGTTATTAATTTAATCTTTGGCATATATATGCAATCAAACTCATATCAGCTTAATTGTTTAACAACCTAAAAAAATGCTTGATTTGCAGTTAACCACCCACAACTATTATCAATATCATATGTAATACCAATAATAAGAATAAAATAGAAAATATCAATAATGCTAATAATTTGTGCACGTGATAAACCAGTACAAAAGTCAATGTACTTATTTTACATGCACATTTGTATAAACAAATGCTGCAACCATTCCGTATTCTATTTGTTACGCTGTGTTTGTTTCATACCACTGACACCATAAATAAATTAAAAATACAAACATAGCTGGTGCAGGAGCATCTCATACACTGCAATAATACCGCATTGAAACCTGTTATTTTAGGATAATACTCACACGACACAGTCACATTATTCTAGTCTCTGAAAAACGAAGATGTTTTGTTTATTTCACAATTTATTCTTTCCAGTCCTCATCACACTATAAAGTTTGGTCAGTAGGGGAGGCAGTGCACTCCCTGCTCAACCTCTCCACCAACAAGCACAGCCTTTGGCTCATAAGCTGTTGAATGTTGTCGTTTAATTGGCTTCATACCAAAACTGCTGCATGAATTAGGGCGTGTTTGATGTAAATGATATGCAAATGAAGCACTGAAAGTTTTGCACTTGATTTCACGCACTGAAGCTGATTAAGCTCTGCTTAATTACACGTCATGCAAAAGTGTCATAAATCAGATGCAGAGTTGTTTGTACGTCGTTAAAGATCGGCACTCTACAAAACTTCAATGAATAAGGGCCAATATACACAGCTCATTAAAATGTTAAGGGCACCTTGATTTGATTTTTTTTTTTGTTTGTTTGTTTCAAGCTTTCTTTTCCGAACTGTTGTACAGCACATATTGAAGCACAGAAGTTGAAAGGTTTGCATGATAGCATCAAAACAAGGGAATAAAATGTATAGGGGACAGCATTATTCTCATAAACATAATATTTGCAGGGCCATTTACTGCATCAGATTTTGCTCTTTCTAGGATTCATATAAATCTTTTCCCATCCACAGTGGGGCTAAATCTTGCTACTTGGACACAGACGGACAGCCCACTTGTAATAACTGTCCCCCGGGTTATACTGGAAGGCGCTGTGAGAGGTAAGCTATCTGCTCTTTGTTATGATGTAGTAAAGAGGATTTCTCTTTCCCTTCAAGTGGTCTGGGGATGCTGGGCTGGCTAGGCTCCACATGGAGGGGATTGTGGTTCCCCTCTCAAGTGCCATAGCATGTTGGCCTGTTGCATCTCTGTCTTTTTCATCCCCAGTCATGATTGAATGGTCTCCTTAGAGCTGTATGGGAGAAGCCAAGCTCGAATTAATGCCACCCATACTGTTGTGTTTGTCAGCAAAGAATGTCTTTGTGTGGGGATTAGCTACAGCAGTAGCTTTGGTGCTTGAAGCGGTCATGTATGGACCTCCTACGAACTAGTGTTTTTGTGGTCACAGCATAAGCTTTGCATCATAAGTGTGAGGATTTGTTCCCAGGGCCTTTCATGAAAGTGACCGAGGCATTTTCAAGTCTATTCATGTAAATTGACTTCATCACCGTGTAGTATATTCTGTGTCTGCTATAGCAGCTAATGTGGTCAAATATGAGTTAAACAACATTTGTATATATATTTCACATTTGTCCAGCTAAACGTCTGTGGCTTATTTTTTCCCTGAGGATACCCTTTGTCCCACATTGCTTTGCTGCCGTTTGCTTCAGCACTGCTTAGAGCTCATTTAAGCCAAGTGGACACTACATGAATTTCAAGAGCCCAGAACTGCTGTACCACTTACACCGCACATATATTCCTAGCTATTTGTTATTTATATATTTATTTTTGGACATAGTGGTGTGCACTATTTGAGATCAGGAACCAAAGTGTCTTGCAAATCACACAGTCTTTAACATGAAGTGCCTGATTGTGAAATCACATTGTCTGAGGAAAACCGATAGCATAGCCAGAATTTCATTTAAGGGGGAGCCTGGTGACAGGTTGACAGGTGAGAAGCTGGGAAGCATTATGTCCCAGAGACATCACTGTTGTGAGTTTAGCAAGCATCATGAACTAGCTTACTGCATTGCAGCTACCATAAGCAGCAAGGGTAATTTAAACACAACACACAATTGCTGATCTTGCATTTAATTAACTAGTTACTATAACAGCTGACAGCATACCATACCGTGACACCATACACCTGCTGGCTGCCAAGTGACAAGGCATAGGCCCCTCAGGCTCCCCCTTAGCTATGCGCAAGGCAAAAAATGAACACAGTAAGTATCCATCATTGTGCCTTTGCCAAAACTGAGCCAGAGCAACTTTTTGCACTCATTGGCAATATCTCCACCTCTCCTTGAACCAGCTAGGATAATGTGTGGCCTTCAGATTAAACAAGATTTGTGCCTTTGCAGGACCTCTTCTAGCCTCCCCTCTATTCCCTGGGTCCACACAGAACGCAACGTACCCTTTATCGTGATTTGTCCACCGAGAGTTTCCTTTCGCACCAGCTCACTGGCTATTGCTCATTTTTGTTGCTTGTTTTTACTACTCGTACAAGATTTATCTTTGATCATTTTAAACCACACTGGAAAATGTTAGTGTCTGCAATTTGTCACCATTCTTGGAGGGATTTGTTACACATCCCAAAAATTTGTCGCAGACAGAAAAACTGGGGCTAAGAATCGTGTCGTGTGCACTTGGCATTAGCTGTTGCCTTATGCTATAGCCTATCATGTTCTATTCTAAAGCTCTCCTCTGCGGTTAAGTGTTTAGACAGCCAAGGGGTTGTGAGGTTATCGTTTATGCCCATCACGTTTAAGTCATTTCTCTGGCATAAACGAAGTGGTGACATTCTTAAATGCCTCCTTCGTGAGTCTTTGCCACCTGCTTTGGTGTCTTGGGGGGGAAAAGGTGACTTTTATGTGAAACCTGGTTCCAAGGTACACTTTCTCATCTTGACATTTCAAATTAAGAAAACAGACAACTGACAGTTGTGAAGACTTCTATCTAGAAGAACAGCTGAACGGATTCCTCCCTGCAGAATGCAGTAAAGATGTTTCTGTGGGCACTGAGGAAACGCAAGATGGGAGCGGACATGGGGATGACCAGAGAAAAGATATTCCCTCATTGACCACTGCACGTTTAAAAATTCCCACAAGAAATTTGTTGTTAACAACCTCCCGTAGACTTCTCTCGACCCAGCGAAGTACTCCTTCAGTTCACAGGGTCAAGGTCAATGCAAGTCCTAGCAGGACTCGTTGGCCTTTCCTAAATACCCCCGGCCCCAAAACTCGACAGCAGATATTCCAGGCCCTGCTCCGTACGCACATGAACCACTTCAACCGGCGGCTGAGCATCCTGGAGAGCAACACGCTGGACGTGAAGGAAAACCTACAGAACATGAGAAGCCAACAGAGCCACCTTAGCTTGCAACTGCATAATCTAACCAGAATAGTGCCTGTGAATGACAAGAGGCATCAAGTCAAGCAACTGGCCGTGAACTACACCAACATGGAGGCCAGGCTGAGTCGTCTTGAGGGCAGATTGGAGATCCTGATTGATGGCTTAACTGTACTTGCTCAAGAACTGTACAAAATCAAGCAGGCTCGTCACAGGTCACGCCCTACTCAGGAAGGTAGAACTACTCTAGTAGTTGCCACAGCCCCAGTAACAGTTCTGACCACAGCAAAGGCCAGTATTAGGCCAACCATTCCAGCCAGTAGACACCAGAGGAAAACAGTTGTTCCCAACAATATCTCAGCCTCTGAGCCAAATGGACAAGGCCAGACCAATGTTACCTCAACCATAGGGCAGTCAAAATCTTCTCTTAAGAAGGTACAACATCCTAGTAAGAGGAGATCACCATCCAAAGATAAGAGTGTTGACTTTACCTCATCAAAGTCCAAGAAGCAACAAACCTTTCCTACAAAAGCATCACATCCCAGTGGTACACCAGAGTCTCAACTTTCTACTAACTCCACCCCATATCAGAAAGGACAACATAAGACAGCAGTCACCAAAATCCAAACACCAAAATCAACTGAACAAATACAACAAAATGAGAAAGAAGAAGGCACCACTGAAAGACTCTACAACTACTCTTACTTCACCAGAAAGCACTCTCAAAGTTATTCCCAGGAAACACATAAATACTGAAACAAAGAAGCCCAGATTTCAACTTGAACCTCCATCCTATACAAAAACACCCCCAATAAAGAAACACAACCTGAAACAACCATCTATCAAGCCACCTAGCAAACCAAAGACTGGAATTCCTCCAAAATGTGCAAACAAGCCAGATCTGGAGTCGGTACCTATAGAAAAGTCCACAACAGAATTGGTCATTGGGAAACCTCACACAGTCCAGGCTACCAAAAACTCCAAAAATAAAAACACAACAAAGAAAATATATCAGTTAGATCCTCCATCTCATTTAGGTCCATTATACCGCCACTCTAAGACACACAAAAAACAATCTTTTGTTACAAGTGTCCCTTTCAAATCTACCCACTTCAAGCAGTCTGAATGCTTGAACCCCCAACAACAAAATCAGCAAACCAATGGCCAGTCCCAGGTTAATATTTTAGACATCCTTAAACTAATCTACCAAGGTGATCAACACACATCGAACAGGCAAATACAGATGCAGAATGGGGAGCTCCATATTGTTCTTGGAAAGCTGGCCATTCCTCTAAAAATCATCCCAGTTACTTAGAGACCTGTGGGCCTGCAGACTATGACTCTTTTCATAATGGACCCATTCATAATCTAGTGAAAAGATGAGGAACAATAAATATGGCTGCTTTCTTTAACGTGCTGAATTGCTGCAAGGCTTTGGCACCAATAGTTGGTGCATATCTATAAACAATGGTCTTGTATTATAACCACGTTTTTATGTACATGTTTGGATGTGAAATTCTATTTATAACGTGTTGTGTCCCATTACTAATGGGAGTAAATACTTTCAGTTGTTAATAATTTACATATTATATGTACCAAAATGCATTGTTTTTTTTTGTTCACTGTTTTTTTTTAAGCTGCACTATGTAAGATTTTTGTCAAAACTGAAAGAAGTAGCATTACCGAGTCAGAAGAAAAGAAATTCTAAAATATGATGTCAGTGTACTGTTAAGTCATAAGGTCAGAGTTTTTTTGCACTACGTCATATGTATTTACGCGTTTGAATACTCTTTCAATGTGCTTGCAGTCGGCAGATTCATCCGCTCAGGGAAAGAGTCTGAAGTAAAACCGGTGTTAGAAAACGTTCTTCAGCACGTTGAGTGCAGTTACACATTTCCACCAGAGAGGTCCCAAAATCCCCAAATCTTACATAGTGTAGCTTTAATGTCTGTTACTACATGATTTGTTTCTTTATGTAACAAATATTTAAAAAAATTAACATTATTCAAGAAAACTGTTGTGCAAAACCTTAAACTGTCCAGTGTATTCTAGTGTCATTTTAATTAATCAGATGTAAACTAAGTTGCTTTGCTGTTCTAAGACACTTTTCAGGATGATTGTAATTTGGTTGTTCAGTATAGAGACTGCTTGATTTCATCATCAGTGTCAGGAATAGCATGTTGTCATTACCTAGTCACCCTCTTGCTGAAGCTAAAACATGCTGTTTGGGTGTGGATATGCTTGCATAAACTTTGACCCAGCAAATCAACTGGAAGAAGATTTAAAAACCTGGTAAACATTTCAGTTACTTGTGTCAGATTCTTGAGTGAAAATGATAGATTGGACTTCCATGCTGCTTTCATCTAGCAGGTAAGTTCCTCAGCTGGCTTTGTTAAGCTTTGGGACAAGGTGTTTTTCCTCTCTTAGGCAGTAGAGTGTTTCAGGCAGATCCCACTTGGCTCTTAAGTTCTTCTTAGATTTTTTTTCTTTGGCTAGTGGTGTGGAGAATAAATGGCCACAGTGTAATGAACAAGTTTTTCAAAGAAAGATGGGCTTGACATGTTCTGCATGTTGAGAGAACAATCATGGCTACAATTTCCCCCATGAATGGAAACCATTGTCACGCTGTTAGTCTTCAGCAAACGTCTGGACTACTTTTTCCTCTTGCAGTGATCAGTAGGAGAAGCGGAGTTTCAGCTGTTTTTCCATTTTGCTTAGAGTTTACTGTTTCTATGGGGGTCAGATTAATAAGAGCAGGTGTACATTTTCTTTCTCTTTTGTCTAAATCTATGTATTTATTGGTAAAATTATGGTAGTTAAGGTTCTAGAACCCAGACACGTATTGATCGTTGTTGCTACGTCACCAGTAGGGCCCGACTGATATGTTGGTTGTTCAATAACCACGGCTGTAAACTGAACCCTGCTACACAACACTGACAACCATGCTATTAGCATGTATTGGCAGATGTCATATGCTGTCATAAGTTGTCAAGATTTTGTTTAGTAATACAACATTGTCATGCCTTTGAGTTTAGTTTGCTGTTTTGTAGATCATATTGTGCATGTATTTTATGTCGTATATGTGTTTTAATATGTTAAACATATTAGTTGTATGACTATGTTAGTTGTATGGCTGTCTTGGCCAGGTCTTTCTTGTAAAAGAGATTCTTTGATTTTGATGGGAAATAAATAAAATGTTACTATTACATTTGAGGTCATGACATGATTTCTGCTGTGTACTTTAGTTAGCCATTATGACATCAAACATTTTAGCACCTGCCATGACAATGACATGACACTGTTATATTACTGGAGATAGTCTGTCTTGACAGCTCATGACAACGTATGACATTTGCTGTGGAATGTTTATGGTAGTAGTTATGTCAATGTAATGTAGCAGAGTTCACCGCAACTTTTTTTTTGCATCCTCCCGAATTTGAACGGTTTCCTAGCAATAAAGGAAAACCTTAGATGGTTGTGCCATTGAAAACTCAGTATGATTAATACAGGCTGAACTGGTCAATCTGAATACACAACACTGCTATGGTTAGTATAGCAAAAACACCTTATAATATGTTACAACACAAAATTTGAAGAGAAAAATAAGCGGTAATTAACAGAAACCAAAAACTCCAAATAGTGATGGGTAGCTTCATCCTTAATGCTACAGTATTTGTTATTAAAGACTGAGAGTTTCTGCTGTGTATTTGAGAAATATGACAAAACTGTTTAACTAATTAATTAATAATTTAATTATTAGCATCTAAAATAGAAATCTGAAAGATAAGTATAAAGTTATTTCACCTTTTATTCTTGTAGAGGCAGGCGATATGACAATATTTTATTGCAAATTATGTCACGATAGGCCACAATCTGCTTTCTTATTGTGGACTTTTTGACACACTGTAATGCTGACAATTTTAAATAATATCAAAAAATGAAAACCGATGGATCCAAAAATGGATATACAAGGTTCTGGTCCAAAAGTGACTGTGTGTGTGTGTGTGTGTGTGTGTGTGTGTGTGTGTGTGTGTGTGTGTAGTGGATTGTAAAAATATCTCAATATTTGAAAATTGCAGTGATGTGTCGTAATGTTTGCTATATCACCTGCCTCTTAAAATCAGTATCAGCCACAATTTTCATATCCAGTAGTGTCCATATATCTGATGCATGTTGTGCGTTTCTTATTCTGCAACAGTCCTGTACAATAAGGATGTTGACAATGCTTTGCTAATCATAGGCTGTGTGAAGCAGTAAATCTCTCTATATGTTCTAGAGCAAGTTCTGTCATGTTTTAGCGTGGGTCTGTGTGATCTCTTACCTGTTTTATAAGGCAAGCAAGCCTTTCAGAAACTTGTTTCACTAAGCTGTTGCTAATTCTTTCTCTAGATGTGCCCCTGGATACACAGGCAATCCTGAACGTGGACAGAGCTGCACTCTAGAAAACGGTATCACTCTCTCCATACCTTTTCTCTATCTTTATCGAACCACTATCAGCCACAATAAAATGAAATGCACCTTTTAGCCAACTGTGTCTGAACATATCGGAATTAGACCTCCGCATTTAACCCATCTGTGCAGTGAAACACCACATACACACTAGTGAACACACACAAACTAGGGGCTGTGAGCACACTAATTACATCACATATCTGGGTATTAACATTTCCCCCAAGCTGTCAGAGTTGTTTAAACTTAACTTTAATCCATTAACCAAAACAATAACCGATGACCTTCAATGGTGGACAGACCTTCCCTTGTCCCTTCTCTGTAGAATAGCTGCAATCAAAATGACAGTATTACCTAAAATAAACTATTTATTTTAAATGATCCCCATTCAACCCCCACCTGTTTGGTTCAAATCTTTGGACACTGCAATAACCAGATTTTACAGGAAAAATAAACCACCCAGAATTAAACTCTCCACATTACAAACTCAAAGTCTCACAGCGGCCTAGAAGCCCCAAACTTCTTCCACTGTTTCCTTGCAAATCAGCTCCATTACATACTTAAATGGAAAAACCCCAACATAAGACAGATCATGGATCGACATAGAACACTCATTATGCAAAGACATCCAAATATCCGATTTACCATTTATCAGTCAGTCAATTAAAAAACATCCATGTTTTAACAATATAACAGTGGCAACAACCCTGACAGCTTGGTGGTCACTTCACAAGATAACAAATTCAGTCCTCACACCAACTATCTACACTCCCATCTGGTATAACCTGGACTTTATCATCAATAAAAAAACATTAAACCTCTCCACCTGGATGGAAAAAGGCATCACACATCTTAAACATGTTTATCACAACAATACCTTTATGTCACTCCCACAACTAATCCAGAAATATGGCATCAGGAGCACTGAGTTTTAACAATACCAACAACTAAGATCAGTAATATGTCCAAAAATCAACTCAGAAACACTAGACTTACCGATTCCAATCTCAGAATTTATTAACATCACCACTACTAAAAAACTACTATCCAAAATACATCAAATAATAGCTAAATCAAACCTCACAATTACTATACCAATCAAACAATGGGAGGAAGACTTACCATCAGCCCCTGATGCAGATTTCTGGATTCAGACATGCAATAATAATCAAAACATGATCAAGAGCACCAACCTACAACTTATTCAGTATAAAATCATCCACAGAGTGCACTACACCACACACAGAATGTTTAAAATGGGATTCACAAACACAGCAATCTGTACACAATGCACCCAAAACACAAACGATAGCTATATCCATGCCATGTGGCACTGCACACCCGTTCATCAGTTTTGGCAAGAAATCATCACCTTCCTATCACACGCCTTTGTCAGCCACATCCAACCATCACCACCACTCTGCCTGCTAGGAGACATATCAACAACCAATATGACAAAAGAAAAGAATAGAATGCTTCTCATAGCACTAACCATCACCAAGAAAACCATACTCATGAACTGGAAAACAAAACATTAGCATTAACCACTGGAAAAACCAATTAATGGATTATATATCCATGGAAAAACTCTCAGAATCTATCAATATCAAAAACAGTAACCCAGAGCCAGCCTGTACACTTCTGATAAAAAGCCCTGCAAAGCCCTACAGTAACCTGCAAAACTACTAGTCACAAGAATTAACCCCCCAGAGCCATCCTTAGAGCAGACAGTACAAATGGGTTACATTTTGTTCATGAAATGAGTGGATAAAAATTAATAACTGATAAATAAATTGTTGTATGTAGAACTTTGGGCGCCTTTGGTTAAATTCCATGTTTTGTTGATTTTCTAAGTGAACATATGTTAACACGTCCTCTACAGAGAACACACTTCTGCTCATTTTAATGCATAAATACTGCTTTGGCCTGTGAAGAAGTTATGGCACGTTTTTTTATGTTTTATGTTTATGTTAAACTCAGCAATTACAGAGAAATTGTGTGCTAAAATTTGCTGAAAAATCTCATATTTAAGGTAACATGTTCATTACCTCAAGCCTCATTGCTCAGTTTGGATTTTTTATCAGATCTGATCTTTCTAACTTAATGGTTCAAAATTGTGTTGATGAATGACTTAAATCTGTCACTGATACAAAAATAAAATAAAATAAAAATGTCCACAATGATCTGCAAGAGCCCATCCTTAGCAATAAAGTCACATTAATGAACCACGTGTGTTATAAACAGCAAAAAACTAACCAGCAGAACAAGCCTTCGTCGCAAAGATCATTTGCTCTGAACAGCTCCATAATAGAGCGAGACAAAGGCAAGAAAGGTCAGATTTGTTGCTTTTGCACTGTTTACTGGTGCTAACTTCAGGTATGGCGTTGCAGCCGTGTTAATGCTGAATGACGGGGCATGCTCAGTGAAAAAAAAACACATGAATTCCTATCTGAGGGTTTTCGTTATGGTTGCAAGGCCACAAATCGGATATGCATCAGATCTAAAACCACGTATGAAAGGCTGTGTTTAGATTCCCAGACTGAAGGTTCATGTGACGTTAATGAGAACAGCTGGATCGGATTTTATGTTGTCTTTTTTTTTTTTTCTGCGCATGCATCCACCGTTCAGTGTTAACATGGCACCAGCACCTAACCTGAAGTATAAACGCAACGTATCATACCCTAATAATGAACAGCTTTATTATAATAATGAAACACGTTCCTGCTGGTTAGTTTATGATGAATATGGTTCATTCACATGATGTTTTTGATTGTGCGCATGCAGGTTGTTTCACGACATGTTCGTTCACATTAATGACAGATTGAAGTCGCTTACCTGCACGAACATGATCAATCAAGTTAGAAAGATCAGATCTGAGCGAAAAATTGAACTGAGCAATGAGGCTTGTGATGTGAACATAGCTAAAGCAGCCCAGATCTGATATGAAAAGATCAGATTTGCATATCCTCACAGCTTTAAAACATCACATCTGTGTCACATTAATGCAGAAAATCTGATTTGTGCTTCAGCCTTGTAATGTGAAAGTAGCCTAAGTGTGTCCCCCATAGAGGATGTGTTGACTTATTTTCACTTAATCAACAAAATGTTGACCAACTGTATTCAAACTTTTCCAGCGACTGTATTTCTGTTTTGAAGCAGTATAGTTTGTTGTATCATATGGAGATTTTCTCTTCGCCACTCTTTGCAGCCTCATCTGTATACCTGTGATCGCTAACATTTGGCTTATCTCAAAGACAACCTTTTGCTAAGTCTGTTTAACGGTCCTGACTGAGCACATGTTTCCTGTCCACAGGAAACTGCTACAGCTGTGACCCCCGAGGCAGTGAGGGTTGCACTTCAAATGGGATCTGCCGTTGCAAGGCAAGCTCACATTTACAAATACCGTTCTCATATTGCCTGTCCAAGTTTAGATGGAACATTTGAAAACAAGTTTCATATCTCAATGTGCTCTCTCACATCCAGATGAATGTGGAGGGCCCATCATGCTCCAGCTGCAAATCTGGCTCCTTCCACCTCAGCCCTGCCAACAAAGATGGATGTCTAATGTGCTTCTGCATGGGAGTCACTCAGCAGTGCTCCAGCTCCTCCTACTACAGAGACGTGGTAAGACACCAAGAGTGGACTATTGTCCTTTATCTTTTGACCAACCTAATGTCATTAGTTGTTAACCTGCAAAACCCAAAAGCCCACAGCCCTTTGGAAACCTAATTAGGGAGGAAGCTTTAGATACTTAAACTAAAGCATAAATTAACACAGAGCTTTAAAACAAACACTAAAACACAGCACACGTGTGGTCCCCTCATCCTCAGCTATCATTTATACTTCCTTGTAAAGTTTAGGCTCCTCCCCTCAGTTACACCAGCAAAGGCTTTGGTATCAGATATACCTGTGAAGGGAGAGACAGGGAGAGAGATGCACAAACAGAATACCAAATATGTGCTTACATATAACAGTAGGTTGTGATTACTGACTGAAACTATGGCACAAAAATACCATATGTACTGTACTGTGCCATAAAATCCTGTAAAATGACACGTTGAACAAAATCACAGGATTTTGATCCAAAAAGGTATGGAAGTCTGGAGGTCTTAAGGCATAAATAAAAAGTTGTTCGGCTGCATGGAATGGAAAAAATTGTTATTAACCAGAGGTTTCACACTGTCTGGAACAGGTAAGGAAGATTTACGTTTTCAGTTGCAGTTTTGCCAATAGCAAAATACTGTTTCTGTTTTTTTGTTTTTTACTCCTTAAACTGGATCAGAGCCCTGCTGTCTCAGGAAGAAAGTACTAAACTGTACAATTCATGGTACAAACACTGTCACAGGGGTGGTTACCTCAAGAGAACATTCTGTAATTGTACCATATCCTGTTGTAATTATGTGTAACTTCAGGCTTTTTGTTTCATTTTTCCACACAGTTACACCTTTGACCACTGTTATTCCTTTACATTATTTGTACTTCAGGGGAAATAAATATACCTATACAGTAACCGTTTTTTTCTCGCAATGTGGTGTATGGCTACTACAGGACAGCTGGTGAAGATCTGAAGATCTTTCAGGTTGCTTTTGTCCTTAAAATGGACACAGAACGCAATGTCACTGTTTTCTTCTCTTGTCTTCAGGTCACCACTGCCTTCGCTCCAGGAAACACGCAAGGCTTCGCTCTTGTGAACCGGCAGCGCACCAGCCGCATCGACACTGGATTCTCAGTGGAAGTGTCTACGGACGGGACCCAGCTGTCTTTCACCAGCTTTGACCGCCTCGGTCAGGAGCCTCACCTCTGGCAGCTACCCAACAGCTACCAAGGAGACAAGGTACAGTCTGACGTGGTTTTAAGCTCTTTTCAGTCCAGTTCGTTCATATACGGATGTTTGCAACTGCTTTTGTGCATCTCTTCCCACTTTTGCAAGCTCTGCAAGTTCTTCTGTTCTTCTCCTTTCCTTTTCATGTTTGACTCTGCAGCTCCTTCACAGATGAAAGAGGGTTTTGTCTTAGGGGTAATTTAGATGGAAGCTCTGTTTCTTGGTACTGCATTTGTACCGTTTAATTTTGGACTCAATAGCTTTGTTCTCAACCAGAGGACCTTTCGTGGAAAAGGCTTCCAAAAGTTTATCAGTGTGGAAACGGAAATTGCCGGTAATATTTTATGAATGTCAACAGAACTTAAGTGAAAAATTTGATTACCTAAAATATCACAAAACCTAATTTTTTGTTCTTTTGTTTAGATTTTTTTTTTCTCATTTACACACAAATTCTGTCATGTGACCGATTTCCCTTATGAAACAAACTGAGAAGGAGATAAGAGCATTTTTAAAAGGAAGTCTTTTAAAGAGCGACGCCCAGAAAAGGCTGCAGCTCTTTTAAATGTGAAGTGCTCAAATGGGTCTATGTGGCAGAAAAATGTGATCTCGCGTAATGGTTCAGATGGAAAAAAATTCTTTATCAGTAGGTTTAGGAGAAAGTCCAGGAAGCTAAAAGCACACACGTAGCATCATATATGAAAGTAGGCCTGTGCATGGTGGTGGTTAATCACATTACCATGGTAACAGCCCCCATTGATGGTAAAAATATCATTTACCTTCAGTTTAAAAAAATGCGTTGTTAATTTATTCATTAAATTCATGCAAACCACTGCAAGACAGATGTATTCTTACACATAAACATAACTGACTATTAGTAGGTGCTGTGATATACTACAGTCATATAGTATCTTAGTCACAGTTCATTTACATTTTAGAATTTTGAAAAATGTAAAACAAAAAATAAAAGTTATGACAAGTAGAAGGAACAAAAAATATTCATGATTCTGCACTATTTCTAGGTCACTACTCAAATTTAAGCAAAATTGTGACACCAACCATGTTAAGGCCTTTGCAGAACAAGTTAGATTTTTTTTTTTCTTGAATCTTATTCCTTCCATTGAAGCTGTGTTCTGTTAGTGGTCAAAGTCTAGCCAGCTCGAGTACAGTTCTGAAATTCATGTAAATATTTCAAAGATTCTAGTGTTCACTTTATTATGCTGACGATATAATTTGTAATGAAAACCTACTCTATCCTCACACCGTAAAATGACTTTGTTCATTTTCATGTTCATGAGTAAAAAAAAAATGTCTCAGCTCTCGTTCATCAGGCGAAATGGGTCATTTTAAATGGCCTCAGATGAAAAAAAGGCTTCAGAGAAGAAGGTAAAGGGCCAAGATAAGCTAAGCAGCTACAAACTCTCAAACAGTAAAGTTCACAATTTCATTCTTTGTTCAGTTTTGTGAAAAAATAAAAGATGACTATATACTACAACCACAACCTTTTCTGAGCGACACTTTTATGTTCTTTTATTTGGCAAATATTAAGACTTACTTTGTCTATTCCTGGCTGTGCTTTAAGGAAACCATCAGAAAACTACAGGTTTAACCCCCCCAACCCAGTTTAACCATTTACCACAGTTATTTTCCACATAGCCAACCAAATTAAAGAAATCTGTTACTAACACAGGCCTACATGAAGTTTAAGATAGAAACATCTCAAATGCAACTTTATTTTTAAATTGATAAACCAAAACTAATGCAGCAACGTTTTTTCGCATAGATTACATCATGTAAAGAATTTGTATCGCTAAAAGTGATAAAAACAAGCTGCTTTTTTAAAACATATTTTTATTTGATTGCTTGTGATTTGAGAGAAAGTGTATAGCACTGTTAACAACTTGTATTTGTTGAAATATCCTTTTTTGCCCTTTGTAGAAGCAGGCCCACTTTACTCGATCGAAACGAGCACGCAAGGTAAAGCACTGAGCGTGTCAGTTTTGCAGTGACTTTGATCAGACTTTTTGAGCAGGTTTTATGGTGTTACTGTGTTCGTCATTGTTTTGACATGGCTTGTCTTTTAGAATCGCTCATTCTCGGCTGCAGCCTGAGTCTGCATGATTGATGGTTGTTGTTTCATTAGTCATGCTCTGTAACTTTTTAAGCTAAGCATTGTGGCTTGAAAGTCAGCATCGTTTAAGAGTGTTTAAACAGTGCCTGTGATTTCATGATGTACTCATGTGAGTGTTCCAGCATATGACTATATAATTTACATCAAAGCAGTATTCAATTTTTTTCAGTCACACTATGTTGGCTCTTTGCAGTTTGCTGAAATATATCTTGAGAATCTTTTGTACACACTTAAAATTGATGGTTCTTGAAAGGTTCTTTAGTAAAGAAAATGGTTCTATATAGAACCATGAACACTCAAAGAACCCTTTGCATCACTAAAGCGTTCTTCAGATTGACAGAGAATGTGTTATATGTCTCTACATAGAACCTTTTTCCATGGGTTCTGCTATTGTTATGATGTTAAGCTTGTTTGAGTGTTCATGGTTCTGTATAGAACCATTTTCTTTACTAAAGAACCCTTGAAGAACAATCATTAAGTATGTAGTATGAAACTAGCCACTATACTTGTACAAAAGCACTGGGCGCTCAGTGGTCTGAGACTTGACCTAATTAGAGTTAAAGAATGCTATAACAAGAGTTAAGTCCCAATTAATTAATCCACTTGATAAATGTGGTTGCAATGGAGTTATAATTTTAATTTGCTCATTATATACAATATTGAACACAGAAGGGAACCTAGAGGCTACATGTAGGGATTACAGTGAGACTTGCTTTATTCACAATATTAGCAAGACTCTACTCGGCTAGAGGATCAGCTGAGGAAGGACGACTCCATATGGCAGCTAATGCGCTCTATAAGTAAAAGCCCTGCAAGGTCCAAAAGAGCTAGCAAGGTATCCATGCACTTTTACTCAAAATTCTCACCAGCATGCTGATTGTGACACTTATTGCGTGCCCCCCCTGCCCCCTGCCCCTATAGTATATAACAATTATAATAATAAAGTACTAATATCAAAGCTCCAAATTCTGCACCTGAAAATAACTTGTGGGCCACTTGTTGCTGGAGTTCTGTTGCTTTCAGCTATTAACAGTTTACTCAGTACTGACTTTTGGTCTTTTTGACTCTCAAGCACACTTCTTTTCATTGTTGTCTATGGAACAATGCACACTGTGACAGAAAAGCACTCTTCTAATTTGCACACTGCACTTCATAGTTTTAAACCAGGCTTTTCTGTTGGAAAAAAAGTCAAGCTTTCCCGCTCAGCGCCATGAAAAAGCACAATACGTCATTGCAGCTGACCAATCAGTATCAAGGACGCTTTCTAGTCACCAAAAAAAAGGCTCGTTTGGCTGTTTTTGAGCACTCAGACTTGTGTACTTTGTACACTTGGTATAAAGATTAACACAGTCTGAATGTGACAGAAGGTCTCTGTCTTTCCTGTTCTCTCAATTTGCTCTCTTTTGCACACCTTAAGAAGCGGGACCTCCTTCTTTTTAAGGGCCTGCTTTGCATTTAAAAAGGTGCTGTCTGACGCCCCCTAAACCAGCAACAGCGTCCTGGAGATGCCATAACTTACAGCAGACAAATTTATATACTTTATATAAATGAAAGAACTTTTAACAGGACAGCATGGAAATTATGATGACTGGTAACCCAGTCATGTGGTATCTTGGATCTTACCCTGTCTTAACGCACTATTCTGCATGCCTTTACTCATCCCTCTGCATGCCTCTATTTGGAAGTAACCCTTGGATCCCTTCCTGTTGTCCTTGTTGACCTTTTGGGTCACCATGGTACCTGTTCGCTTCATCCTTCCCGCCTCTCACCAGCCGTCTGCTGCCGAAGTGCGTAAATTCGATGAAGAAATCTGGGCACTGCTAACCAACTTCTCCAGTGGGCGGCCGGCTTCCTCCTTCTCTTCATCGTCCTCCAGAACCTCTTCCTCCTCCTATTCGTTTGGAGCTTCCGGTTCCATGGGTCGTTCAGGTGGCCATAACCCCAGCCCCCCTTCCCCCCCTTCTGCCATAACCTCCCCTTTGAGACCCACTGCATCCCACCATGCTGCCCCAGGCCATGTCCCAAACAGTAGCTTAGTGAAGGTATTGTATGATCTCTCTGGCAGTCTTGTTTAGGCTTTGAAATAGCAGCAGAGTTTGCTCAGTGAAAAACTTAATTTAGGGAATTTTCCCCTCGTCAATCAGACAAGAAATGTTCACCAGTCAAAGTTTTTTTTTTTTTAAGTTTTGATCTGGCTAATGTAGTGAACAAGTAATGGAAACTTATAGCCCACCTATTCGAATTAGAACCTGTTAGAATCGTTGCCTCAAAATGTTTCATGCTGTTAGCAAACTTATATGTACTTATTGTGGCTCCTATCAAACTGGAATCTCTTAAAATGGAAAGAGAGACAAAATGAAGGCTTCAAGATAACTGCTAGTACTGTTTTTAGCAAGTTACATAGCATTTTATTCATTTTGACTGTCATATGGTGTCAAAAACCGCATAAAAAAAGCTTTTTTTAGATTATTTACCAAATTGACATGGTTTGAGGCAAGTGTGTGATGTAGGAGTGCAGTTTGCATAATGCTAATTAGTGGGTATAAGCTTCCATTGCTTGTTAGCTGCAATAGCCTTATGGCTAATGCGGCTAACTGGAAAAATAAAGGAGGAAACATTCAACAATCTTGGCTGATTCACTACATTTGGGTTAAGATGAAAACTGTCTTTAGAGTTTTGGAGCTTTTTTAAGTCCAGCTTTGCTCTTCACTAGTTTGATTCTAGTTTGAAATGTTGGTCTTGCTAACAAGATAAACGGAGAAAAAAACACTGTGGTTCTGTTCATTTCTGTTGGTTCCTCCAACAATTTAGTCATCTTGTGACCGCATATCACTTGAATCCTGGGAAAATATCACCCTCTGGGGCACAACCAAGTTGATCCTAAGCATGTTTGCATTGTCAGTCATGTTGATGATCATTCAATGAGAGGGGTTAATGTTTGGCAAAATGAGTCGTTTCTTAATGTAGTAAAGACGTTAATCAGTTATTAGCCTTCAGTTGTAGGTATGCGAGAAGGTTTGTGAAGGTTAACCAGAAATTGGTGACCGGAGTGTGAGGGTGGTTCTTCCCTCTAAATCTTGCATGGAGAGCACACTAGAAGTGTTAAAAATGTTTTCAAATAATACTTTATTTTTGGTCATAGGCTAAATATCACTAAACCCCTCCAGTGCTCCTGAATTTTGGCGCCATTTGTCGTTATGTCTGAAGTAGCAGTTTTGATTTTTGCAGTTTTCTTGTAGAAACCTGAAACCCTTTCTCTTATAATCTGCTGTCTTTGCTCTCTGCTGTGCTTATCTGCAATTTTCTGTCTCTCTTCTGCCGCTGCCCCTTTCATTCCTCTCTGTGCTTCAGTACCCTCTGGTCTCCAAAGGGTTCAGTTTACACCCGGAGGACGTGCTCTTCTGGCAGCTTCCAGAGCAGTTCCGAGGGAACAAGGTAACTAGTCTGCAGTGGGCTGGGTCCAGCCAAGTGCCAAACTGCTGACCTGTCTGCTGCTCCAGTCCAGGCCTAAGTGCTCCTCCACCTGTGCTAACATAAGATCATAGTGAGGTCACTGGAGCACTTCCGTGCAGCGGATGGGCATCTTTAAACCTTGTGTGTTTATTCCTAAGCAATTTCAACTACGGCTGTTCCAGTGTGAGCTTAATCCTGATTAGTAATACTAGTGCTTTTGTTGAATTTTGCGTTCAAGACAGATCTGCAGGTCATGCATTTCTTAAAGGTTTTATAGCAGTTATGATATAATTTAAAGCACTTATTGAATATTAAGTCTTAAGATTGATAAAGACTGCAGGAAAAGGGCTTGAGGACAATGAGAAGCCCAGTTATCATGAAAGTGCTCATATTCTGGAATTCCAACAGGTGGGCTCCTATGGGGGAAAGCTCAAGTATACCATCTCATACGTACCTGGACCAAGGGGAGCTCCCATAGACGACGTTGACGTCCAAATCATTGTAAGTAATACGTCTCTTGTTACATAAGGGGTGCGCAGCGTCCCCAGGGCCGGCTCTAGCATTTCAGGGACCCTAATGAGGGTTTTTTGGGTTCCCCTTCCATCTGCCTAGGCACTTAATCCCAAACTGTAATAACAATATAATATGATACATATTTATAAAGAAGTGACTAGATGTAAATATATCATGTGATAATAATAAGGAAATCAAATAAACCAAAGATCTTAGCTCTCTGTGCAGCTTTGTAATCATCTGTCAACACCTCCCCACACTCCACCCCACCACCACCACACACAACTTTGGGCCAGCCGCTGGGACCTGGTCTTTTAAGGGGTTTGGTGATTTAATCAGTGAACTGCGGGAGATTCAGATTTACAGAGTCACAGCAGGGTCAAAACATTTTTTTAGGAACTTTGGAAGTAAATAACATTAGTGAGAAGAATATATTGTGTATTTTTAAGTGTAAATAGAAGATTGTTTTGTTGAATAAATAATAAATTTTGAGCCTTTTTCCAAGCTGCATTACATGCTGATGTTTTAAAGTGTGATAGGACTGCTAAAGTTAGAGTAACCTGTGACATATGTACTGTGTCTGTATGTTAAACAATTCCTGAGTTGTAAAGCATAGAAAAAAAGTCATCAAAATGCCTGTAAAGTTGCTCTGATTAATAAAAAAGTTCTGGAACAGAACCATCGTAATAATTGTACGAAAACAGGAAACTGTTGGTGTGGTAGTAGCCCCCTTTTGTTGTTTGTTAGACAGAGCCAGCTCTGAGTGTTTTGTTAAAAATAAATAACTTCACCACATTCTTATTTCTAGGGTAATGACATCACCCTAGTGTCCCGCCAGGACTGGAGAAGAGGACAGGGGACAAGAGAGTCCCGTGAATTTGAGATTGTCTTCAGAGAGGTGAGAAACTTTACTGGTGCAAAGAATTAAATGCTAAAATAATGTACAATTTGCTTTAATACATCATAGTTTAAATTTGGTGCAGTGTATGATTTTTCACTGGTGTTTTTGGGTAGCATGTCAGATGTAGTCAATAAAAACTAATCTTTAGATTATAAGTGAATTATTAAGAAGTTGATATTTTTGATAACAGTGCTAATAAAAGACAATGCAGAAAAACATAAAGGCCTAAATACTACAAAGGATTAAACTGAAAATGATCAATATGAAATTACTGACAGATCTTTTTCTTTTGTTTCTCTGTAGGAGAACTGGAAGCGTCCTGATGGTATGCCGGCCACTCGGGAGCACCTGATGATGGTGCTGGCTGACCTGGACGACATCCTTATCCGAGCATCCTATCACACAGAGATGCGCTCCTCCAGCATCTCAAGGGTCAGCATGGAGATCGCCGTGCCCAACTACACAGGCCAGACCCAGGCTCTGGAGGTGGAGCAGTGTCGCTGTCCGCCTGGGTACCACGGCCTGTCCTGCCAGGTATGACCAAATCCACCACACTGGCCAGTTACAGTGGAATTGCAGCAAGTTGGAACTTGTTGTAAGAAAGCGTCATAATTGTACCTTAATAGAAAAAAACGAGGAAATGCTTTTAACATCTGTTAATGAAACGTAAAAGGTTCAAAACCTTATGTGACATCACTGTATGACTGCGCTGCCATTTTGGTGACCAGAAGAATGAAAACATATTGTGTGCTGTGCAGTTTGATTGGAGAACAGCAATCAATTAGCTTCTCACACACCTGATTCAACTTACTAACAAATGAACTAGCAGCTCGTTGGCTGGGTCAGGTGTGAAGAGTAAGAAAAACTTAAATGTGCAAAGCTGGTTAGCACAGACAGATTCAAACAGTTTAAGTAGCAGCAGGTAATCACTGAAACACACATGCACTACAATAGTTTTATCTATTTTACAGTAGCTTACTTTAGTGTAGTATTATAGCCTCTGGCATTAAGCAGTACATGCTTTTGGGATACCATGAAGTATTATATTTCTGTATTTTATAACTTTTAATATTTCATATGATTTAGCAAGCTGTTTAAATCCGCTAGTTCACTCGGTTCTCTTTCCCTTTCTCAGCATTACTATGTTAGTTCAACAACATAAATAAAACAGAAAATAATTTATAAAAGAACCTTTCATTTTTTGGACAATTCAAGGATGTTCATTTCTGCGCATCACTAGTTTTTATCAATAATAGTTTTTCTCTGTCTGCTGTATTTCAGGACTGTGCTCCAGGCTACACCCGCACAAGTGGAGGCCTATACCTTGGCCACTGTGAGCTGTGTGAATGTAACGGCCACTCTGACTACTGTCATCCAGAGACTGGAGTCTGCACGGTAAGCTGCATCCACACCATCACATTACAGACATTCTTTGAGGAAGCCTGTAGAACAGCATGCTCATGAGGGTCTGTAGTAGTTGGTGTCACTGACACAGTTTATGTTTAAGTACTGCACAGTTTAATTGGCATACTTCAGATCTAAGACTAGTAAGAGGCTTCATTAGGTTCTGTCTTTGATTTGACGATGGCTGTTTCTTTGCTTCTTGACAGAACTGCCTGCATAACACCATGGGCGAGCTCTGTGAGCAGTGTTCCCCTGGCTACTTTGGAGATGCCTCTGCTGGAACTCCAGAGGACTGCCAGCCCTGCGCTTGTCCACACACTGACCCAGAGAACCAGTTAGTCCTAGAAACCACATTCATTATTTACAGTTATTTAATCCTGATGCAAAGAATGTTTGTTTTCTTTCCACAAAACAAGATTGAAGGCCTTTGCTCACTGAGCGCGATTTATTCTGATGAATTAACTATTAATCCAACACGTGCGTAACTGCATGATATCTTGTACACCAAATGAGATTTTTGGAGAGTGAAAATACATTATTTTATTCACCATCTATTTGTTTTTTGCAAACTTTGGCAGGCAACACAAACTCACTTGATGAATAACTGTTGTTTCTGGCATTTGCATAGCAACAATCAAGTTGACAGAATGGCTGTGTCCTAGCAACTAAAACAATTTGTCCTCTGCTTCGACACGTGCGGTGCTAGCTTCTCCAAAAGCAACTCAAAATGAGTTACAGACAGGGCCGGGCCTGGACTATAGGAGGCCTTAGGCAAGATTTTACCTTGTAAGCCCCCAGTTTTTATTTACTTAATCAGCTATTTAAATAAGAAAATTAAATACAAAAAAAACGTCTCATCTTGTGATGTTTTTACTAAGTGTGCGACAGAATGTCTTGACACAGATGTGTGTCTCACATTCAGTAAAATGGCCACATCTAAAACTATAAACATTTGGTAAAGATATGAGTAAAGATATAAGTTGTCATTTTGTAGGTATGTTTTGAATCACAAAAAAACACCACATCAGACAAATTATGAGGTACACAGTATCTCTTAAGGTAACTGCTTGCAGTAAACAAATGTAAACAAACTTTCTCATTTTTATATCCCAAGTACCTCATTAACCTGACCTGTAACTCACTCACACATGTTTAGCAGACTGAATTTTCTCCACAAGGGGGTGCCATTAGCTCTAAAGTAGGTTTTATGAGGATCACTGAAAGAGAAGACTCATATCAGCAATCTTTGCAGTTAGTAACTAACTGTAATACTGCTACATACAAAATATACAGTTTGTTGCTTGATTATTTTACAAATAAGACACTCTGTTCTCCTTTCTCTTTCCAAAATGGAACGTAGCCTAAAAAAACGTTTTCTGTCCGTAGTGAACAATTTAGATACAAAAAAAATCATGTTGGAATATTTTGCATTTTCCTGTCTATTAGTCATGGTGTGTGCAGTGTGTTTTGGCCTTAACCCTTCATCAAATTCAAAAACATAATTATTTCCTATTCTACATACAAAATTGAATGTGGCAATGATTAAAAGTTTAGAATTTAACTCTAATCTATTCCTGGACTTGCAGAGTTGCTCTTTGGTGGAGTTTTAAACATGTAAATCTCAACACTTGATAACTCACAGTACTATCCTGCTTTCAACATGAATATCAGAACAACTTGCGTTTGTGTTTAGATTCTCTCCCACTTGTGAAAGTCTGGGCAATGGGGACTATCAGTGCACTGCCTGCCAGGCTGGCTACACTGGCCAGTACTGTGAGCGGTAAGTTAGCCCACTTCAGCGGTCACATTTGAGTGGCTCTTGTGTTTTCAAATGAGTCACAATAGATCTGTGTTGTCATTCTGTTTTACTTCTCTTTAAACAGCTGTGCATCTGGATATTTTGGAAATCCGCAAGAGAGAGTCAAATGTCGCCAATATAATGGTGAGATCTATGTTCTTTTTTGCTGAACTATAAAAAAATAGTTCAGCCAAAATCAAAAAGAAATAATTTTTTTGCAGTCAGGCAAAAAATGAAAAATGAAAAAAGTAATTGTTGACATGACAACACCATGCTGTAACATTTAGTCCATTTTCTTAACTTAGTGATGGTCTTAATATACTATAAGCTGGATAGTTAAGCTGTAAGCTGGTGTGAGTAATGGATGTGTTTGTTTGGTATCAGCGGCTGCTTCTCTGGTGGTGATGGTGTATCCTGAGAGGGTGCTGGTGGCTCAGGGCAGCCCAGTTACCCTCAGATGCCAGGCATCTGGAGTCCCACCCCACTATTTCTACTGGACCCGCAATGATGGCCGCCCCATCTCCAGATCAGCAGAGAGACGCAGACAAGGTACTGCTTTTACGCTAGTGGTTACAGCTATGTAGAGTGAAAAGGCCCTTGTGGTTTATTTTTGTAGTTTACATTAGCAGTAATCAGTGAGTGTAAGCAAGCAGTGATTTTGCTCATGTGTGTGTATGTATATGTATATATATATATATATATATATATATACATATATATATATATATATATATATATATATATCTGGTAAACTCTTTCATTGCCTGCAGGAGAGGAGCTGTATTTCCCCAGCGTCCAGCCCTCAGATGCCGGCGTCTACATCTGCACATGCCGAGACCGCCAGCACACCAACCGCAGCCACGCTGAGATCGTCGTAACAAGTAATGCTGAGAGTTACAGGCAGAATAACTTAATGTCAGAGTCAGTATGTCTCTGTCTGCTGCTTTCATTGCTGTGTATTATATGCTGTGTACTTGAGGGCCTGTTTGTTGTTAAGTAGCTGCAGTACTGTGCATAGGTTTTAGTTACCTGAGAAAATTACAGTTTGAAGCTATTTATCTGGTCAGTAAGTGTATTTGACTAAACACATAAAACACCAGTACAGTAAGTATGTAATTAAGTGTCTTTTTGCATATGTCATTGTGTTCATTTAACCATTTCCAAACATCTCCTTGAGGAAGCCCAGTATTATTTGTATTATCATCCAATACCTGGATTGGCTTATCAATACTACATTATGTTAAATCAGTTGTGCACTTGATGGAATGTGACTATTCCATGTGACTGGCTGGGGAGACAGGAGATCTCCAGGAGACATCTAGAACCAAACTTTGCTCTTCAAACTAGCTCCTTTAAAAAAAAACAAAAACAAATAAGAAGTTCTTGTTACTGTATTTGTGTTTATTTGCATCTTTTCTAATGATGTATTATGATTTTACAAGCAAGAACACTTATTTTTAAAAAAAAATAGTTTTAAACAATGTGCTTAGGTGCTTAGGTGCAGGAGCTAGAGTTTCATTCGTGGGACTGAGAGGGAAAATACAAAGTGTGGTTCAGAAAACTAGCAAGTAATTCCGTTGATACACACATACATACACTGCTTTTTAACTTGAGATTTAGAAATGGAAAATTAAGGGTTCAGAAGGCTTAAGCTTGGGTTCGCAACGAGCACAAAGCTTAAGATAATACCAGACTGTGAATGCAAATTGCCACAGTTGCTGTGGCTCAAGCCAAAGTCAGCCTCGTGCATGAACTTCAAGTTTTCACTTGTTACCAGAAATGTGATCTTCTTTTTGGTATACTTCATGTTTGTTTATTAGACTTGATTTGATTAACCTCTGGTATTGTGATCATGAGAGCTGCTCATTATCACAGTACCACAGCATTATCACACTGCGAAGGGAAGTAACAGGAGATCGCATCTCCATGAAAGTCATGTTTCTGTCTCTCGCTAGCCTCACCATCCAAACCCATCGAGGTCTTCATTGAGGAACCCAACGTTCAGAGTGTAACAGCGGGAGCTACAGTGAGCTTCATCTGCACCGCCAAAAGCAAAGTAGGAACCACATTTAACACTGTTTACGCTGTTTTTTTTTTCATTCCATCTTTAAGGTTTTCAGATTTTGCATGTGAATGGATAAAGGTTTAATCTGATTTTAGGGCTACACGATATGGACATAAATTGCAGTGACCAGCTCTTTTTCCTGTGTAAACAGAAGTCTGTCTAACCTCGCAAAAGCACAATTCACTATTGCACAAATGTAAAATAAGAATAATGGATTACTAATAGCTAACATCCCTTGCTTGCACATTTTTTGTGCACTGTATGGCTGAAAAACAGTCAGCATTCCCTGAACAGCCATTTCAACATAGACATAAACATCTTAAAGAAATAACTAAATATGTTCTATATAAAGCTTCTTATAGTGATGCAGCTTTGTTGTAACAGTAGTCGTTACTACTACACGTTTTACACTCAACATTGGGAGTGGGAATAATCACACTTTAAGTATTTTTTAAAGGCTTTTAGTTCAAGAAAAAGTAGTTTTTGAGCTATGCATGCATGTCTTTGTAACTCTTCGTGGGAGACCAGAGGTCAGTCTGGCTCAGGAGAGCTTACTGCTGCTGTATTTCCCATCAATCTAATTATATCACTGTCACACTGCATGCATAATGTACTTTGATCCAGTTTGTCATCGCAGCCCTTAACAGTGTGGTCATCAGAGAAATTCCCATCAGCATAAAAATAAAAGTATGACTAATTGGGCAGCCCAGCTCTGGTTATTTGTGATTACAGGCAGATCACAAGTACAGAAATGATTTTGCTTTCTCTAAAGCCCTGTTCGAGCTGGATTAGTTTTATCTGGGGAAGTACTATTGTGTGCGACTAGAACTCCAGCATTGCTGTTGTGACTGTTAGTTTAGCACTACTACCAGCCTATCATACTGCTACCACGCTGTGCTGAGTATGGTCCAGCCCCTAAATGATCTGGTCAGTGGTGGTCTTATGGTGGTCCTTTTCCAATGATGAATGGGGTAGAAGGGGGTTGACACGTTGTTCAGCAACAGATGAGCTACAGTCAGTAATTGTAAACTCACAAAGTGCACATATATGGCAAGTGTTTCTGATAAATTGGCCAGTGAGAGTAGTTGTTCTGTGAATGTAGGGCTGATGAAAGTGGACCTTCTGTGTTCATCAAATCAAATCATCAAATTCGTCAAATTCTACCACACTAAAAGTAGCCCTGATTGGTAATGTAATAGCATGGTAGTTACATTGATGTAATACCAATGTAGTTCTATTAATGTAATACCAATGTAATTACATTAACATCATACCAAAACCTAGTATTTGACTTGCTTATTGAGTTTCTCTCCAGCCATGCACTGCTAGCTTATACATCTGGGCTCTGAAATTTCAGTCAAGGTTAAGCATGGCTATTTGGGGTCATTACAATTCTTTAATTACCTGACAGATACCTGACATTACAGAACCTCCTCAAACTGTTCCAGCTCCAGTAGTGCTTAACGCTAAAGGGTCTTTGAGTGTCTTACTGACATACTTGAACTTCACTCAGTCTCCAGCGTACACCCTGGTCTGGACGCGCCAAGGCAACGGCAAGCTGCCCAACCGGGCCATGGACTTTAACGGCATCCTGACCATCCAGAATGTCCAGCCTGAAGACTACGGCGTCTATGTCTGCACTGGCTCCAACATGTTTGGCATGGACGAAAGCTCTGCTGTCCTCCATGTCCAAGGTTTGTGACTGGCGCTGTTCCTTTCACCATCGTCCTCTTAAGACCACCTCAAGTTCCACCTGTCAGTTTCCTCTACCTGGTTGCTTGCATGCCTTTGGCTTTTGCTCTTCTCTCTCGTGCCCTGGCTCACTGTTTTCCTCTTACGCAAGCTAACTCCTCGGCTATGGCCAACAGCATGGCTCTTCTTGGGTTTCTCAATGTGCGTCATGAAATGATCTTCAGTTCTGTTTTAGTTAGATGTTTGTTTTTAATTTTTTTTTACTAATCAAACCGCTTTGGCTTTCTTTTATTGCTTACTGCTAATCAAAGCTTTTCTCTAAATGAAACAATACAGCTTGTGAATGATTAAGGGCAACACAACAGCAGGTAATGATTATAATAATAAATAAATCATTTGATATTTAGAAGGAAATCAATGTGATTAGTAAAAGACTACCAGTGTTTTTGTTTTTTTTCCCTCCAAAGTCTACTTTTTACAAATCACAGACAATCAAATCTTTCAGATTTTTGATGCTGGTATGAAGAAGCTGCTTGTTGATTTTTATAAACTTTTTTATAAATTGAATTTGCTATTTGAGTCAAATATTTATTAATCATTTAAGGCAAAATGCTCCTTAAATGGCAGCTTGTTGCGTCGCATAGTTGTACATGTATATAACATGGTTGTTACAGTTAAGTCCTGCGGCATCTTTAATTTGTACCTTATTAATTAAACGAAGACTGCTGTGTTTCTCAGCGTAATTTCTATCTGCCTCATTAGCATCATATGGTCAATAACCACAATTTTTTGTTTACCTGTACTTAAAAAGGAATTTCTACCATAAACTTCTAATAGAGGCCACTGAGCAGTTGCTGGACTGCTTTAGTAAACGTTAATGTGAAATGCGTCTTCCTGTAAAACACTTCCATTAATTCATTAGTGAATGATATTTGTAATTTAAGGTATAAATGTATAGTTCCTTCTGTCAGAGGTGGGACTAATTTTCTTGAAGAATATGCTAATACTTTATCAGCGTAGTGGTGTGGCTGCGGCTTTTACAGGTTTCTGCCTCGTCGTGCATGAAAATTTTAGCGAATGTGGTGTTGCTCCATTGTTTAGAAGTTGGATGCAATTTCAGAAAAACAGCTGTAGACATCTTAAGAGTGTATGGAGTGTAGCAGATGTAGTTTCCGAAATTGTGTTTATTTGGTCTGGAAAACTACATAAAGGAACTTAGTAGAAATAAATCATCATTTCAAATTTCAGTCATCATTTAAAACATGCTTAAGCTAATCACTTAAGTAAAGGATCCACATCATCAAAAAAACATTTTTTTTTTTATTGAAATAAAACATTTTGGTGTAATATGTAAACACTGATACCATTTCAAAACATTCTTTTCACTCCCCAGTATGTACCGTCCATTTATATAAGCTAAGCTGCGAATTCATTGTTTTTGTGATGTCATGAGAACCAAATCATTTACATGCATCCTCCCATTCAGCCCTCAGCAGGGTAGCCCCGCCCATTCACACTGAGGTTATAAGGAGCTTGTACACCTAGACTGCTTTTTTGAGGCACAATACAGGGCAGCCAATCAGAACAAAGCTCATTTACAAATGTCAGTCTTAAAGGCACAGTAACAAGAAGAGCCTGTTTATGTTAAAATTAATTTTCATCAAACCACACAAAAATTACTGGTGGAGGTCAGAGGGAAAATATGAAATGCAAAAAAAAGCAGAATATGGAGGCTGTCAACAATTTTCTTTGCTTGACTTTTGCACAGTATGTGTTTGAAACACTTATTTACGTAATTCAGCAACCGCCTGACTGCTTCTGCGATCAGTGACAAGATTTCTTTTTTCAAAGCAGAGCGAAACGTTTAAATTACTGTTGGTAATAATCAGCTGTAGTCTACAGATGCAGCAGATAGAGATCAGGTGGGGGAAAAAACACTATTCCTTTAAGACTGTATTATGTTACTCCTTTTCTGCGATACATGAACCCCTTACGTGCATACAATCATTGAGAGAATTAACACTGGTGTTGGGTTTCTTGCTGCTGTAGTTATTCTTTATGTGGTGGTGGGGTCTCGTGTCTGCTGTGGTGGTACTCCCACTTTCTAATGGGGCTTTCTGAGGAGGACTGACAGCTGGCCATTCTGTCTTGAGGAGGCCCAATGGGGATAGTGGTTGATGAGGTCATGTGATGATCTAGGTGTGTAAAACTACTGGAAGCCTTTGTCCAGGTGAACTGCGACCACATCACTGGAACTGCTACTGCTGTTTTGTTCAACTTGCATTGAATGTTGTGTTTTTATGGTGCTACGTGTAATACAGCAGGATGAATGTGTCATTCATTACGGCTCTATTTTTATATTTGGTCATCTTTATACTGGGGGTATTCCAGTTCAGGCAGTCTTAAATGTTATTTGAGCAGTAAAACAACTTATTTTGATTTCTTTTTTTTTATCTATGTTGATATTTTAGGTCTTTAGATTTAAGACTTGTTTTTGTTCAGTTGATTTCATTTCAATAAATGAATTTGATCATTTTAACTCTGACCTGATATTGCTATTGGACAGATTTGACCTCCTCAACATGTGGCTATGTGCAAAAATTTGGGCAACCCTGGTCAAATTATGTTAGTTTTCTGAGTGAAAATAAGTTACACATCCTCTACAGAAAACACACTTCAGCACATTTTCATACACAATTACTTCTTATTTGCTGAATTTAACATATTGAGTAAATACAATGTGCAAGTAAATAGAAATTGTGCACTAAAATTTGAGTTTAATTTAAGTTTGTTCCCTTTAGGGGATTGATTACTCATTTTCATATAGAGAATCAACAACAAAAAAAAAAAGATGTTTTAAACTTTTGCACACAACTGTTTTAATGGATGTTGGTAAATCTGATAAAATTCCTCTACTTTGCTCCCAAACCATGTACATATTCATACTCTGGAGATCATACTGTATTTTCTGTATTTATTTTATTATAGTGACAATTTTTTTATTCAACAAGTTATGTTTTTTCTTTTTTTTTAAGCATTATATTATATTTTAAACCAACATTCTACTGAGGTGCTTTGTTTTCTGCCGGTTAGCATTCGATAGCGTTACATTTTGTTTGGAATTAAGCAGATTCATTGTTTATTTAATTTTGTGTAAGAAATATAATTATGGTGCTGTATCTTAAGAAAAAACCTCAATTATGCTCAATCGCATTCAAAACTTTTCCAGTGTATTTTATAAAGAACTGTGAAATGGATGTATAAATAATTCTATCAAGTGACCTGAACTAACTTGATTAAAACAACACTGTACTGGATTTATATTTAAGGTGTGAATCGTATATATATTTTTTACTGTTAACTAGACTTGGATCAGTCACAAGCTGTATTAAAATGTATCGGTATTGTGTCCTGCTTTCACATGCATTTTTGACACTAACCTGCATGTTTTGCAAACTGACAATGCTGTTTTTCCATTTCCAGTTTATTCTGTCATTGTGTTTGTTGTGGATTATGTTTTACATGTAAATTGACTTTCAGTCAACAGGAGAGTGAGTCCCCTTCTTCACTGAGGCAAAGTGGAGCTAACAGCTTGTGTTTTGTTGAAAAAAGAAGAGCATCATGGGTTTCAAAGGAAAAGAGGGGGAAAAAATCAAAACACTATTTCCATCTTCCCCAAAATGTATTCGATCTGCAAAAACGTGTGTTGTCTGAAATTTACTTAATTACTTTTACACTAGACCTGCAAGGCTAATGTAGCTAGTAAGTAATGGCTGACTCTGCAGAACACACAGTTATCTGTAGGGCTACGTCACACAGCTAAAAACATTAGCAGCCATGTTGAAACCTGAAGGTTTGTACTTTCTTTTGATGGCAGTATGTCGTACAGTGTCAGAAGGCACATAAACAAGTCTATTTAAGATTTTTTTCACCACTTAACATCATTTTAGCCAAGTGTTTGATGATTAGGCAGACAATGCTAAATGGTGTGGTGTTAGCTTCCGTTTCTTGTTAGCTCCATTAGCCTCATAGCTGCAGTGCAAAACTCAAAAAAGCAAACTAAAGAGACTAAACATGTCAAGGCTGATCAACTACATTTGGGATAAGGAAAAAAAACTGTAAACCTGATTTTTTTTTTTGCTAAACTACCATTTTAAGCATAGAGTTTATATGATGCATATCTTCGAGGTGCTGTCTCCAGTATCCCGGCCTGAACGCTAGCAAGTTAAACCGTTGTAATTTCTAACAGAATTTGACTTTTCCTGGCATATATTATTATAATATATGAGCACAAACTAATTACTGTCTACTGACATTTTTAGGTTTTCAAGTTTTCTTTTTGCAAACTTCCAAATCCATTTAATGTTCCTGCTAGAAAAAACAGCGTAGACCAGCATATGTTGTGTTTTAAATGCTGATATGCTGCAAGAGTGGAGGCTCTCGTGCTGATCACCAGAAAACCCAGCAGATGTTGTGTTTAGGATGCTGGTATGACCATGCTGGGTGACCAGCTAAACCAGCAGACACCAGCATGGGACTTATGCTAGTCTAAGCTGTTTTTTTTCAGCCGGATGAACAGAGATCGATCTCTTGGTAAGCAGGACAATAAAGGTTGAATGTGGGCATTGGAAGGCTCTTTCTTGCTAGCTGGGGATACTGAATGCTCTGGAGACTCACCTGCTGGTGTTTGCCTGTCCCTCGTTCACAGAGGCGTCTAAGGCTGAGATGTTTTTCACAGCCTATGAAATGTTTGAAGGACATAGAAAGCGTAAGTCAGCAAGGCTCTCTCTCTCTCTCTCTCTCTCTCTCTCTCTCTCTCTCTCTCTCTCTCTCTCTCTCTCTCGCTCTCTCTCTCTCTCTCTCGCTCTCGCTCTCTCTCTCTCTCACGCATGCACCCTTCAGCATGGATATATACCAGCTCAAGTAATGCCCATGCAAGGTCAACACAACATAAACAAAATATCAGTCCTACATGACTTGTTCAAAACTAAGCTGTATAATTAATTGTATCATTCCCGAAACTCCACAGACTACCACAGTGAACTGATATCAGGAGTTGTTTCCTTGCATAAATGGTCATTACTTGACCTCAGCATTTGGCCCATATTGGTCCATTGGTGCATGAAGCCTGCATGCTTCCATGCATGAGAGACTCCTCTCTGTTGTTGAGGTAGAGTGATGCACCCACTCACTTACTTTACCATTAGGTGAAGCCCCTAATGAGTTTCATTTATTGATTCTTCTGCCTTTTGTTGCCAGACAGTGTTTTAAAGGATAGTTTGAAAGTTTGGATGTCATTTCTCCTCAGTGATGGAGATAAAATGTAGTTTATCTTCCAGCTATTATGTCCTTATGTCACAATACTTGCGCATAATCCCTAATTGTATTTTGTCATCATCACCTGCAGTGAAGTGCAAAGGAAATGATGCTAACTTCCATTATATTATTTACTGCTACCACACACATCTAGATTATGTGCAGTTACTGTGCAGCCGTCAGGCCCAGTAACAGCAGTAACTTTAGTGCTTTTTAGCTTTATAAGAAAGAATGGAGAGGAGTCCCTCATGCACTTTTCACATGCTCTGCTTCAAACATGCTGGACTGTAAGTTATGTATACGTCACTAGTGACCATTGTGCTTCAAACATCATGCTGTGTCATTGAAGGGTCATCATCATTTTATCAAAGACTTCTGCGCACATGGCTAGCTTGGCTGAATCACTCAAGATGTTGTGAAAAACTGTTTAAAACCATGTCTTCCCTCAGAATCACCCACCTCTGGAGCTCACTGTAGAGATTATTAGTACGAACAGTATTATGTAAAGGTCAGAGACCACCCTTCATATATTTTATTTACAGTCATAGTGGTCATTAAGTAAGAAGTTATTTGTTTGTCAAAAGATATTTCTGAGAATAATCCACTTGCATAAGGCTGGCTTTACACTGTGAAACTTTGATGCAACTTTAGTTGCTTGAAACCTACATGAAGCAAGTTGCATTGCTTGAATTGCATAATGTAACTCATTTAAAACTCAGGCAAAACAGTAACAAGCATGTCAACTTCAAAGTTTCATTAATCGGCCAATCAGAACACTCATAATGCATCATGTGATCACATCAAATGACATCATTTTAAACGATTGATTTCGGACAAGAAAATAAAGCATGCGTTTCTCAAAGCTATTGTTTCTTTAACCAGCTCAGAAGGTTCTGTAAGGGTTGTTTAGTAAAGGAAATAGTTGTATTTAGAGCCATTAGTTCTATATAGAACCATTTTATGCTTAAATGGTTCTTTGCATGGTGAAATCGTCCTTCCCATTGATGGAGAATGTGTTGTTTATGGTTCTATGTAGCACCAGAGAGCGTTCTTCTGTTGGTACAAGGTCAAGAACCATTTTCAAAAAGGGTCTTTATAGATATAGAACCATGTTCAACACATTCCTTATCCATCTAAAGAGCCATTTCACTGTGCAAAGAATTATTTAAGCATGAAATGGTTCTATATAGAAGTCATGATTCTCAATAGAACCATTTCAAGAACAAGAACCCTTGAAGGACTTTTGTGTAAATGATTTTTAACATTAGGGTAAGGTTTTATAGACTGATGAGCCTGTATTTATAATTATGGTTCATTGGATTGTGAGAAGCAGAAAGTACAACCAACTTCTAAGACTGAACTTTGGAGATGTGGAAAGACATCCCTCCAGATTTCTTTGAAAATCTGAAAGCAAGTCTCCCAAAAAGAACTGCAGTTGTAAAGAAGGATAGACACATATTCTGAAAGGGTTGACATTTAGTTGTTGAGGCTTCTTGTATTTAATGGCTGTTTTGGCTGAATATGCAATAAATGAAGGTGGTCTCAGATTTTGCGTAGTGCTACAGCCATTTCACCCATGTTGGTCATAGAGAGTCAGAGAATATGAAGGGGCCTTGCACACATTTGCACATTCATAAGCATTAGAAACTGGTGAGAGTTTTTCTGTTCCAAAGTCTGGACGTGGTTCAGCATCATGGAAAAAGCACTGCAGTGTCTGCTAGCATTTCCTAAATGACCCCCGGTGTAGTCGCAAAGCCTCCAGACTGGAGCTTAACGTGGAGCTTAAACAGGCCTACACTCTTCCCTGCCATGTGAAAGGGACTGTTCATTTGCTCCGCTGCCCCACAATCCCAGCAGATGGAGTCTGGGGCTCAGCGCCCAGTCGAGCTGGCACTGTCGAACCCGGGCTGTCACTTCTCATCTGGGTCATCTTCACTCAGGCCGCCGGCTGCCAAGAGACACGGGCAGCAGTCTGGACCCTCTCTATGACCTTCTGGGTTTACACTACTGAACTATTAAAGAAGCTTCATGAGTAGTCTAGTGGACGTGCATATTAGCTAAGATTTTCCCGCGTTACAGGTTTTTGGTCACTTTTTCCTTCTTCCGCAGTAAGAGCCCATAATCAGTAGCAGTTTATTCCACCTTAGATAGGTTACCAGTTTACTAAGTCTACCCACCTTGTCCTACACTCATCAGCCATCTTATGAGAAATATCTACCATATAGTTGAACTTTGTATACCCTTAAAAATAAAGGTTCCTAACTGGTTCTTGGCTTGAATACACAATTCTAGGAAAAACCTTTAATTGGTATTAAACAGGTCTTGCTGATCCACCACCCTGCAGAGTTAAGTTTCAACGTTTAGGTGCTCCAAATGGCCTAATTTTGCATTGGCGCCTTCATCTGAAGGTTGTACATACAAGATGGTTAACTAGTAAATATAACTTCACTCCGTTCGGATGCCTGTGGGAAAATACACCCACCGCATGGAAAAAGAAAGCAAGGAGGTGTGACGAATACAGATCCTGCTTCTTTGCTGTATTAAAAGGCACATAAATCACGTACAGTCATGCGTCAGGTATGTTTTTGCTGAACCACCCAGAATCGCTGCCTCTCACTAAGTCACTGACTGACTGACTGACACCAATTGTTGAGTTGCCAGTGCGCAAGCGTTACCCGAGACAGTGTTCTTCACCAACTTACATGAAGTGACATTGTTGCCCACGTATTCATACCCAAATTTGTAGAGCCGACCAATAAATAATGAAAGAAAGCAGAAAACACATTATTTGATACGTCATGGATCTTTCAAAAGCTCAAGCAAAATCTCTGTGATAACGGGTTCAGTTCCACTGTGGTGAGTACTGAGTGTTTATTCTTAGGCTGTGTCTAACTTCAGTTGAAAATTCTCACTTTGCAGTAAAAGCAGTGTAATTTAACAAGCTTTCACTCTTCCAGGTGAAGGTAAAGTCACCAAGCACTAGTACATGAACACGAAGTGCACCAGAATGTACACTATTTTTAGAATAGTCACTTTTTAAAGAATTTACCAATGTAAGTTTAGCTGGCCTTAATGCTGTCCCTGCTAGCTTAAATGCTAGCAAATAAAGAATGTGCGTTTTTTTCCTTCATATTTTAACAATCTCAAGGGAACATGGTGAATTTCCTCAACTAGAGAGCTGTTCTAGAGTCTGCTAAACCAAAGTGGCTGGTAAAAAAATCTAGGTGGGAATTCACCAGACACTGCAGGTGGAATAAAATGTTAAATTGCAGCTTGCACATAATTCAGAGGGTTTCTTATGTCCTGTACGGTAGACATTTGCATGAATCAAACGCCACTCAGCTAATGGCCGTCCCGCAAAACTAGTCAGACAGACAATTTGCAGAATTTGCAAGTCGGAAAATTGAATCAGGTGTTTAGATCACGGTTGCGGCCATCTCTCCAGAGTGGTAGATCACCAAGACTCGGGCCGCCCTGATTTACATCATATGGATGTTCTTTAAACTTCTTCTCACTTTTCATCTCGTTTGCAAAAATGGTTCTTTAGGAGCCCAAATTGGTTCTTCTCTGGGATCACCCAAAGAACCCTTTTGGAACCTTTATTTTTAAGGGTTTAAGTACCAAACTGACCATAGCCTGTTGATACAAGCCCACTTCTACCTCATCAAGGGGGCTTTTGTAAGCCCCCTTTACCTTATCTATCAGAAGTGACCACCATAGGACCACCAATGACCAGATAATACTTTGGTGGTGGTTCATTCACAGCACAACAGTGACATGTCAACAGCACTGCTGGGGTTCTTCCATGCCTTGATGCCACTGCTGGGTTCAACGGCCCACCACCCAATCAGAGGTCTTGTGGCCAGAAATTGACCACTGATAAAGGGCTAATACAAATTGTGCACTGAAATAGATTAGCTAAAGTCTCTAACTGTACACCCACACAGTTGACCAACAAGGCAGATGTATCTTATAGTGACATTTCCGTGTAGATTATCAATCATTCTTCACTATTGAATAGAAGAAACTATCACATCATACTTAGCTTTAGTAACAGTTTGCCCCTCTTTGCCCCCATTTTGGTCAGTTCTCTATTCATGCTCTTTGAGTTAGAGCCCATCATCAGTAGTTTATTATCCCTGCCTTTCAAAAGTTGTACGTTTTCATTCATTAAACACTACTGAAGTTTTAAACAAGCAAACTTTACAGTTTGTTTTCTAAAGGTCTTTATTAGCAAGGATTTGCCCTAGTTAGAAGATTTTGGTCATTTTACTCTTCATGCAATTTAAGTTAGAGCCTATAATCAGAAGTTTATTATTCCTACCCTAGATAAGTCAATTATTATTGTTAAAGGGGAATTTTCTAAATTTCTGCAAAATGAAATGGTTAAGATCTAAACTAAGTCATTCAGAGTGGTTTGATGTGAAATGCTCCATTCTAGAGAAACTTACCAAGTCAGAATTGTTCACCATTGTTCACCATTAACCTCTGAAAAATTTAATGCCTCTAAAAGATACATCAGATAAAATTATTATATGAAATGATTATGAATGCATTGCCTGATGCCTGAGACACTGTTTTCCTGATAGTGTTGAGAACATTTTAGCCTAAAGTGTGTTTTTTTAAATAGCTTCATTGCAGAGAGATACATACAAGGTGTTGTATGGCCCTAAGGAAGGCTTATTTTTTTGGCTTAACCGTTTATTTTTATTACCATAACATAGATTCACTGATCATTTTGCATAGTAAATAAAATGCCTATAATTGTATACATTGTGACCCCGGGTTTCTATTGCCACCACTGTAAAGAAAGAGTTAAATATATCATGTATATTTTCATATTAAAACTCTCTGAATCACGTTGTTTAGAGCTCAGCGATTGAATTGTGCAGAAATTATGGAAAAATGGTGTGGAATTCCCCTTTAATTTCCCATGGTCACTTTATTTAGATCATAAAGACTGACTGCAGGTAAGTAACCATACTGTAAATCAAACAAAATCAAACATGAACCTGAAAATGAATACTACCACAAATCAAAGAGAACTGTCTGATAGGCTTACAGCACATGGACCTGAAAATGAATACAGCCACTAATCGTAGGCTATCAAAGAGAACTAGGAATGAGGGTTGGTGAATGAAAGCCACAGCTGAATCCGATCTCATGCGTACGTGGGTGCTTTTAGGAATGCTTCTCCAGTTTGGATAGTCTGCTGTCCTGCGTGTGATTAACTGCCCTGTGCCTCGTTGTAGCTGCTGAGGGGTCCCAGCCTGTGGCCACTGTCCAGCCACCCGTTCTCACCATCCAGCAGGGCCAGCGTGCAGAGTTCCGCTGCACAGCCACCGGCAACCCCACTCCAGCAGTTGAATGGACAGGTAAGGGGGTCAGGGAGCTTTCATGAAGATCTATGAGAAAGCGATTGATAGAATTTCTCCTCTCCTGATTGGTTCATGACTAACATATTTATAACTCTCAGGAGGCCCAGGCAACCGCATCAGCAGCAGTGCCATCATCCGGGGGGGCGTTCTCACTTTCCCCTCTGTGGAGCGCTCGGACGAGGGCGACTACATCTGCCGGGCCCTCAACACCCACGGAGAGCACACGGCTCGGGCCATCCTCTACGTGCACAGTACGTCCGCTAACCACTCACATCTGTTGGCCGTTTTCTTGGTTCTGATCCCGCACAGCTGCAGGAGCTCCCAGTAGAACTGGCCATTCTTATGCAGACACTGATTACTGAAACATGTCCTGTTCATTCATAATCATGACTGAATCATCAGCGTCCAGATACCTTTTGTGGTGTAGACACAGTCGTGTGCAAAAGTTACATGTTTTGTTGATCCTCAATGTGAAAAGAAGTTAGTCTGGCATTTTTTCTGAAAATTTTAGTGCAGGATTTCTACTTATTTGACAAGTTTAACATACTGGAAAAAGCCTTGAGTCTTAAAATCAGAGGAAGAAAGTTTAAAATTATGGTTGTTCTCTGGGGTGTTGGCTGAGCATGTAAAGATCCAGAGCTCAGCCCAGTTCATTGTAGAATAGTTTTGGGACATCATCCCCCAGAATGTTTTAATAAGCCTGTAAAATGTGCAGTTGCTACTTTTCTTATACAATATAAGGATTTGCACATAAACAAGCTGTGCCACGATTCAGCAAATCTTTTACATCTTTTCTAAAAAATCCTAAAAATATACAAACAAAATAAGACTATAACGTAGATGTTTCTACAGTAATGCCATTATTAAAGTCACAGGCACAATTCCTCTCTCTCCACATCAGTCTCTTCTACACATCTAATGTGCTGCTAACAGAGCAACATATTATTTACAGTTTTATGTATTTTAGAAGCTAAATAGTCATTTAGCAAAACACTTCTTGCATAAAACCAACTTCTTGCAGATTTCACCAAAAGAAACAACTGGGTAGTTTTGTGTCCTGATAAACAATGTTAGAGGTCTGTACTATATTATAGGCTCAAACACTGTTTGAAGCTATAGTCCCAGGAGCCCGGGCCAGGCAACAGCCCTGACTGTACTGTATGTGTAACTCTGTTTGATTATACTGTATTATACAGATTGTTACTTCATTTTTGCTGTCAATTGTTGCACTAGGTGCCAGTCTGCCCCATGTGCAAGTGAGCCCGCAGCATGTGGAGATTCACGAGGGCGAGACCCTGAGGCTGTACTGCAGAGCAGGGGGCACGCCCAGCCCGGGACTGACCTGGAAGAAGAGGGGTGGCACGCTCCCCCCGCAGGTGAGAGATATCTCCTTTCGTTCTCCTCCTTTTTGACCTCTCCCACATCTGCATCACCTCTGTTTTGAGGATTGTGCTGAGTTGACGTTGTTCTGGATTGACTGTTTCACCTCTTCCCTTCTTTGTCTGTGTTTTTTGTTTTTGTTTTTGTTCCATCTTGTCTCTTTGACGTTTGTTCAGGCCATACCTTCTCACGGTTTCCATCAGTTTAAGTCCAACAGTCTCGATGTGTTACAGAGACGTATTGAAGAGCTGCAGGTCTGTCCATCTGTCTGATGTCTGTCTCTCACCCCACCCCACCCCAGTCATCTCACCTGTCTCACTTCGCTCACCTGAGTCACTGTCCACTAAGTGCATGTTCTAAAAAAATTGTCCAACAATGTCAATGATTGTAACACCCATAAATCGGTAGCTACAGGGAAACTGGCTGCAGCGTTTGATTATTCTAGGGTGATATGTGGAAATAGTAAAGTGTTCACTGTGATTGGTGGCCCACGTGTGGCGTTTGGTAGTGGTTCTCAATCCTGGTACCAGAGAACGTCTGCTCTGCACCTTTTAGTGTTCTTCCTGCTCACAGTCTTTAACTCCTGGTGCGGTCCGAGTGCTTGTCACCTCATAAAAGTCAGAAAATTGTCACATCACTAAATAGAAGCTGCCGGTTGTTTGTATTCAGATTATATGTATATCTACTGGGATACCATGTTCACATTATGAGAGAATGTACTGGCTGTTGATACATCACAATTCATAAATTCAGGTTGTAACTGTCTTGGGGGTGCACTCTGAAATTCAGTCCATCAGGAAGGGGATTTCTGTATAATTAAAACCTTTAGATGTGAACATAATCATTCAGAATGGTTTGATGTGAAATGCTCTGTTCTAGACAAACTCATCGAGTCAGTGGTGGTAACGCCCAAAAAGCCATGTCGTCATTCTGTAATCAGCGACATTCCCAAATCAAGAACTCTGGGTCTAATCTGCTTTTCTCTTTGAGAAAAATGTATCAGTGCTATTGCACCTTGTCGTACACTAAAATGTTCAAAAGTCGATACGTTTTGCCATGCAGAGATTTTTCCCCCCGAATGGCACTGGATCCTCTGAATGACAAGGTTGTTAAGGAGCAAAAATAGGACTATTGCCTTATGCAGGCTAAAATTGGCACACACTGAATTGGCATCATAACACTGACAACCTCACCAAAATTCCCCACACAATCCAGCCAGATTTGCCAAATATGGTAGTTAAGTTGCTTTTGCAATAGTAGCCAACAGTCTGAGTATGTTGGTATATAACAGTGTGAGTTAGACTTTCAGGAGACATCAGTGCTCGGGTGTGTTTCAGCTTGTTTGTAGCATGTATGTAGCATTCTTCATTTTTCAACAGCTAAATGACCTCAGGTCATTTCAGGTCACCACAGCTGAGGCAGTTTTCCAAAACACCATCCATTTTTCCCATAGAGAAAGTCTGCTTAGGCCTGGAGTACCTGATATGTTCCTAAGATGGAAAGGTATTACATGAAATGGTTATAAATGCATTGCTTGATCTTTAAGACATTGTCTCACAATGCAAGTGAAACCAGTACCTGAAGAAAGCTTATTGTTTTGGATTAGCCACTTTAGCCATTAATAGCATTACATATAAAATCTCAGAAGACGTGTAGGTTCACTGGTGTTTTTGGAGATTAAACAAAATGGCTTTATTTGCTTTGTAGTCATCACAACCTCTGGTTCCTGTTACCACCATTGTAAATAAATCATGATACTTTTCTCTGCAATGATCCATTTCACACCAAACCTTTCTGAATGACTTTGTTTACATCTCAACCATTGAATTATGTAGAAATTTTGAAAAATCTGTGGAATTCCCCTTTAATTAGCTCAGTTGGAGCGGGTATGTTAGAGTGGGCAAAAGCACCAGGACGGGGAACTACTTATATCTGGTACCATATCTGATTTCGGTATAAGAGAGGCTGGTCCTCTCTGTCCTGCTGGACAGCTGGGGGCCTTTGTGGGCCGTTTCATTTTTGCCCCAGGGCGAAGTGGCATTGGCTCAGTTTTCGCAGCTTTTCTTTCTCAGGTCTGCTGTGCGGCCACGCAGAAACTGTGTGTGCTCTGGCCAGTGTGCCGCTTTGAAAGCTCACAAGCGTGTTTCAGACAGAGCCGCTCACAGCCCTCACGCTTCAGCACTTCACAGCTAAGCAGCTTCGGCCCAGGATGCCAAACAGGTCGGACAGAGACCACCCCCTCCTCTTGGCTTCGCATTTATGCATATATTAGTATGTCCCAGGCTGCTGATAGCATGGATGGTGATAATGGTGGTGGAGGTGATGTTGATGTCATTATATTCAAAACTGAAAATTTAATAATGATGACATGCTATATTTATATGGTGCTCTTCAGTTACCGGATTTGATCACAGTGGCTGAGTATAAAAAACATAATCACAACATAAACAAATTAAATAAGAGAAAAGACAATGAAACTTTAGTAAGAGATGAGACATTTGATGAGTAATATTGTAGAGCAGGAGGACGGATGTGGTGGTCAGGGTACATGAAGGGCCTGAGAGGAAAGCTAAGCTTTAAAGGAGAATTTGAAATCATTTTTTAAAACCTGTACTTAACTAAATCATTATTTGAATTAAATTGTAAACAGAGTAATTCAGGTTGGTTTGAAGTGAAATGCTCTGTTCTAGAGAAACTTACAAAGTTAGAAGTGTTCACAGTTGTGGTGGTAGTAGCCAGACATCTGAAGAGTTTAATGCTCCCTCACTGAAAGTTATTACAGGAAATGGTTACTAACAGAGGTGGGTAGTAACTAGTTACATTTATTTAAGCACATGTACTTAAACAAAATATTGATGGATTTGTACAAATCATAATACTTTATAATACTTTATACGCAGATATATTAGTAAGTAAGAGGAATCTTCTTTTTACTTAGTTACATTGTACACACACACACGCACACACACACACACACACACACACACACACACACAAACATTTTCTAAACCGCTTATCCTTCTGGGTCATGGGGGAGCCGGAGCCTATCCCAGCGTTCACTGGGCAGAGGGCAGGAAACACCCTGGACAGACCGCCAGTCCATCGTCACACACACTCACACCTAGGGGCAATTTAGCATGTCCAGTTGGCCTGACTGCATGTCTTTGGACTGTGGGAGGAAACCGGAGCACCCAGAAGAAACCCACACAGACACGGGGAAGGTCCCTGGTTACCCGACCAGGGAACCGAACCCAGGCCCTTCTTGCTGTCCACTGCGCCACCGTAACGATTGGTCATACTTTTGACTTTGGAGCCTTATCATTTTATTTTAGACCAAATGAATTCCAAAAACGAGAAAAATAGAGCCTAAAAAACTTCCATTGCGTTGCTGATAGATGCTGGATGGATTTACTAAGTTCCCCTGCATTCATATAAGTTTTTGATCCAGTACCTACCCAAGTATTATGCACTCTGCCCACCTCTGTTTTCATCATAACCTTAGGTTCCTATCACCACCACTGTTAAGAAATCTGTCACTTCAGTGCATCATTTTCCATCAAACCAATCTGAATGACTTTGTTCACTTGTCTATGACTGAATTATGTCATCATTTTGGTGGAATTCCTTTTTCAAGAGAGTTTGAAAAGTAGATTCAGGGATTGTTTGTTTTTTGTGAAGTACATTTAAATGTGCCAAATGAATATGTAGTGTAGGGAAAATAACAGTTCCTCTAACCATGTTCAGTCCACATCATCATATAACATCTCACTTTGTGAAACGTCTGATCAGCCACACTGATGCTTTTAATAACTGCAATCAGTGATTATTATTTAACAGACAACTGTCATATCTAGAGTTTAACCTTCATGTCTTATACTGTACATGAGACATATAAGCACAAGCAGCTTTACACGGATCAAAGCAAGCCTGTAAAACTTCATTATTAGCACATAAGCGCTTCCACAGCTGCTTCCACAGCTGCCACACTAATCAATGCATATGAGTAGATTATTTTGTCTGTTCTGTGAATTTATATATTCCTGTTTGGATTGTATCAGGTAAGAACTGATATAAGAAATGATGCAAGGAAGCTCTTGTTTGTTACGGCATTGATTGCAATATGCTGCGGACACATCACATTAATCCCCCTCCCCCCGTCCCCCTGTAGGCCCGTATGGAGCGCACTGACTTTGGTACTCTCATCGTCCCCAACATGAAGATGTCAGATGCTGGCACGTATCTCTGTGTGGGAACGAACGCTGTGGGCTCCTCTGAGGCTCGCATTGAGGTCACTGTGATTAAAGGTAATTTAGTAATCTGAGCTCTTTTAGCAGAATTAAAGGGCCCTATGGGATTATACTCTTACGTCAGCACTAACAGTGATTCACTTAAACATTTTATGGCTGTTCCGTGTTAAACTCAGATATTTGAAGCCTGTAAAATACATGAGTCCTGACATACAGCTGCTACCATTTTCCATTTCTAACATCTGACCGAAACGCATTGGTCAGGCTACGACTCATATTCACAGTCAGCGATGCATTCAGGAATTGGTCCCACCCATTGGCTGATTCCACGGTCAGTTCCTAAATATGTTAGAGGTTAATCTAATGCATTAAGCCCAGCTCTTGAAGTCTTAACCAATAGGAGAGCGAACTTGGCTGTGTCTACCCAGATACCACAGAGAGAAAAATTCTGATTGGATAATTTCCGGTTGGTCATTTAAACATTTTAACCTCTAAAATGTAGTTTTTTGTTTTCAACCAAAACTTGAATGAAATGAGTATTTTTACATACAGTATTTTTAAATACAACAGGCATGATGATTGTATTAAATTACAGACATGTATTTTTTTTTATTGTAAAGATATCATGAGGCCTTAAAAGGCTGTGAGGGTTCCCCACTAAATATTTTGTGTAGGAAAAAAACTTTGGAGAAAATACTTAAGTGTGGGCTGTAAAGTTTATTGAGCACATGTGGTGTTCATCAGCGTGTTCAGGTTTATATATACATATAAATAATAGGTGCCTGAGAAATTGAGGAAATTTTCTGTTGATCTGCTCGGTGAAATAGTAGTATTACAATAAATACAAATGAATACAATAAGTAGTGATTTTATGTACATCATTGTGTTTGTTCAACCATTTTCAAACCTCTCCTCATGGCAGCCCAGTGCTAACTGTAATTATCATCCGATATGTGGTTTATTTAATCCATTCGACTTCATTATTTTAAATCAAGTGTGCCGGTGATGGAATTTAGCAAATGAATGATTTGATGGCAGGGGGCTTTGAGGAGAAATCTGGAACTGAACTTTGTTCTTCAAACAGCTCACAAGATATAAACTTAAATCTTTTTAAAACAAGAAACTTTTGTTACTTTTTACTATATTTATGTTTATTTGCACACATAATTTACTCTAATGATATGTTGTGCTTTTAAACACAACCACATTTATACATAAATTAATTAATCCTTTAAACAATGTGCTTAGTGTATAAATGTGTGTGTTTATTTTACTACTGGCACTGATTCCAAAAATAAATATTTGAAACATTTAATAAGAAAAATTGCTTGTACAGCCAACCGTCGATCAGATACGTAGATATAAATAAGTTCAAACTGTGCACACTGAGTCTACAGAATGTATATGACACATGAGGTAAAACATTCGTACACTGTTACACATATGCTGGCAATTAACACAGGGTCACATGTAGAAGGAGCTCCAGAACAAAGTCGTAATCAGGTTTGAGCATGTGCAGTTAAACACAGAAGGAAAGTAATCTGTGGACAGGCTAGTCATATTCTTTATTAAACATTTGGGTTTCCTTTTTTGTACACATTTTGCACCACTAGACACCTTTAAGTTTGCCAATTGTGATTTGTGGCATTAGGAAGCTGGAAGTATGTGAATTGGGGTCTGTAGTCATTACAGAATTAGTACTGTGTGTTCCCAGCGCACTGTTTAAACAATCTGATGTCTCTTTAAAAAAAAAAAAAGATTTAGTCCCAGACATAATTCCTGTGTCAGCAAAAAAGATAAAATGTTTGTTTTTTCTGTGTCTAGGAGACACTGTGTCAAATGCTGTCACCATCCAGCCCTCCATTGCCACTGTGGTGGAGGGAGAGTCACTGGACTTAAACTGCGTTGTCCCAGGAAACCCTCCTCCTTCTGTCACATGGAGCAGAGCTAATGGCTATCTCTCCTCCAACCACAAGGTCTGTGTTCAAGTTCAGACATCCAGGCTACCGTCGGTTTTGCTTTGTGTGACTGTTAGTCTAGATATATACATGATATACACTAGAGCAGGCATGTCAAACTGGGGACCTTCCGGGACAAAGTGCTGTGGAGATTAGTGTTTACTCTTATCTACCAATTCAAAATTCAGTTCATGAAAGAGGGCCTTGTTGATTAGCTGATAAGCTGAATCAGGTGTGTTTAATGAGGCAGCGTGCTGAAGTCTGCAGTGTTTTGGCCCGCAAGGACTGGAGTCTGACACATGTGGACTAGAGATATAAATCTCTGCCATCAGAACCATTCAATTCAATTACAGTTCTTCTGAAAATAAGTTAACACTTCCTCTACTGTGAACAAACTGAATTTTATTTCTGCAATTGTAGTGCACTTTTTCTATTTTTTTTCTACTTATTTATTATTATTATTATTATTATTATTATTATTATTATTATTTTAAATATTGAAAAAAATAGGAAATACAAAATGTGCCATTGCTTTTGCACAGGACACATTTCTGTTGTATTTTATCCCCAATATGTTAAATGCACATTAAAATGTCAGAAATTATGTTCTCTATAGAGGATGTTTACTTATTTTCACCAAATTAACAAAAACATGTCATTTAACCAGGGGGGTGTAAATTTTTGCGTATCTGTTTGCACAGTGGGATATAGCCTGCACAGCAACAAATAATATCTTGGCAAGAGAAGTCATCTTACATTTCTTATAATTTTAAGAACATTATGAGATTATTTAACTTGTTTCTAGACATTTTTTACTTGTTTTAAGTCAGGTAATCCAGTAATCCAGTGTGTTACATACTCTTATAATAAGCTTACAACAATCTCAAAATGCGAAACATTCGTTATATTGTCTAGGTTTAAGATTTGACCTGGCTGAGTGTTTATTTTGGTGTATTTTTTAATCATTATCCATCCTCACATTCCAAAATCTGTGCAGTTAAATCACCACCTTCAAAATAGTCACGGATATGACTCTACATGTGTGTATGCGTGTAGGTTTTCGGAACCCAGCTGCGGATTCTGCGAGCGTCTCAGGGTGACTCTGGAGAATACATCTGCAGGGTGGAAGGCGGCCCACACGTCCGCCAGGCTTCCGTTTCCGTCTCTGTTACCTCTGAGTCTTCCCGTAAGCGCCTCACTCACTCAGAAGCTCCACATTCCCGTGTCTTTTAGTCTGGATGAAGAAAACCATGTGCACTATGATGCAGAGAGTAGAGGCCTCATTCAGAGGAAACCATTTCAGCCTTTCCAGTTTACACCCAGTTTACATCTCATCGTTACCTAACTGCATGTTTTCTGAGCTCTGTAGACTCTGTGCCAAGCAGTTCATCAACAAAATGCTTTACTGCCAGTACCAGTTTCAGATTTGGAGGAACATTGAGAACATTGTGTTGTTTTATGTACAGTACTTGTCAAAGGTTTGGACATATTGGATTGAATGTGTTTTTCATTGTAAACACACTTTATTTGTACCCTGCTACATAACATTGACACTATCTACACTATCTACAGTTTCATATATTTTAGAAGCTGAATAGTCATTCAGTAAAACTCTTCTTGCCTAAAACCAAACAAGAAACTATATTTTAAATATAAAAGATCACGTTAAAACAAGGCATTCCATCTGGGTAATTTTGTGTCCCGATAAACACTGTTAGAGACCTGCAGGGCGTCGGGGGCGACAAAATATCAGGTGAAAATATTTCACATACGACATTGGGCTTGGGTTGGGCTGGTTTTCAAATAAGTGATTTTTTTATGTACGCTGTGAAAACTCATTGGGAGTTTAAACTTAAAAAGGTAAGTATCCTGGCTGCCTTAATTTTTTCAAAAAATGGGTTAACCTCTTAAATGGCCAGGACCCAACAGTGGTCCCAAGGTTTTATTTACTTCTATAAACGTAGAATAGCTCAACCAGTTTACATTGAAGTCCCTGTAGTTACTGAATAATAAGGTTTAGTGTGTTATAAGCCTGGTATTTTAAGGGGTTAACAGAATGCAACACACATGAAAACTGTTCTGCTAACTTACTTCATGTTCAGGAAACTTTTAAAACAGCCAGTTTACTTATTTTTATAAGTTGATTAAGTAGAAAAAGTTGAGTGAAACCATGAATCATGAGAATAATGTGCAAATGAGCTGGGGTGAAACGTGAAATGTTAACGTTATAAGGTTCAGGGCTGGATAAAAACTGTTTAGGGCTATTCGGGGCTATATATATATATAATATTTGGAAGACCAGGTCAGACGACACCTCTGGTTAAGTCAGTGTTATGTAGCAGGGTTAAACTAAAGTGTTACTAATGCTTTAATCTAAAGGCTTTAATTCTTCTAAGACATAGAGATAGTGATGCCCAAGTGAATTTATATCCACAACAAAAGTAATGTAAATGTATTTTTTTGTAAATTACCCCCCAACAACTAAATTTTCAGCAGGCGTGGGCTCAGCATATTTTCATTACACCTTTTGAAAGAGCATCCCAGGTGACTTCTAACCTCAGAACATATTTTTAATTTATCAACCACTTTTTTTGTCAATGCATAGCTCCATATATATTATTTTATAGTTTTAACACAATCACTATAATTCTAAAATGCAGAAAATAAGGAAATGTCCAAACGTTTGGCTGGTTCTGTGTGCATTATGTTGAGCTAAAGTGTTAACTGTTGTGTTCTGGATCTGGAGAAGGTCTCCAGAGCCCCATTATTTCCATTGAGCCCCACAGTGCAGCGGTGAAGCTGGGAGAGTCGGCCAGCTTCAGGTGCAGAGTGCACAGCGGGGCCCAGCCTGTCCGCCTGGAGTGGAAACTCACCAACAACCAGCCTCTACCAGGTACACTGCTACTGCTCGGTGACTACTGTGCTGTTCTTGACTAACAAGAACTGATTGCTATTGTGTTTGGATGCTTTCCATGTGTTACAGCTGAAACAAATGCAAGTAATATTTTGGCAAAATACCTTGATGAGGATAAATGTAATAATAAGTAACTGAAAAAGGAAACATTAATTGCTGTTGGGGCATTTAGATATTTAGCAAGCTATTATAATGTGGTGAATATATGTTGAGTAGGCAAATGAGTACATAAGGCTGTTTTCACACTTAGTATGTTTGCTAATGTCCACACTAGAGTTTGGGTTTTTGTGATATTGTATCTTTTTCATTTGGTTTGGTTAGTTTCACACTGTGTTTGAAGTGCACCAAATTGCACACGAGTGTTGTTTCTGTCCTTTAATTGGTCAGAAATTTGGTGGAGATATAAGCACTGTAACTTTACTTGCGACTAGCCTATCATAGTAAAACAATTCACATCTATCCCACACTTATATACTTGATAAGATGTATTATCATGCCCTTTATTTTGTCTGAAAATAAAAACGAGTAATATCTACGAATATCGTAACAAGAGTAATAAAAATAAACCTTATTTCATCAACTTCTTTATGGTCGATTGGTTGAATCATCAGTTTGTCTATTATTAAACAGATGCAGCCCATATGACAAAATCAAATGCATTGTTATTGCTTGTCTGCACACCAAGAGTCGAAGGCAGATAATGCAGACAGTGCAGCTCTGGTGTTGTTCCAGTGTGAATTCCACTTTAGATATTGGATTAATAAACATGTTTTTTGTTGTTGTTGTAGATAACGTGAAAATTGGGCCGGACAGTTCAGTGATCACCATCGCCAATGCCCAGCCGAAGAACCAGGGCACATACCGCTGCGTGGCCAGCAACCTGTTTGGAATCACTCACAGCATTGTGTCTCTGATTGTGAGAGGTATGATAATATGTAAACTGTGCAGAAGCGCTGAACTTTATTTTCACTTTATTTTCACAACACAGTACCTGATACTTCATTTGTTCTACAGTAAAGATTACTTGTTTCAGTTGTATTCATTATGTTCCCTTCAGAATCTCCCAGAGCCACAGTGACCCCCAAAGGCCCACTGCGTGTGAAAGTGGGTGACCCCATTAACCTAGAGTGCCAGGCAGCGGGAGAGCCACGGCCATCAGTCACCTGGCACAGACTGGACAATGCCCGCAAGACCATGCTGAGCAGCCCTGTGCCCATGGAGTCCAACGCTGTCATGCAGGTCAGTGCTGAGCTGTCTGTCATCCTAATATACCATTCATCCTCATTTATTGAAGACTTTTTAACCTTTAGAACTGTAGAGTTTTGTCCTTTATGTTAAACATTAATCTTAAATAATTATTGAAATGCAGAATTACATGAATAATTACATAGTTAGTTATTGAATTAATTAAGTCTACGTTAGACAAAAGCATAAAAAATATAAAGAATCATTTAAAAATAATAATATAACTGGTCCTTTAGCTATATACAAATATGCAGAAGTGCAAATTTGGTCTGACAAGCCTGGTGGGCTACAGTTTACATGCAGCAGTTCATAGTTCAAGTAGTACACCTAGAATTGTTGTTGTATTTATTATATCCAATGTTTATATGTCAAAATTAAAAGACAAAAACAAATTATATTATTAACAGGAATAATAATGGTATGGGTTTTTGATATTTGACATATTTATTAAAGATATTAAATTTAATTGACAATTACAGTGGCATTTTTTCTGTTGAATGTCACTGAAATTCTTAAAAATTTGAACCAATGTACACATTTAAATCAAGTCCATTCAAAGCAACACTTCTTGTAACACTTCATTGTAGATGAAATGTTTTGTTGATGCTACCTATGTTTAGCTTACATTTAACTAGATGTCTACTGAATTCACCTTATTTTTGCATGACCCTGGTTCTAACCTTAATCTTAACCCCAACCCAAAGCCTAAACCTAACCCAAAACCTGGTGTTAACCCTTCTTTGAATCATAACCCTGCCCATAACACTGGTTTCATTAGATAGTTTGTTGACATTTGAACATCTATAGATAATTTATTGGGGGCTATACAAAATAGTGGGACCACACCTTTTTCAGTGTAGACAGTAATCACATAATGCCGATGCAAATAAGGTAGTAAATTCAGCTGTTAGCTTAGCTGCTTGGCTAAGTGCTGCTGCACACTGACAGAGGCTTTTTAAGTGTGCATGTGGAGAATCTATACTCCAACAGCGACTCTGTTTTAGTTTGCAGTGGCAGCACAATATCATGTGTGCTGTGTGAGATTTATGCTAAAGTTGCACTTAAAAATAAACATACTTTTTGACAACGATTTCCCTCCAGAATTATCTTTTGTAATTTCAAAAAGTGGTGAGGGGTGTGTACAATAACGCCCCCCCCCATAAAAAAAACCCAATCACCACCACCCTCAAACCAGCCACCAACCACCAGCCAATTTTTTTCCAGTGCAAACTATTATTTTTCTGAGTGCAATATTATTAAACAATATGCAAGATAAAAAAAAAACATCTGGGAAATAAGTTAATCAGAGGGAGTTGCTGTCTTCTGTTCCTCAGATCCTGGTTGCACGGCCTGAGGATAGCGGTACGTACGTTTGCACAGCACAGAACAACCAGGGCACAACAGAGACCCGGATCGAGGTGATCGTGGCAGGTGGACCTGAGGTACCCACTGTGCCTCGTGTCAGCGTGCGAGAGCCTCTGATGATTGTAGTAGAGGGAGCAACCACCACCCTGCACTGTGATGCTCAAGGTAAGTGTCTGGTGTTGCACTGTATTGAAAGTCAGGGTGAGTGATGTGGCAAAAATATCATGTCATGTTACTCAAAGACATTTTCATTACACACAATATTTTGACATGCAGACACAATGCACAGGTACTGCCACATTGGAAAACAGCACTTCACATACTGTTCTGCACTATATCCAGTTAAACAGGACTAATTAAATATTTTCAGTGAAACATGCCGTTGGGAGGTGCTCTCTAAGAACTTGAAGATATCAACAGCATATTGTGTGTCATGATAAAAAAAATTATCACGGTAATGGAAACATTATCATGTCTGTTGTTCCTAGGATTCCCAAAGCCCACAGTCACTTGGTCTAAGCTACGTGCTCCTCTCCCCTGGAGACACAAGATAGTCAATGGCAGTCTGGTGCTGCCCAGTGTGGGACGACAGGACTCTGGACAGTACATCTGCAATGCCACCAATCACATGGGCACCAGTGAAGCCACCATCATGCTGGATGTAGAGAGTGAGTTCAGAATTTCTTTTTAAACTCTGCACTGAAAAGTTCAAAGTTTGACAGAGAAAACGTTTATTTCACATATGTCACATTTTTGTTTTATTTTTTAACCCCTTAAATAACCCATTAAATAACCCCTTTAGGCTAATTATTTAGTGTCTGAAGACATTTAGTCATTTGAAACTAATGTATAGGGCTTGGACTACTCATCAATTTATCAGTAATTATTGAGAGCAGCCATGAAATAAAGTTGAATTTATTGCCTCTTTCTTTCCAATTTTGTATGCAGAGACCTAATTCTTAAATCTTTTTAATTATATTCTAATGTTTAGCCCCTGTAAAGTCTTTTAACACTGAGTAGATTTTTAATGATTTAATGCTCTAAAACCTTCACATCAAGTCCAATGTGACTTTTTTGTCTATAAAACTCTGATCGGTATAAAAAGACCTTTCAACTTTGTTGGCTCCTCTGGCACAAATGAAAAACATAACTGAATATGTAAGTTATGTAGGTCTGAGAGTGTACAATACTGGCCCTCACAGTTTAAGCAGTTACATATAGGGCTGTTCCATTCTAATGCTTTTCTGACTTTACACCCCTGCTCTAACCGGAATGTGTGTGGTTCTGTTTTAGCCCCACCATACACCACCACACTGCCCGATGACATGGCTGTGCGAGTGGGAGAGGTCATTAGATTGCAGTGCCTGGCTCATGGCACCCCACCCCTGCGGTATGAGTGGAGCAAAGTGGACGGCAGTCTGCCCGCCACGGCCGAGCAGCAGGGAGGTGACCTGCAGATCAATCTGGCTTCCCCCAGTGATGCCGGCACCTATAAGTGTGTGGCCAGCAACAAAGTTGGCCGCAGTGAGGCGCTGGCTAAAGTGTCTGTGAGATGTGAGTAGTTCAGAAATGTCATGTGCCTGGAATGTGACCTGACTCAAGTGAAATACTACTACTAATAATAATAATAATGATAGAAAGTCTGGAGTTATAATCTCTCTTGTGGTCAGCACCCCTGTCGGTGCGCGTCTCCCCTCAGGTGGATGTGAAGGCTCTGGGCAGCGCAGTGGAGTTCACCTGCTCGGCTAATGGAGGCCCAGAGATCAAACTGGAGTGGCTAAAGGAAGGAGGAGCCCTGCCGCCCAATCACCACGTCAAAGATGGAGTTCTAAGGTGAGCAAAAGCAGATATCATTTCCAGTTAATTTCTTCTTGAGACATTTCAAAATGGGCAGACAGCCTTATTTTCATGTTGATACTTCAAAACGTACCTTCCGTGTTCAAAACAAAGGTCAACAATGCAGTGGAGGTAATGCATGTTACGGGAGCAGGTTGTGTACAGGTCATGTCACCCCTATTTTACATGGTAAAAGATTGAAATACAGTTTTAAGGTTCTCTGTTGTGAACATAACCTTTTAGACCAGGTCATATTCTGAATGTGTTTTTTAGTTTTAAATTGAGCCTCAAGTCCTTCCTAATTTTAATCTCTGGCATTTACCGCAGGATCGAGAACCTTGAGAAGAGCAACGAAGGCATCTACATCTGCAGAGCCACCAGCGTGTACGGACAGGCCCAGGACAGTGCCAAACTCACCATTCAAGGTCTGCCAACTGCACTGCTTATCATGGTCGCTCTTTAAACCCTTTTGAAAGTTCATGCCACAGCGTTTTTTGGTGTATTGGATGTGTAATTGGCCCCCAGCTGTCCCACTCTGACTGGCCGGTCCTTGTGTGTCTCTGTGTGCTGCAGCCCTTCCCAAAGTTATGATCAACGTGCGCACGTCAGTGCAGACGGTCATGGTGGGCAACTCGGTGGAGTTTGAGTGCCAGGCCATTGGCGAACCCAAGCCCACGGTGCGCTGGAGCAAGGTTGGGGGCTCGCTGCCCGATCACGTGCAGGTGAAGGGGGGCATGCTGAGGATCGAGCAGGTGACAGAGGCTGATGCCGGACAGTACCGCTGCACCGCCACCAACGACGTGGGCTCTGTGCAGTCCACTGTGGTGCTCAACATCCAGTGTACGTGCACATGTTCCGCAACAGTTTACTCAGCCTTACACACGCTGCCTGGGAAAAGTTTGGGGACACCCCAAGGTTCTCTTTTGAATTCTCTTAAAGGTGTTCATATCTTGAAAAAATCATTTTCTAAGTTTTTCTAAAAAAATTCCTACGTTTTTCTAAAAAACCTCTACCTGCGCAGAACCTTTATTTCTAATAGTGAATTCAGCAAATGAACAGTAATTGTGCATTAAAATGTGCAGAAGTGTGTGAACATATTTTCACTAAATAAAAGAAAATAAACAAAACATGGCATTTGACCAAGAGCGCCCAAACGTTTGCATACAACGAAATTTGAAAGTCATTGTTTTTTGGGGATGTCCCAAAAAATGGTGTATTTACATATACCTGCCTATTCAACCAACAGTGTCTACTCACTGATGTTGTAAGAAATGTTTTAGCCTGAAGTGCTTTCTGACAGAGGCACAATACAGGGCAACCAATTAGATCAGAGGTCATACATTTTTACATATTTTTTGGTTTACATATATCAGTCTCTTAAGCAAATTCAGCATGTGTAGTTCTAAGAACTAAGAAAGGTTAGAAAATGGACATGCAGAAGTAAATTATGCCTGTTTTTATAAAGTGGACCTGAGGGGGAAAATACTAGTTACGATATAATTCAAGACGAGAAGAAATGTCGAATACTGGCACTTTAAACTCTCCCTGTTCATAATAACTTTGTGCACTAAATTAAGCACAAAATGCATAAATGGACGCTTGTTTGTTAGTCTGTAATTTTGCTGTTGGTTCTCACTTTATGAACCTTGTGTCTGTTTTAAAGCTTTGCCGCAAATTGCTGCTCAGCCTGAGACGAAAGAAGTGACCGTTGGCTCCACTGCAGTGTTCCCCTGCATTGCGTCAGGATACCCTGTTCCAACCATTGCATGGTCCAAGGTAATCCTCGTTACCCAGGAACTTCAAACTCTAGTCATATTGAACACGTTTGCCTGATGCTTTGTTTTCTTAATGGGCCTAAAGAAAACTAAACTGTCACTTTTTTGACATAACTGGGTTTGAAATAAACATAATTCTGTTAACATTGTTGTTATTTTTAAACCATACAAAAAAGACAGACTTAAATATATCCACCTATTCAGCCTACCACAGTTTAGCCACGCCCACAAACGCTGACATTATAAGAAATGTTTTCGCTTAGACTGCTTTTTGAAAGAGGCAAAATACTGGGCATCCAATCAGAACACAGCTCATTTACATATATCAGTCTTAAAGGCACAGCAACAAAAACTAAGTTGAAAAAGAAAGTTGACATAAAATAAAAATACAAGGAAGTTGTATCATATGAAGTGATAGATTGGCAAAAAATCTAATTAACACAATTTTCCCCAAAATGTAGTGGTGTTTTGTTTATTTGATTCACACTCAGACCCCTCATCTTCTTACAAATGAAGACTCACTGTATCAATATCCTCCTCTCTTCTAGCTGGAAGGAGAGCTGGCGCCCAAGTGTGTGCAGGATGCCCATGTGCTGACCGTACCAGACGTCACCCATGAGGATGCTGGCACCTACGTGTGTACGGCATCCAACAAGCAGGGCAAAGTGCAGGCCTTTACCAAACTCAAAGTGCACGGTGAGTCATCCTCTCCAGCATTCAACTGCAGGAAAGAATACGTCAAAGCTGAAGCAATCTGTAATTACACTGGCAGATCAGTCGTCTGTAACCAGCTCTTCTGTAATTACTGTACATAGCTTCTTCAGACGTTATGCTTTAGTGAAATGCTTCAGTGTAGCACTGCTCTATAATTGTACCTCAGTGAAAGTAGTGCTTAAGTTTTGTGTGTGATTGTGTAATATGGCTGTAACACTGTGAGAGTCTGTGTGTATGTTTGTACACTCAGAAACACTTACGGCACTGTGCAGAAGTCAGAGACCCCCATTCGTTTATTTAATTTCCAGTCAGAAAGGTTGTTTAGTACAAGTTGTTCATTTTTCACTGTCAGAAAAAAAGAAAGTATATATTTAACAGAAAATTACTCAGAAGCCTCAACAACGAAATATAATATAGCAACAAAATCAAAGATATTTTTCCACATCTCCAAAGTTCAGTCAAATTTTCTGCTTCTCATGTTCCAAGTAATCCCAAACACAATCAGTGACATTGAGGTTTTGGGCTCTTAACGAAACCTGACAGCTACACATCAGAGTTTTCAGACTCATAGTGTTGAGTTGTCTTCTTTCAGTAGAAGGATGGACAGAAACACCTGTGAATGTTTTTAGATCTGAAGCGTGGAGCTGTTGGCCCTATCTTCAGAGATCGCGAATTTGATCCCTGGTGATGCTACAGCCCTCTGTGGCTGGAAGTCCAAGAGAGCACAATTGGCCTTGCTCTCTCTGGGTGGGTAGTATGGCCTTCCACCATCTCGCCCATCACTCAGTGCAGTGCTAGTCAGTGCAGGTGTCTGTTAGCTGACGTAACAGAACTGGCAGTTGGTGCTTTCCTAAGAGCGCGTTCAGCTGTCTAATGACGTTGTGTTAGCGGCAGTTAGAAAAGCTGTGGGGCGGTATCGTACGACTGGGGGAGTCCTAACTAGTGGATGGAATTTGATATCTCTAAATTGGAAAAAAAAAATTGGAAAAGAAAATTGGGAAAAAAAAATGACAATAGTAAATAATTACATACTCAGAAGGCATGCCCTTTACCAAGTTTTGACGCAATCGCAATCATCAGATTCATCCACTTGAGGAAGGGGTCCAAAGCACAACCGACATTACAAAATATTGTCCCACCCATTGCATGCAATTAGCACATTTCCACCAGAGGGGTCTCCATATCCCCAAAACATAGTGCAGTACTTTGCACAGTACTTTACCTCAATGCTCCACCTTGTTGATCTACAATTAGAGACTGTGACCTGCACAGTTTGTCTAAGCCATCCTTTAGCCCTTAATCAGTGGTTGGTTTCTGACCACAGAGCTGTTTTTGGATGGTGAACCACTCTTAACCTAGCAGTGACACTGATGTGTGTAAAAATCCTAATACTCCACCACACAAACTGCTTTGTTGAGAATGGTCCACCACCCAAACTGTATGTGGTCAACAATGGTCCTGTTGTCAGAAACTGGCCAATGATGAATGGTGTAGAAGTGGGCTGTTAAATTTCATGAGAATAGATGAGATACAGTGTGTAAATGTAGACCTGTATAGTTGACCTGTACAGCAGGTGTTTCTCTTAAAGTTTTCAGTGTGTTGATGTACAAGGTAGGTCTAATAAAGTGAAGACTGAGTTCATGCAGAATGCAACTGTCGCTACAGCAGTAATGCTGTGGTTTAAAGGCTGAAATGCAGATGCTGACTGCATTTGTCTCTTGTTGTAACTCTGCTGCTGTATGTTTTGCAGAGCGAGTGATGCCTTACTTCAGTCAGGAGCCTCTGTCCTACCTCACTCTGCCCACCATCAAAAACTCCTACAAAGCATTCAACGTCAAAATCACCTTTAGACCGGACAACGTTGACGGTAAGGAAGTCTCTCTATTAAATAAATCATTCAAAAATTAATCATTTAAAAGGCTTTAGTTCATTGCAGTTCTAATGCTGCCTTCATGAAGGCATTACATCATGATGGTAGATGATGACAAACCAGATGTTTCAGACTTTTCAAAGAAGCAGTGATGGAAAATTTTACCACTGCCAGCAGCAAACGGCAGCGATCAGTGGAGTGTTCTGTCAAGAGTTCAATTTTCCCAACTTTTGCTGTCAACCACAGTGGTGGAATAAACCGGGGTTGAGGTTTATTTTTTTATTTATGAAGCAGAGGCACTGAACGCTCATAGTTGAAGTCCAGGTACATCCTTTAATGTACAAAAAACAAGCTTCAGTGCACCATTAAAAACATTACTGTATGTTCAAATCACTTATAGGATAAAAAATGTACATGTAAACACAGCCTTTTGGAGAGATAAATCTGTGGCTTCACAATGATTCAGTTTCATTTGGATATTTCAGGGAATAATTCAATAGATCATGAAACGTCAGGTTTCACCGCAATTTCATTTAATTCAGTTACACAGTAGCATAATAGAGAAAAACAATACACCATACATTGTGGCACAATACACAGTTTGTTTTTTTTTCTGTTTTTTTTTTTTTACCTTTGAAAATAGCCAGAAGATTTTATTTTGGCCAACACATTAGTGCATTTGTTTCTTGACTCTTATTATAATTGATTATATTGGATTCAAATATTCCAAAATCTATACAGTTGAATCACTATCTTGATTGAATACATGAAGGCATTTTTATAGCACTACTTATTCGCACCATTTGATTAATTGTATTTTTATCATTATAGCGTTCAGTGATGCGTCAGTGATGACGAAACAGTTGAAATCGTTCACGCTGTAGACTTGCAAAGCAAACACACTCAGTTGATCAGTGCTACTGTTAACCCTTTAAATCCACCAATGCGTTTTGCTGGCACCTGTCCAACCCATCTTCTCAGCTTCAAAATTCAAAAACCGCACAAAAATGAATGCAAAATCATCACAATCAGCTGCACATATTCCTTCAGTCTACTCAGTCGTATGCAAATGTTTGGGCACCCCGGTCAAGAGACATGTTTTGTGGATTTTCTGACTGAGAAAAGAAGGATATATTATCAAACATTGTAATTTGATGGGGGTTGTTCAAACTTTTGCATGCGACTGTATCATGGTTGTGTAATTGTATAGCATAGTATCAGAGAGTAAACCCATTTGCATTTTATTGCATGTCACATCATGATCGCAATATCCAACCACTTTATCACACTTCATTTTTTGTCCAATAAGCTGTTGTCATTATTATTATTATTCTTATAAATGTGGAAGAGTTACACAAATAACATTTATGTGCCGTATGTAAACTGTATTCATGTAAAAAATAACAATGTTAGATAATTGATCTGTTAAATCAGTATTTTTCTGTGTGTAAACTCAATCTTTCTTTTGTTCTGCCCCGACTCGAACCTTTGGTTTGAAGGTCTCATTTTGTATGCCGGTGAGTCTGCGTGCTTGAGTGTGAGTGCAAGAGCACACTTGCTGTAAGAGCCCATTACAGTGCAGCAGAGCTTTCATAGGGGCGCTGGCTGCTTCTCAGTCCTACTCCTACTGTAAAACAGTCAAGCAAGTGTCCATACTAAGATTGCAAAGACATTTCCCACTGCTAGTGTACCTCAGCACAGAGAGTGCAGCATAGGTTCAAAACATGGCTTGTAAGGCATGAAGACAGCATCAAAGTCTGCCTCAGTGCATCCATGCTTATGCTTCAGTACATTGCCCTCGGATGCTGCATGTTGTTTGTTAAAATGAAGCATCGAAAGCTTTTAAGCCTTGTTTTTATACTTATTTATGGACGTCTTGCTGAAAGTGTAACGCAAATAAACTTGCATTATGGTGTCCATATAGTACTTGTTGAATACATAAGAAGTATGTTGCAAAGTTGGTATCTGAAGTATCCATGGCAGCTGCAATATACTTGATTCGCTCATTGCCATCTCTGTGCACTACTGCTATCATTTTATGCAGTAAATGTACATTTAAAAGAGCCTTAAAGACAGATACATAAACAGCAGCAGGTCTTATCGTGTCAGTACATACAGTCAGTTTAATAACAGTGTAATGCTTCTAAACTGTGGAGCTCATCACTCTTTATTAGGCAGTCAAACATACTGTAAGATAGACACCAGGAATATTTTGATGTGTTTTCTTCAGTGTATGTTCAGCAGTTTTTTTGGAAACACTGCAATGTTTCTAAATGATAAATTATATGCTGTAATTATTTCTTATCTGCATCAAGATTTGATCCCACCTTAGAAATATAAGGCATTCTGGAAGTTTTATTATAATTTTATTCAGTCTCAATGTTTTACAGCTTTCTTAGAAATGATGGAATCATCTACAGCTCTATGCATTATTTTGGATCTGAAATTTCTTTTTTCCTACCAATTAGTTGAAAGCTATGAAGTCGAAGGGTTGTAGCATCTTATTAGAATCACTTTAGAGATCAAAATTGGTTTTATATTATTGAAAACAGTGATTCCAAACTTCCAAACTTTTGAACAGTAGTAAGTAGTAGTAGTAGTTTTGGTTTTATTAGGCTGTTATTTGTCTTTTTATTCTTAGATATAACACAGAACATACAAGCATTTGTACTTATGGCTTTCTATACATGTTATTTGTAACAAATCTAAACAAAACCTTGTATCTCCAAGTAGTAACTTTACAGGAGAAGTGAAAAACATTCTTAATATTAAATGTAAGTAAAATAACAATTTTATTCCAAATAATAGAGCATTACATATGAAATTTTAACACAATGTAAGAAACGACAGCAATTATATATAAATATTATTCATTAGTCTATGGTTATGGTTAATATATGGTACAGTGGTGACACCTTACACCCTTAAAAAAAGGTTCGTTAAGGGTTCTTTATTAAAGGCAATGGTTCTATATAGAAGGGCGACAACTCAAAGGACCATGTGAATGCATGAATGGCTAAATGTTTGCATGGTTAAATGGTTTTTCTCTGTGATGGAGAAACTATTTATTGATAGAGTATATAGAATAGAAATATTCTATATAGAAACTGTATTTTGATCTATAGAAAATGCCTTTTTTGCTAATAACAAGTCATCTGTAAATAAAGTTCATTTATTTTTATTATCAGTATTAATTAGGCAGGGCGAGTGCTCTAATATGCGCCACCCTCGAAGCCCACATCATGATACAAATGATCCTCTGCAGTGTGAGGTCAAAGATGAATTTCAGAATCAGAATGAGTGACCGGTGCACCTGTCTTGTGATCGTGGCTGAGGTTTGGCATGTGCCCTGGCATGTTGCTCATGCTAGCCGTGGCCGGCAAAGTGAGATGCTGCTCAGCTTCCACTCACACCCCCTCCCCCTCAGCTCAGACCCCCTCCAGCATGCTGCTCCACATTCCAGCTTAAAGAAAAGCTCAGCTCTGTCCTGACCAGTCAGGGCACAGCGGTCCGGCAGGGCGATGCATTTGCTCCTCTAATGCTTCTATTGCTCCCACAGGAATGATCCTCTATAACGGACAGAAGAAGACAATGGGAGCCGATTTCATTTCCTTTGGGCTGGTGGGCGGCCGTCCTGAGTTTAGGTGGGTTCAAATCACACGTGCTGCAGATCAGATCAAACGTGACAAGTTTTCAAAGTCCTTTTAAAGGAATAGTTTGGCACACATTTCACAGTTAGTCACATTTACACACATTTCCCTCTTGCCCTTAGTGTAGTCGATCTGGCAAAGATGTATTTCGTGTCAGTGCTCATATGTATGTATGTTAAGTAATCTGAAATAGACAATCTGACCCAATTTGAGACAAATGCAAGGGTTTTAGGCGTGCAGTTTGCACGATGCTTATTGATTATAAGCTGGATAAGGTTATGTCACAATTTCCTTGGCCACACTTCCTCAAGCTTGTCTTGTCTTCTTGTCTTGTTTTCTTAACTTTGCTCCCTTCTCATCAATAGACCATATTAAGAACTCCAGGTCTAAGCAGACTTCTCTGTGAGAAAAATAAATGACGTTTTTTGAAAATTGGCACTGTTGTACCCTGTGGTACATATACATGACCGAAAGCCTTTTTAAAGAGTCAAAATGCGAATGTTACTACATGCAGGCCAACACTGTTGTGCATTGAAATGACATCACAAGACTGGCAACTTCACCAAAATGCTCCACACAAACCAGCAAGCTTCACTAAATCTGGTAGTTAAGTTGCTTTTACTGTTTGCATACCTGTAATATAGTAGTGTTTTTATATAAGACTTTCATGCAACGTCATTTCAGTATGCAGGAGTGTTAGCTTATGTGTATGTAGCATTAGTCATATTTTGGCTACTTGAAAGCCTTGGAATTCAAAGGATCCTGTGACATTCTGGGTAAAAATGTATGTAGGACAAAGTGTATCAGGTTTGGAGCCTTCTTGTTTCCCCCCAAAAGGGGGCGATAGCTGCAATTTTTAAAAACCCAGCAGTTTCTAATGTGGGTACAGAATTATGCATGATTTTCAAGGTCTGTGTCACCTGCATGTTGTCTGTAACCCCTTCTTGTAATCATCACCCACAATGCCCCGCCATGCATTATTGTAGATTTTATGTTATATACCTTTTCTGTGTTTTTCTCTTTCTTTTGTTCTCCCTGTATTTGTCCAGTTTCCCCCTTGTTTGACCCCTTAGCTGTGCAATATAGATCCCGAACCCTCTGTATCTGCCTCGTCCTTTAATACAGACTTCAGTAAACTTTTAAATAACTCGCAAATACATCCTGCTTCCTCAGCTGTCTCTGCATTACAGGGGACAATCTGTGAAAATTCAGACTGTTTTCTGAAGTTGAAAGTCGTAACTGAGCTCATTTTCTCTTTTCCTCATACGACAAATATAGTACTCAAAACCTGTCAACTCCAAAAGACATTCTAAGCTTATTCCCAGCCTGGATTTTCTGTCCTAAAGGTTTGACGTGGGCTCAGGCATGGCCACTATCCGCTACCCCACAGCAATCAAGCTGGGCGAGTTCCACACAGTGCAGCTGTACCGCAACGGCACGCAGGGTTCTCTCATCGTGGACCAGGAGGCTCCCATCAACGGCAGCTCCCAGGTGCAGTGTTTCAGTGGTCGTGCCTTTCTCTTCCAGTGCTGTACGATGGATCGGCTGCCTTAAATGGCTGTGTCTTGTGGTGTAATTCAAATGCGGAACATCTGCTGCCTCTGTACAGGGGAAATTCCAAGGCCTGGATCTGAACGAGGAGCTGTTCGTAGGCGGCTATCCAAACTACAGCATGATCGCCAAAACCGCAGAGCTCAAGACCGGCTTTGTTGGTAAGAAATAAATCCACTGCTTATTTTTTAATAAAGATGTCTGCAGTGTCTCCTTCTGCTTTGTTTTTTTTTTGTCCTACTATGTAGACGTTGCTAAACCATCAGAGTTTACTTAACTCCAAGATAAACAGAGTCAGTTTAAACTCTAAGGGGTGAGTCTGTGAAAGCTCCAAGTGTTTAGAAATTAATTTTGCACTGATGATTTTTGCTTGATATTTTAATCCATTTAACTGTAAGGACCTGTATGTCAACCTACACTGCAATTCCTCAGTCATAACTACATTCTTCAAAAGTGTGTTTGAGTGTGATACCACAGTAGAACCACTTTTGGTTCCCTAGAGAACCATGTTTGAAAAAGAGATTCGTGAGTGTAGTAGTAAGAACATTTTAAAGGTTTTAAGGTTAGCACTGTGGTAGCACTTTATAACAACAGGCCCTCATAAACAGTGATTTAATCATTACCTACTTGTTTGTTAATGGCTGCTAATAATTGTATAATACTTGCATTAATAAATGGTACCGTGTGAATTATTAACAATTTATGTAGTGACATACCTTTTATTTTGTCAGTCAAAGTAAATCAGTTAATCAGTCTTAATTAATCAATTAGTTGGAATGGTAGAAACCTAATTAATTATAAATTGTTAATAATTATTTGATTATTTTATGGTTATAAATTATATAACTTACTTTGTTGCTTTAAAACACCCCATAATCATATATATGCTAACTAATTTGTAATTGACATCATTACTAATCATTATTAGGATCCGTATTAGAAAGTTGTTACTTTATATATAATAGTTATGAAAAGCGTTTTGAGTGCTGTAATAATTTGTATGTCAATAAGTAAATGGTTGATAATTACACATTAATTATTCTAACACAAATAATTGATACACAAGTAACAAATGCGTAGTTATCAATTATTTGTAATTGTAATTATCATTAAAAACGATTAGATAATGATTAAGTTGCTATTTATAGCAGTCTGTCATTATATTCTTTCTATAAACTTTACACGTGAATGTTCTTTAAACTTTAAAAGGGTTCTGCACATCCCTTCACATCTCTAAAGAACTGTCCATTGAAAGTTTTTTAGGGAACCAAAGGTGGTTCTTCTATGGAATCATATACAGAATCCTGGTTGGCACCTTTGTTGTTAAGAGTGCAGAGAACTTACATGCTAATTTCATAGTGGCAACTGAATAATTCATAGTAGTCATGCGTTTTAAGACTCGTTACTGAATAAGTCTGCGGTTTAAGTGGTATTTAAAATGCATTACCTGTTTTGTCCCTTATTTCTTCCAGGTTGCATTAGTCAGCTGATCATCCAAGGGGAAGAAATCATTTTTAAGGATCTTGACAGAAGCTCTACTGGTGTTACTAACTGCCCAACCTGCAAGGATCGCCCGTGTCAGGTTAGACCTACTGTGACCAAAAGCAAAGATCAAAATCAACTCATGGATGAATGATGTTATTTTAAAATTGAAGTATACTTATTACTTACCCACCATGCCTAGAGGAATGTTCTGCATTATGCATATTTTTGTGTCTATATGTTTGAAACTGTATGCTTAAAACTTTTTTTTTTCTTGTTCCAGAATGGCGGAATGTGTCACGACTCTGTGGCCAGTCTGTACAAGTGCAACTGTCCAAGAGGATTCAGTGGGAGCAACTGCCAGCATCAGTCCTCCCTGCACTGCCATCCAGGTGAGCTTTTCTGAAAGACGCTTACCTTATCGGTCCACTGTAGGTGTACAATTACAGACTGCAGCCTTTCTGCACAAATTATCATTCATGATCTTTTATTCACACTCTACCCCATTCATCATTGGTCAGTTTCCAACCACAGGACCTCTTTTGACCAGATATTATTTGAGTGGTGGACCTTTTTGACACACTGTGACACTGTAGGAGGGTAGTGTGTGGTACGAGTGTGCCAGTTGCTGGAGTTTTTATATACCTGCTAAGTCACTGCTAAGTTGAGAGTGGTCCAACACCCAAAAATATTGAGCCATGAGCGGATCTGTGGTCAGAAACTGATCAATGATGAACGGCTATAGCAGCATTGTTTGTTGTACAGTTTGCTAAATTTTTGTTGTCAGCTTCCAAGGCTGTTAACAATTACAGCCTAGCAGATAGCATAATGCAGACAATACACAAAGCTAAGGATCACTGGCAAAAATATAATGTTGCAATATTTGACAACATTTTCGTAATGCACAGTGCTTAAGTATCATTTCTTATTTAGTTGCTATCCAATATTTGGTAAGTTGTCACAGATAAAACACACCAACAATGTCAAAATTTTAAAAATCCTATCAAAAACTATAAATACAGTGATTTTTATTCAACATTTTACATACTTTTCTGTTCTAAATCCACACAAACAGGCCTAATTATGCCCTATTTGTAGTATACATGCAGTTGTTTAGTGTTCTAGAAATACTGATGATGGATCCTTAGAAAAGCGTATTGTGACTTATTTTTTCACAACATTGAATCATTGTATTGTCCACCTCTACACATAGCACAACCAAACATTCAAAATGGGCCCAAATTATATCACACATAGAGAGAATTAGCACTTTCTGAAACATCTACAGCATGCCATGTGCTACCCCGGGCACAGGAAGGACGCTGGAGGCAGAGTTGAAGGTCGCAGCAGCCATTTAACTTTATTTTTCTCTCCAAACAAACACAAAACAGCACAAAATGAAAGCTGCCCACTTTTCAGTGGCTTCTTACTAGACTCTGCTCTCGGGCTCGTCAATCGGGCATCGAACATGATGCAGCGGCCAGGAGGTGGGGCTCGGGACTTGCACGCGGTCCTCCACTCCCTCGCAGATTTCACCCTTTTCCCGGGGTCTTTGTAGGGTTTCGTCTGGGCTCAGAGTTTGGGCCCCGCCTTCCTGCTGCCTCTCGTGGCCGTCATCGGGGCCCAGGCGACAGGCGCATGCCACAATAACCAATTAAATAACCCTAATTCTAACCATAAGCCGACCAATCATAGCATCCATTCTATAAGGTGACAGCATATAACAAACACAACTTGCAACAAAGCCTCACACTTACCAATCTGTGCTAGCAGGGGGTATTAAATGTTTTTGTGGCTCAGCACTGATCACAAACCTTAATTTCATGCTTTGAGTGTATTTTTGTTCACTTGCCACACACAACATGTCACTACATGCGTGTATAATACTTGCGAAACATTTCTAACTTGCGACTGTTGTAAAAATAAAAGCTTTATCGAAATGTTGCACTGTATAGGTGTGTCTTCTATTATTATTATTATTATTATTATTATTATTATAGCACAATATAGACTGAATTATGCTGTTGTAAGAAGACAGATTTGCAGAGATTTGCTAAATGGTTAGGCATATGAAGATTTTCTGCAAAGGTGGTTCTACTGTTGATTCTCTTCTCTAATATACGAATCTCAATGGCTAACACAAACTATGCATGTCAACAGATGTGCTGCCATCCCTAAGTACATTATTTGTATTATTTGCTCATCTACAGAGGCATGTGGCCCAGATGCCACTTGCATCAACCGGCCAACAGGTACAGGCTACGACTGCCGCTGCCACCTCGGCAAGTTTGGAAACAAGTGTATGGATGGTAAGGAGTAGTATTTTTTCATTCTCACCAATATTGTTTTAAAGATTTAGCATAGATCTCACTAGCCTTGTGCTCACGTTCGCAGGCACACTGGTGACGACGCCTTTGTTTGACGGCGAAGAATCATACATTGCATATCCACCTCTTACCAACATTCACAACGACCTGCGCATCGACATGGAGTTCAAACCCATGGACACTGATGGCTTGATGTTCTTCAGCGGAGGGAAGAAGATGAAAGTGGAGGACTTTGTTGCTCTCTCCATGGTGGACGGCCATGTAGAGTTCCGCTACGAGCTCGGCACAGGTAGGAGTGCAGTTCCACTGTTGATAGAAATAATTGCATACTTTTTATGCTCTTTTTTACAAAGTTAACCCCTTAAACTGTGAGTTTCACTTGTTATGACTTATTATTCAGTATCTACTGTAATTAAAGTAACTACTATAAAACTAATGAGTTTATTCAGTCATGGGAGTGTGGAATTAAACTGTTGCCCACACAAGGGCCCTTGCAGTTTATGGGGTTAAATCAATAGGGTTACATTATTGTTTCCTAAGTATTAACTATCCAAAACAGTTGGCCTGCATTTTAATGCACATTTTTGCCAAATTTTCAAAAATGTGCAGATACATTTGAAATCAGGGTCTTTAAATACTTACAGCTGAGCAGTGTTCCTTAGCTACAGTGTAAACAAACGTCTACGAACCTGTAACGGCCATAACACTCCAATCCCAGTGCAAATATAATACCAAAATGCAAAATATTTGGACACACAAACAAATGGGCAGAATGTTTTCAAGTGACAAATATATTTTAGGGCCCCCCCCGCCATTCAACTTTACAGGCACTTTCACATTTAGCTCTGGCTGCCCGTAGCCCAGTTTGAGCTGCTTTTGGACCTGCTAGTGCCAAACGCAATGAAGCAGAAGGCAAACAAATCCTTTTGCCACTTGCTTAAAAGCTCTAGTGGCTGGGACAAAGCTGAACCAGCATCTTGGTTGTGGCCATGCCAACGCCAGAGACAACAGTGATTGGTTGACTGAGTTCACCAACGAACAGTAGGTGAATAAAGTATTTTCACTGTCCCAAAAATTATGTTTGGTGTGCAGAATATCTTTAGCTATACATCTGTTCATATTCACTTACCAACATCTGAATAATTCAAGCTTGTTTTCAAAAGGCCTTAAGTCAGGATAGTCAAACTCATATCCTGGAGGGCCTCAGCACTGCAGATTATAATGCATAGTTTGTCATTTCATTGCTTTTATTGACCAATCTCAGCTCATGAAGGGTTTGGTAAAAAGCAAGGAGGATGCTGAACTCTTCAAAGATCCTCCAGGACTAGACTCTGACAGCCCTGTTGCAGGTGTTCCTTTAACCCAGGTGGTGCTTAATGCTGTGTGTTATTGTTCGTCTGCAGGCCAGGCGGTGCTGCGCAGTCAGGAGCCCTTGTCTCTGGGCCAGTGGCACAGGGTGGCCGCAGAGCGAGTGAACAAGGACGGCTCGCTGAAGGTGGACCACGCGAAGGAGATCAGGAGGTCATCGCCCGGCAAGGCGCAGGGCCTCAACATCCACACCCCCATGTACCTGGGCGGCGTGCCCTCCATGGACATTCTGCCCAAACCTGCCAACGTCAGCATGCTTTTTGATGGCTGCATTGGAGAGGTCAGCACTTTGCAGGCTATTGGTTCACAGATTTGGCATTAGTTTTACAAACTGCATTTAACATTTAGAACTCACAGTAGTGAAAGTTTATTGTATTATACATATATATTTTATATTACATTTGTTCTTATTTGAGGCTCATTGTAGAAAAATTCTGCTGAAAGTGTGAATTCTGAGCTTAGTCTGCACCATTTCTGTGTTTGGAGACAAAAACACCAAGCAGAGGAGATATTTTATTATAATTTAAATTTGATAAGAACACTGTAAAAAGTGATTCAGTGTTTTAACCTGATTGCTTCATAATAGTAAGATGGAGAACGAAAAAACTGTTTTTTACATTCTGTTGCTATATGTTATTTATTCAATGAACTGAACATTTTATGGCAAGTTAAAACAGTGAATTATGTATTGCAGTGAAGGTATGGTTGCGTGTAGTGTTGTTTTGTTAAAAAAAAAACTTTTTTTTTCTTTTATATAGCCAAAACAAAACAGATCTGAACCTGTCAATACAGAATGTAAATCAAGCGAAATATAATCGCTTAACTACGTAATTTATTATGAAATTACATTAATGCTAACATACATTACCAAACAACAGTAACAGTTAGAGACTGTGTCACTTTTTCTTTTCCAGCACTGTAACTTTGAGGGTCTGCATGTACCAAACTGATATTTTTTCTTTAAAACTGAAAAAGATTGAAGAAATAAAGGATTATTTCTAACATATTTATTTGCACTAAAATAAACATTTCTTTTGTAAAAAGATAAGAATATTTCTTTTTTACTATTTTTTTCTTTCAAATCATACTCTTTAACTGTTACCACACTACAGATTAAGTTAACCTGGCCGTCACTTTTAATAACCTTCAAATAATACGTTGCTAATGGAGGTTATGAATCTGTTTACTCACTGTTAGAAGTTACCTTAGAATATTCAGGTGGCTAAGTTACATTCTTTTGTAATTTGAAACAAATAAATCTTCATTAAAGTCATCTTTTTAAACTGTCCATCCAGGTATCCATCAATGGTAAGAAGGTGGACCTGTCCTACAGCTTCACAGAGAGCCAGGCCATCAGTCAGTGTAGGGACGAGAGCCCGTGTGACCGCAGGCCCTGTCAGAACGGCGGCAGCTGCATGCCCACCGCAGAGTATGAGTTCCAGTGCTTCTGCAGGGACGGTTATGAGGGTAAGCCTTTTTGTTCTGCTTTGTATCTGCACAGACGTGTTGCTGGAGCTCAGATTGTGGCAGTAGGTAATGGCTGAGGTGACGTTGCTCCAGTCAAAAAGTTTGGGTGCCCCGGTCAAATAACATGTTTTGTTGATTTTCTGAGTGTACATTAGTTAACACGTCCTCTACAGAGAACACACTTCTTCACATTTTAATACACGATTACTGTTTATTTGCTGAATTTAACATACTGGGGGGAGGTGAAGTGATAAAATATTGCTATGTATTGTTACTTTTTTCAGTGTGTGAAACGGCAAATAAATAGCAATTATGCACTAAAGTTTGCAGAAAAATGTAGTATTTCTGTTTGTTCACTGTAGAGGACATATTAACTTATTTTCACTTTGAAAGTAAACAAAACATGCAGTTTGACTGGGGGTGTCAAAGTTTTGAATACAACTGTATGAGTGAGAATTGCATTTGAAATTATTCTATTAAAGCACATAATATGATATGATTTTATTATTGCCAGTAACTGCAACTTCCTAATGATTTTGGGCTGTGAAATCATAAAAATAATTCATTGTGAATAATCACATTTTTTGTATTTGCGTTTTTTTGTTTTTGTTTTTTCCTGTAAAAGCAGTACATTGTGTTATAGCTGTATAAGTGAACAAAGTAAGCTTCATCAGGATGTATTACTTTCAGTAATTCAGTAACATTATTTTCATTGTATGAATGCAGCGTCCACATGAACCTGAACATGAAAATCACATGATTTCCAATTTTCATCACCGACGTTCAGTGCGAGCAACAGTGTCCGCATGTTCCAGTGACTCATTGTATCATATGTAGCATTCATACAGTTAATTGGACTGTCCATGATTGTAGCTTCTCGCTCTCATTCATAAAACTAATAGACTCTTATACAGTGGAGGCCCTCAAGGGGAGCTGGAGCTTCACTTTGTTGTTGCTTTTTGCTCGCTGATTTATGACTGTCCAGTCTATTCTGCTGAAGGTGCTGAAGGTGTCGTTTTAACAGCCATTTAAAAGCTGTACTTCATCAAGAGGGTTATAACTGTGGATTCTGTGTTGTTGCAGGAGAGCGCTGTGAGGTGGTGAAGGACACCTGCCTGGACTCCTCTCAGTGCCAGAATGGAGGCAGCTGTTTGGATAATCACTGTGTGTGTCCTGCAGGCTACGCAGGCCTGTTCTGTGAGGAAGGTTCGTTCTGTTCCATCTCCTGTTTCTCTTAGTCGCTACATTTTGGTTCTCAGCTCCAGTCCTGGGTGTCCTGCACTTTCATCATTCTCCCGCTCTAACAACCTGACTCTGCTCATGAAAGCTCAGTCTTTCACTGAAGAGTTGAATCATTGTGTCACAGCAGAAGAAACACAAAGCTGCTGGGCTGTAAGTCACCAGTGCTGGAACTGAAAACCTTGCATACTGAAGAAGTTGCTGCTGTATATACACTGCCCATAAAAGCTTTAGTGGCACTAAGCTTTACAAAATGTTTTAAATAAATGAGGACATTTCTTTGCCAATTTGCAGTAACTTAGCATATTAAACAGTTTTGGTATCTCCGTTTTCTTCTGCAAAATTAGAGAACTGACAAAAGCACTATTTTGGGAATAACGCCATTCCCCTTAAATTTTATTTCCTTGTTGTGATGTAAGCATTCATCAACACTCCTTTCAAGTTGGGATGCCCGATCCAGCTTTTTGGCTCCCTCATCTGATTTGAGTACTTTAATACAGAGTATCGGCAAAAACCAATCAAATTTTTTCACAGATACTAGAAAACACCAGTATGCATATGCTTATTAGCTGGGGTATACTAGACTGCCAAGAAATGCTACAGTATTGTGTCGCTCTGGAGTGGCCTGCCTTTTATAATGACTATTTTATAATGCGCCAAATATTTATTTATGATCCAATTTCACTGATCTGATGATTTGGCTACCAGTTACCTTTATTTAGAAGCAATTAATTCTTGATAAGTTTATAGTGGTGTAAATGCTAAACTGATAGCTTTTGTTTTTTGGTGGGCTACTTATGTGAAATAACTTTTGTATAGTGCTCTAAAGAGCCCTCCTTCTCTAGGGTTTACATTATTTCCTTTAACACTGGTATTTAATAAAAGTGACCAGTGCAAGCAGTAAGGCAGAACATTTCTGAGATAGTTTTGTTTTTAATCAGTCGTGACTCGTGAGTGAAAAATGCTGCAAAAAGAGTATTCTGTACATGTTTCTGTTGGCATGCTGTTCACAGCAAGCGGCAAAAAATAGATTTGAAGTGTAATAGCCACAAACTCACATTTTACAGGCCTGTGTTTTCACTAAAGGCATTGAGCTCAAATGCTGTCAAATCATTGACGCTGCAGATATTACTCATTTTGCTTTGTTAACATGATAATGCGCCTCACTGTTGCAGGTTGTGAATAATGACTATGGCACCCCTGTGACACTGGAGTAAATAGAGCACATGAAAGAAAGAAAGGATAGGTGGTGGGTTGGTTTTAATCCATTGAAGTACACTTGGATCAGCTATGATCATTATCCTTTGGGTTGATTTGGGACGTCCCTACTTTCAGGTGTCTAAACTACCTTTGGGCCAAAAGAGATTCAGTATGGACTTTGAACAACAACTTAAAAGAGATAACAGACAAATCATTACATAAGGAAAAATAATGAACATGAAGCTAAGTGTTGCAAAGTATTTGATGGGCAGTGCATGTATAGACTGTTTTTACGAACCTCAATTCTAAAACAGTTGGAGCAGTATGTGAAATGCAAATAAAAACAAAAAGCAGTGATTTAAAATACCACTTTGACCTGTATTTAAACTAAAACAGTACACAAACAAGATGTTTAATGTTTTACCATATCAACTTCGTTGTTTTTTGTAAATATTTTGCAAACATACATACAGATATATATAATTATAAAAACCGGCTTCTGTGATGGATATTATCACATGGGCTGGGAAACACTTTGACAAACTGTTGTCATTAAACACTGTCCATCACTACAGAAGCCAGCAACGTTCAGAAACACCACTGATGCTTTCAGTTTGTTAATGAAAATAATGGACATTGTGTTCACCAGGCCAAAGAAGAAAAGCGCAATCCACATTGTTAACAGTGTGAAGTTCAAAAGGAGAAGGTGTATTAGTGCACATCATGGGTAACTTGCAACTCTGTCAAAGCACCGTTAATGCTGAAATTTGGAATACCATATGCTGCCATCTAGGCAACGTCTTTTTTAGGGATGTCTATGCTTATTTCAACATGGCAATGCCAAGCCGCATCCTGCACGTGTTTCAGCAGCATGGCTATGTAATCAGACAGTGCAGCTAATGGACTGGCCTGCCTACAATCCAAACCTGTCTCCAACTGAAAATGTGTAGTGTATTACAGAGTGTAAAGGCAGCAAGTAAGGCCCTGTGCAGTTGCGCATTTGGAGACTTGAAAAACTGAACAATGTCAAAACAATCCCATTTTTAAAAGTAAGTTCATGAGCTAAAACATCGAAAATCATGTTTTCCACTGGTTTTAATTTAATGCAGATCAAACAGAATTTACTAGTCACTGCTTTTATTGGCATTTCACACTATCCCAACTTTTTGGAATTGAGGTTTGTACTTCACAGCCATGACTGTGTTTAGTGGCTCATCTCACCCTAAAAGCCTTCTTGTAGTGAGAAAAAGGCAGAAATGCAAAAGGGTCTCTCTAGGCTTTTTTATGAAAGTACACATACGTACACATCCTTCACAGAGAACACACTTCTGCACTTTTCAATGCACAATTACTATTTATTTGCTAATTTTATCATATTGGAAAAATAAAACACAATTTCGCCTGTGCAAAAGTCAGTCCAGTCCAGTATGTATACAAACCCAGCAAATAAATAGAAACTGTGCACTAAAAGAGGCAAGTTTGTAACTTGAAATTTTCAGTTAGAAAATCAGCAGAACACGTAAATTGACCAAGAATGTTCAAACTTTTGTCTACGACTGTATGCTACTAGCAAAGTTTCTCTGAAACTTTGAGTTTCGTGTCAGCTGAAGATCCACACATAAAACCCCATCCTCTTAGCAAGCCTTGTCCCACTCAGCTAAGCAAGACTCACAGCTCTCCTCAGAGCCCAGCTGCTGTGAGCCTGGGGGCCTAGCAGCGTCCAGCAGTAAGTTTAACTTACCCGTGCACTCACATGGCTGTATCCCACACATGCAGGACAGAAGGCGGTCCCCACTGAGGCAGCATGGAGTTTGGAGGGCAGCGAGGTTAATGGTACAGTATCCGTCCCGTCTGCCTGAGACACCACTAACCAGGAGAACGCTCTCACGGGCTCGTCCCATCTAACACCCCTCAAAAAAACACCCAACCATCAATGAAAGTTGTTATTTCAGGTGTCTGCTTACATGGCAATGCAATGCTTGTTATCTGTGATCTCCATGTCATTTGCTAGCACTCTCGGAGAGTAACGTCAAGCAGCCGTTACGCACTTTCTCCTGATTCTGAATGGCGCATGCATTTCGAAAGTGCATAACGCCTGCTTGACTTTGCCTCAGAAAGTGCTGGCAAATGCTGAATGAACTGTCACTTAGGCTCTGCTTCATGTAAACTGACCCCTGAAATAGAGTGTGTCCAAAAAAAAAAAGCTCTCGTCTGCACCTGACTCGTCACCGGGTCTTCTGTGAAATGTCAAACATACGGCTAAGCAAAGGGAGATCTATATCTTCACGTTCACATTCACTTTTTGCTGTGTAGTGCTGATTGAGGATTGAATTTAAAGGCTTGAACTGTACCATAGAGGAGTCAAGCAATGGTTTATATGCATCTACAGACTGTAAGATTCCCCATTTGCATCTTCTGAAGCATCTCTTTCTGCCTTTTACAGCAGCGCGTCCGTTTTCACATCCGTCTCTCCACCTGCTTGTTTCACTAGCACTTTCATCCACTTTCATCCATGTGGAAATGAGACGAACTTCTTTGTGGCGCGAGCGGTCAGATCCATTACTGATCCGTCACTAACTACTAAACATCAGTGACTTAAATAATACTCCAGCATGTTTCAGCTAATCTCTATCTGCTCTATCTGTGTTGTACTGTCAGTTAGCACAGACAATAATTTTGATGCATTTTTCTGTATGTAGACAAGAGCCAAAAACCTGTTGATTCAAAATATACTTTTAATCGAAGCCTTTGGGCATTTGCTGAATTCCATGAATAAATATTTATTAATCTTTATACTCTCTGATACAATACATGTCTTGCCAAAGCTGCTCCTAAAGAATTCGATTTTTCTAAATAACTACATTATTCAGTGGTTGAGAAGTAAACAAAGTCATTCAGAGTGCTTTGATGTGAAGTTGTATCACTGTAGTGAAACTTACCAAACCAGATTTCTTTACAGTGGTGATGATAGGAACCAGGGGTCAGTTTGTGTACAATGCAAACATATGCCATTTTGTTTACTATCCAAAACTGACAGTGAACCAGCACATCTTTTTTATATGTAATGCTGATGATGATACAATCATGGTAAATCTGAAAAAAGCAAATGCAAAGGTTAGGGCACCCCTGCGGTCAGGAGTTTTGCTTTGCCTTTCTGGTCAGCTTATAAGCTGTTCTATCTGAGAGCTTTCTTGGTCTTCCAGATCATGTTTTGACTTCCACAGTCCCCCGTAACTGCCATTTTTTAAACAACATTTCTGGCTGTGGAAATAATGAGATGGAAGCACTTTGACTTTTTTATAGCTTTACCTTTCATAGCTTCATTTTCAGATCCTTAGCCAGCTGCTTGGAGGAGCCGATAGTTGTTGAGCGTTAGCACAAGGTTTAAAGAGTCAGAGAATTAATTACACTCCTGGTTCTTAATGGCAGTTTTTGACCTATCTAAGCCACCTAGGGCTTCAACTAATGACCACTTTCGTAACTGATTAGTCGGTCCATTATGACTTCGGTTAATAATTAGTTGGGACCTGAAAAACTGCAGGTATTAGTTTGGCAGTGTTTCATTAAACAAATAAAAAAACCTGAACACAATAAAAAATACAAAACACCTACCGTCTTTTCTAATTCATGTTTTCTAAAAAGCTTTTATCAAAAGCACAGTAATATATAGTCTTCATTGCTCCTGAAACTATATTTTCGAAAGGTGCAGAAATAAAGGACAATCACAAAAAAATCTTACAGGGCAGTCCAAGTTAGGCTGGTTTTCTGTATTTCACCTCTAATGACAAAAAAAATTGAAAAAGCTTGTATGTGTTCAGTAACATCATGTAAGGAAATTCGATATTACAGATCACAGCAACAGTCCACTTATCAGCTGTGTCAGACACAGAGACCTAAAGCAGTTCATCACCCATAAAACAGCAGTAACCATGCGCAATGTCAGCGTTTTCAAATCTATACATTTTTACTGATAACGTGATTTGTTGCCAATGCCAATGTCAATTAAATGTTGCAGCCCTAAAGCAGTCCTAACAAGTGAACTAGGGTCTAACAAATTAATTAAGTTCCGAGGCTTTGCAACTCGAAGGGTGTCCAAACTTTTGCACATGCCACAATACTAATTTATCCCAAAAAAATTAATAAAAAAATAAAAAAATTAATAATAGCTGCATAGGTAGTTATACTTCTGCCTGAAGGATTCATACAGCAACTGCCCAGAGACTTCTATTATATTATATTTTCTTTTTTTAAATACACAAAAATGCTTTTGTGATCCATGGTATGATACGAATGCAGAAGATAGAGATTAGACTGAAAGCTAACTGGACTAGTCTGGTCAAACAGGTGAGCGTAGGGCCAAAGACTCGGTGGATAGTGTTAAGCATGAAGGAGTTGTGTTGGTAAGCATTGGACTGCCTGGGACTTCAAGACTTCTTTGAGCAGCTTGCTGGGAGTACTGGGAGAATGTCTTCTTTTTGGAGGAATGCCTCGTCTCTACCATTGTCACTTGTCAACTTTGTGTGTTGTTTATGTGCAAGTTAAGTGTCACTTATCTCGATTTACATGTTGATTTACAAATTTCTTTTTCTCGCCGATTAATTCAAACATGACAAGATCAGTGCTTATATTAACCATACAGATCACTGGAAATGCTCTCTTTGCTCTCTTTCGTCCTTTCATTAACAGACCTTCAGGTCATTCCATTGGTATCCACAGGATGGCAGTATAACAACAGATTTGCCTGACGGCCTTCAGTGTTGTGTAAACTGAAACTTGTGCTTCTGTCACAGATTCTCCAATCCAGTATTCGGCTTTTTTCCACGATGATGGCTACCTCGCCCTTCCTAAGCCAATGTTCCCACGCAGGTGAGTCAGCCCATGCCTGAAGTTGCATTTCTTTACTGGTCAGTCATAAGATACACAGTGCAGTGTATTGCGTTATGTCAATTTTGGTCACATTTCTTCTGGTTGTAAGTAACTGTGTGGTTGATTTCAGTTCTCCCGACTCTCCCGAGACCATCGAGCTGGAGATAAACACTCTCTCTCCAGATGGCCTCATTCTGTGGCAGGGAGTGGTAGGTTCTGGAACAGAAGTCTCTCTGTCCACTCTCACTGTACACACACGCTCAACATACAGTACTGTACAGAAGTGAGAGACCACCTTTCATGTATTTTATTTCCAGTCAAAACAGCCATTAAGTATTAAGTTATTCATTTTTTAGCATCTGAAAAAAGCAGAAAACACAGAAAATTGCACGGAAGCCTCCACTACTAAATATAATATCACATTTTCCTCTATTTTGTGTGTCCACCTTTTATGTTGATCACAGCCTCCATTCTTTTCAGGAGACTTGCTGACAGTTTTTTTCATAGCAGTCTGCAGGAATGATTTTCCACAACTCCAAAGTTCAGTCTTAGAAGGCTGAAGGGCTCAGTAAGAACTCAGTAAAGTTGAGGACTGGACTCTCGAGTGACCAGTCCAATGTTCTGAGAACATTGTCAATGCCCTTTTCTCAGTAAGGCCTTCCTGACAGCTACACATCCTTTCCGATCACAGTGTTGTCTTCTCACAGTGAAAGGATAGACAGAAACACCTGTGGATTTTCAGATCTGAAGCAAGAGTGGAGCTTGATTTCCTCCCCTCTCTCAAAGATGAAAGTACTGTTTGTCCAAGGGGTACAGTTTTGGTGGTCTGCCAGGTCTTGCATGGTTGTTAGGAGTCCAGTTGTCTTTATATATATTTTTTAAACTCAGTTTTGCTACTTTTTTCACTTCTTTTTGTATGACTTTCCCCTTCCTCCTCTCCTCAGAAATATCTCCTGAATAATAAATAACTTATTACTTTGGCTGGAAATTAAATACATAACGTGTGGATTTTTACACAGTAGCAGTCTGGTATGTACAGTCCCAGTCAAAAGTTTGGACACACTCTTATAGATGGATTTTGCTTTATTTTTACTATTTCCCACATTTTAGAATTATTATGAAGTGACTACAATCAGAAACTGGCTTTCTGCAATTTAAATTCACTTTACCTCCCAACATAGCTGACTCTTCATATTTATAGACCTGTAAAGTCAAACAAGAGATGTACATGGTGCACAGAGTACATGGAGGAGTTTCTTTTGCAGCTTCCAGTAATTTTCCTAGGAATGCTCCCTTATCTCTTTGAAAGGGACCTGACATGATATGTGCCTGTGATCACATGATCTATGCCTTGACTGACCTTTTTATAATCCCCCCTCCACCCGTATTTCAGCAGCCTGTGACACATTGAGCTGTTCACTTTTTCCCACTGACTCTAACTTCTGCATTTGGATGATTTATAACCATGTTGAAGATAATCTTGTTTGGAAGCAGCGTGCTGCAGACCACTGTCGTGTCACACGGCCCGGCCGCTCAGCACCAGAGGCAACGAGCGCGCATTTAAAGCGGTAGTATGGTGAAAAATTTAATTTACAGATTTCACCCCATCACAAATATAGTCCATCAGCCAAGATGTGTTTGGTGTCTTAAGTTCTTTAGTTTTGATCGGAAACTAAAATGCTAGTGTTGCTAACAAGTAATGGCAGCTTATTACTACCATTTAGCACTGTGTAAACTGCATGTTGGAATAAACAGACACTTTAAACCATGTTAAGTAACACTATATGACACTGCTATAAGAATTTACACAATTTTATAGATAACGTCATACGGTGTCAAAAACTACGTCAGATCTGTTTGAAACTAAAAGAAAATATGAATTTGATATTCTTTCTGTACCCTGATGGATTTCAGAGTGAACCACAATAGTAGGGAGGCTCTCAAGCCAGCTCTGTGTTTAGTCTAGTTATAAGGGAGGTGACGCATATTAATATTATTTTACTCTGCCCACTGGTGTGTGGTGATGTAATCAAAATTCAGAAGACATTAAGTGGTAATAGTGTTCTTTATAATAAAGAGAACAAATTGATATTTTACTCAGAAGTTTTCAAAAGTGAAACTTGAAATTTATTTGTTTACTTAGTAAAACTTTAGAAACTGGTTTCCCATTTTTTTTTAAAGCTGCACTACATAAGATTGTTGTTCTGTTCATACAATTTCAGTTTTCAGAAGAGAAAATTGTCAACTTCAAATTCATTTGTTAATTGACTTTTAAAAGTGAGGAAACTTTCTTTTTTAAAGTAAATCAGCATGTCACAGTTTACAGTGCTATGTTTTGATCACAGATTATGGCAGCACAAGACATTTGTCATTTAAAAGATGTGAATCTTGCTTAATATGACCAGAGACATGAACTAACAAGGTAAAAAAAAAAGTCAGTTTTGATTACAGGATGCCATTAGGGGCAGGTGTGTGTTGATTTAGGTGTGCGATTTACATGATGATAATTGTTGTTCATGGGCTTCTGTTACTTGTAGCTCTAAAGAAATAAGCTCCGGACACCAAACATGTCTTGTAATTGGGAGAAATTCTGCAAATCTAATTGCTTTCTCCAAACTATCGCTTTAAAATGCATGGCATTGTGAGAGTGAATGCACTGCATGTTGCCTGGTTTGCTCTGCCACACTAACCCCCCCCCAACCCCACTCCCACCATCCTCCTCAGGAGCCTGCAGCCGCCCTGAGCCTCCGCAAGCTGCATGCTAGCAAAAAGGTGGCCGCTCTCCGCAAGCGGGCACACACTCAAGTATGTTTGCCTTGTTATGATAACTGAATTTTTGAGATGTTTGTTTTTGCTACACTGAAAAAAATGGTTAATAATGGGAATGTAGTGGAAATAAATCCCCCTATATTTACCATTTTAACAGATTCTGTTCATCCTGGCAAAAAAGCAATCAGCAAAAAATAAGAGATACCCTGCATTTCATTTGATCACTTAAATTCATTTGCATGTTTTATGCATGTTCATGTTGCCTGTCAAGGACATTTAGTCAAAACTGGATCATTTTGCACTTCCACTGAAATGACCATCTGCTTTTGCATATTCAAACAACTTTCATTTCCAATAACTTTTCAGTTATTCCTGGTTGTGAAAGTTTTAAGACAGTCAACTGTAAAACTAGCTTTAATGCAAAAAGTGATATCTTGGCAAGTAACATGATGTAGAAATGTAGTCAATTTGCCTACTTTTTCTCATTATAAGATGCAATACTCTGCCTATTTTTATATTATTTTTAGTTGTTCAGTTAAGTTTTTTTTATATAGTGAAATGTATCCATTTGCAGGTAATTTAATTATAATTGCCTGAATTTTTCTTAAAGCAAGCTAAATTATCTGTATTATTTCTGGAATCAAGCAAAATTAGCTGTATTTTGTCTTAAAACAAGCAAAATCTTCTGCATTGTTTCTGGAAACAAGCAAAATGGTCTGCATTGTTTCTTGAAACAGGCAACATTTACCTGTATTATTGTTTAAAATAAGGAAAATTGTCTGAATTATTTCTTAAAACAAAAGAAAACAAGTGAAATTATGTGCGTTATTTCTTAAAAGAAGCAAGATCATTTGTTACTAGTAACAATAGTTAGAAATAGGTTGAATCATCTTAATGTAATATTAACAATCTTGTAATGACAAACAGATATATTGACCACATTTAGGATGATTTCACTTCCCAAAATATCACTTTTTGCCCTAAGTACATCATTTAATTCATATGTTTAGTAACATTCTCATTGTAGCCCCTTTATTTATAATATGTTCATATTTTGAATAGGAAGAATAGTTATGGAATAGTTTCTTTAAGTAATTGCCACAGACTCAAATTCAGTGCAGCCTGCAGCCTGTGTTCATGTCAAGGGCACATCTGGAGATATGAGATAAAAGGTTTGACTGTCCCCTGTAATACTCTTTGTAGGAACTTGGAGATCAAGGAAAGGGCAAAGACTTCATAAGTCTGGGTTTACAGAGTGGACACATAGTGTTCAGGTAAGAGGCTGAATCATTTTCTCAATCATATTTGAGAGAAGTAGTATTTCACACACTTACCCCAACTTGATAGACTAAAAGATAGATGGAGAAGTACAACATAGAGACAGGAGTGTCTGTCATTTTTTTCTTTCGGCTGAAAACCAAAAGTGCCTTTTTTGATCTAAATGTTTCAGTGCTTATTATTATACTGTTATGATAATTGTAATAAAAAGTTAACAGTTTAGAATCCATACTTTAACAAGAACTTCTCCACTTGTTTCAATGAGCTATGAGTGAGACGTCATATAAAATTACCACATTAATTTGGTGATTTGTTAAGTCTTTTAAAATAAACTATAGTTCAGTCTAACTTCTGTGTCTATTTTTTCGTTTATTTGTATAACATAGCTATTATTTAAACCTGATCACTCCATTTTTCCTAACAGTTACCAGCTGGGCAGCGGAGAGGCTCAGATCCTCTCCAGAGAGCGTATCAATGACGGCCAGTGGCACAAAATCACTGCAGTCAGGTACAACATGGTCCCACATCACTTACTGTAGTTATGACAATAAAATCCTTTAATTCGGGAAGGTAAACTTTTCCCGAAATAAGATTTTGGGCTAATTATCTTCATTATTATATTTTTTTATGATGGCATTGTGCTTACTCATGCTTTACAGGACCTTTAATGGGGTTTGAGCCTTATTTGAGTTCCAGTGGTTTGAGTGGTTTGTGATTTGGTAAAAATGACAGTTAAAGACTGTTTATGATAAGTAATGTCAGATGTATATTACAAATATGTATGGTTTGTGTGGTGAACAGGACAGGCAAACAAGGCTATGTCCAGGTAGATGATGGGACAGCCCGACGTGGACAGTCACAAGGCAAGAGCATCATGGTGAACACCAAAGGCAACATATACTTGGGTATGTTTTACTTTGTAGGATAAATGTCCTTCACATCCTTTGCTCTTTCAGTTAGCCGATCCCATTTTAGACTTATTTTATAATAATAATAATCATAAGAAGAAGAATGATACTAGTAGTAGTAGTAATGGTGATAGAATTAATTTGTATAGTAGCTTTCATAAAGAGAAATGCAGCTCAATGTGTTTGACAGATGCAAAAAGAACAAACATAAATAAGAAGAACAATGAAACAAACAGGCAGAAACAACTTGAAACTTAAATACAACAATTATGAATGTATTAACACAACATTACACAACACAACATGTAATTTGATCAGGGTATTTAAACTTGGGAGTAAAGGAGTAAAGAAAGCTCCAGTTTCACATGCGGATATATTTTACTGGACAGCGGCCTAGCAACACCATAGTGCCACCTGGAATACAATAGCAACGACCTTAGCAACCACCTGGGATACCATAGCAGTATCCCAAAAATACTTCAACAGCCATTTGGGATACCTAATTAACATACTAGCAACTATAAAAAGCCAGTTAATAATTTACACAATTTGGACCTGCATAGCAGATTCAGATGGACTTAATGAATTTTAAATTGGGACATCACCAAAGTCTCTAAATGTGTCGAAGAGAAACATTTAAGAAACATTTAAGCACTCAGTTGGTCTCCTGATACGTTTCATCTGCAGCGAGAAACTGTCAAAAAAACACTAAAAAGTCGCAAAGCTAAAATCAGCTTCTCGCTCGCCAGCTTTTTGTTCAAATTCTCCCGTTCCACCTTAAACGGTGCAGCGGTGACACTCTAGCGCCTCAGGCACTATTTAAGGTAGAACGGGAAAATTTGAACAAGAAGGTAGCGAATGAGAAGCGACTTCAGCCTCGTAAAAAGTTGAACATTGAGAGACATTTTACAAGAAACTATTCCACTTCTGAGGAAATGTTTCCTACCAGAGATGTGGGAATAGCAGCTATACCTGAGCAAAGCCTAAAGTAGAGCAAAGTGAGTCTGCGCTTTGGTTCATGTTATATTTTTTAGCCTATGCTTGTAACTAAGATGGTAAAATGAACATAAAATCTTGTGGCTCTCAGGGTGGTGTGATTGTTGTTAAAAGAACAAAATGGCTCTTTTTAACATTTGGGTTGTCGCCCTCTGCCCCAGCTCTAAGCAGTCTGTATGTTTGTGTGTCTCTGCAGGAGGAGCTCCGGACATGACAGTGCTGACAGGAGGGAAGTTCTCCTCGGGCATCACGGGCTGCGTGAAGAACCTGTCTCTGATGAACGCTCGGCCAGGAGATCAGCCGGCGCGGCCCATCGACCTGCAGGTCCACGCTGAGGAGGGAGTCAATGTGCGGCGCTGCGCGTCATAATCAACAACACTAAAACAGCACCCAGAGACTGATGACACACACACTCTCACCGTGAACGAGACACGTTCTCAAACGCTTACAGGACAACACACACGCGCACGCACACATTCACACTCGCTGACGTATTTTCTTGGTGCCTTGCTGCTACCAAAAACCAAACCCCAAACACAAAACCACGAAAAGGATTCTTTTACTCTGTGTTGCATTAAACCAAAAAACAAAAAAAACAAGAAAAAAAAAAGAAATGCTATTAATTAACAAGTCTTCACTTTCTCAGTGTTGTATTCTCAATGAAGGACGATTAACACGGGATATCCAGTTCAGTTTACATAGTCCTGCAGTAGCTTTTTTAACCGTGAGAAAAGAGAAAAAAAATATATATATGGAAAAAAATCAGCGATGGGTCAGATCCTATGGAGTCGGAGATGTTTTTACAGCACTGAATTTTTATTTATATACATATGAATATATGAATCTATATTATATATTTGTGGGGGGGGATACATGCAAATTAACCATTAGCCTGCTCCTCTTTGTCTTAGAGTCAACACTAGGTCCTTAATAATAATTAATGTGTGTCTGAGGCTTCGTGGGCCGAGCTGTGTTAATACTTGAAGACTCTGCGGCCTTTTTTTTCCTTTCTTTCTCTGTGGCGGCCAGTGGGGGGCGAGCATGCTTAGAGGAAACGCAGGGAAAGGGGTTTCTGTACACTGGGAAAAGGTCTTAGCACCAAAAAGGCATCACGAACATAGATATACGTATTAGAGACCAAGATAGCTGATGACACCTTTGTCATTATTGCCTACTCCTGCACTGTGCTGTAAAATTAAAATGATGTCAACATGTTCTGAAATAAATTACCAAAAAGTCTACAGTGCTCAGTTTAAAGGTGGTGGCAAGACTTGTAAGAGTTTTACATTATTGTTTAAAAGTTACGAGACTTAATATAGCCTAAACTAGGCTAACGTTACCTCATCCTTTATTTCATTGAGTAACTGACTTAATAAAGTTAGATATGTTGGATTTTACCAAAGCTCTAGAAGACGTTTCTACATAAAGGGGCATTCCGGCCTAAAACTAGCGGTAAACATATTATTTGTCATGTTGCGCAGGATTGTGTAGTTCAGTATCGTATCCCTCAGCCTCATCGGTTTAACAGAATTTGTTCCTGTTTTAGTTCATCTGTGTTCTCTCATTAAAATACACTACGCAAATACGTCATACAACAATTGGGAATCCCTGTGGTGTCACCCAATCGCTTCTCCTAGCCACTGATCTGTAGGCTACTAAAATACAATCAAGCTAGCATTAGTGTAACTCTTACCTCGTTCACAATGCCTGTGGAGTGAAATAAGTGGAAAACAAACCAAATGTCAGGTAAGGTATCTACATAGCTTGGTAGCCACCTTGCTAACTATAGCTTTTAGCTTCTTGTGCTCCTGATCTGATGAGCCATTTCTGTTATTCATTCATTACAATGAGCGTGTTTACATGCACTTGAGTAATCAGATAATGGGGAAACTCCAGGTGTACACGAGTCTGCCTTTGCAACGAGCCAATAAACTCACAGAAGTAGACGTGACGTAAACATAATGTAAAACTCTTTTTTAAAAAACATCACACCACTTTACCTGAAAATATGAACATACATCATCTAGAAGATGAAGAATATCCATCATTTCGTCAAGAATGTATTTTGTTAGTGTCGTTCCAAAAGTGTTTTGCTGCCATCTCATGACAACGCTGCTTGCTTATTTCCGGTACCGCTGTCCGTTGCGTACATGCGCAGACTCAGAAATCAGAAAGAAATCAGAGTAAGAGTACACACGCACTGAGGAATCTGATTATCCAGCTCTCTTTATCAGATTTCTTATTAGGATTTCTAGACTTTACTCCGATATAAGAAATCGAAGTATGCTGTTTACATGACCGTTTAAATAATCAGATAACTGCAGAAATCCGAGAAAGATTGGATTATTGAGTGCATGTAAACTGGAACCGTTATCACAGTTACACCATTGCAATAACATATTCAGCTTCCTAGTAGTGATTTTATGTATCTGTCTTTCTTCTGCATTCAACATTTAGAAAAAAACACGAAAATTAAAAGAGCACGCCTGCAAAAATTCACCAGAGAGCGCTTGTAGTTTTGCAAAAGTTCATCCCACCTTCAAGATACATCATCAGAAGGGGGTTTTCGTGGCCAGAAATATTTCACTCTAGAGATTGAGATGAGGTGAATAGGCATGTTTACAACCTACAGATGTAGCGATGATCACATTTTTCATTTTGGCCGGAGTGTCTCTTAAATTTATGTCTTTTCCTAGCCTTTTAGTTTTGAGTACCAAATTTCACACATTTAAATGATTCCCAAATACACATGATCAAATCATAAGCGTTAATTATGGATTCAGATGGTAAAATGTTTTGTTTGTGTCAACTGTAGAAAACATGAAACCGTTACGTATCTTAAAGTAGTGTGACTTATGTCGGCTATCAGGGTCTATAATGTGTAAATCTATGAACAAGACACATCTCAGGTGAAGATAACAAACAAACACTAAAGCATTGGAGACCGAGACGAGAAACCTTTGGGAGACTTTTTATATGGAGTTTATATTTTAAAAAAAGAGAGAAATCACAAACCTTCCATGCATGGTAACCTCTTTGTGTCTGGTTTATAAAACAAAAAGAAACAATGGTGCTAAATTCAGACATGATGAAAACACTACAAGCACATACTCACCTGTTCTGTCTTCTGCCGATGACTTTCCCTAGATGTGTCTCACGTTAACGTGTGTATTGTAAGTAGTAACATCCACAACTTTGCAATAAAACTATTTTTGCTTACTGCCAACCCACAGTTGAAGTACCGAAACAGTATTTTTTTCTGGGAGTCGTAAGGGAGTTTTAGTCTTGAGTGTGGACTGGAATGTTTTAGTGTAAATGTTACAGAACTCTAAACGCTAAATGTGTTTAGTTTAGTGTAAACTTTTTCACCTCCAGGATCGAACTTCATTGAGTAGATCTCATGTCTCAGATGAGGTGTTGATAATAGACTTATCACATATTTTGAAGGGCTCATTTCTTACTTTTCTTATTTGTCTCAGTAACATTTTAGAAAAGCTTGCTTATTTCTTTTACTTCTGAAAAATCCGTATTTTTATCACGCTGACGGTTTGTGTATCTGTTTGTTGTTTGTGCCAAAAAGTTGTCATTTTTAAAAAAAAACCTAAGAGTCGTGCAGGAGTCTTAAACTCTTGACCCACCTCAGAATAAAACTGAATGATGTCGGTGTATGTCTGTATGCCTGTGTGTCTGTTTGTCCAGCCATGTTGTCTGTCCATCTGTGTGTGGTGTGTATTGTCATACATTGTGTGTGTGAGCCATCATTTAAATCCTCAGGAGGATCGGAGGCGAACTGTCTCAATGGTCCGCCTTTGCATTCAGGTTCATTCGCTTTCACGAACGGGACAGGATTGGAACTTTTATTCATAGGGTTTGGTGAGAATGACGATGATGGCAGTGGGTTTGGCCCAGTGGTTCCCGATCCTAGTCCGCTTTTTAAAGCTGTTAACACCACCTTGTTGACTTGCCCTCGCTGATTCCACTAATTCCACCATTACTGCATTAGTTCAAGTGAAGCTGGTTAGATGACCACTTAGAAAGGAGAAGAATCAAATTAACACAATTGTAGACTTTAGCACTTTGCTTTTCAAAACAGGAAAAACTGTTGAATAAAGCTGTTTATACAGTCGCCTGCCAAAGTTTTGACGCTCCTGCTCAAATGACGTGTTGATTTTCTAAGTGAAATAAAAATCACTTAAATCACTTAAAATGTCATTTGACCAGAGCGTGCAAACTGTTGGTCAAGACTGATCAATGAAGCAACTTTACTTACTATTTTTAAAGTATAACATTCAGTTGTTACAGTCAAACTTGGCTGAACTGATTCTGATGTGACTTTGTTACTTTACTAGTTAGCTGGTTAGTAAGCTAACTAGCTGCACAGTTAGCAACAACAAGAAAAAGGCTTTAAGGCCTCGCTAGACTTCTTGCGGAAGCGACAGTCGCTTGGCTTCTGCAACCAAAATGGAGAAAACGAACATCTGCAGACATCAAGCGGAGACTTCGGTCATCACGTCATGCACGCAGGCAGCTGGTCGAACTTCGAACACACTAAAGACAAAGCCTGTGATTGGTCAGTGCGAACGAGGCATCGTTCAAAGATGAATCAGCTTAAACAAAACTGTTCGCAAAGGTGGTTTCAGCGATTTTTCAGGAGTTTCGTTTTGCTGAAAGTATACCGAGCCAGAAAAGCTATTTACAAAGTAAGTGTGCATTACGCACAAACGTCTAACTTCTCAATTTGTATAACAAAATTTGCTTAGCTAGCTAAATAGCATGCGAGTTCCTAATGGGTTGTCCTCTTTTACCCTTGTCTCACAAGTGGCCACTTAATGTAAATACAAACATTGACATTTAAGCCATGTCTCAAAGCTAAGCATGCAGTGGAGGAAGGGTACGTTTCTTGGATGTTGTGTCACTGTCTCGTTTTGTAGGATCCTGAAAATACGACCAAGAAATGCATCCTTCATTTCGGAGAAATCTCAGGATTCAACTGGTGTATCCTCTCAGACCTTCAGTCACCCACAATTTGAAAAATGGTGGAAACAGCCACGAGTGACAAAATGCAGTGGCACCAGACTTTGCAATAACATGTCAATTTGCTACCGTCAGTAAACTATTCATATCAGTACAGCCACTGGAGAGGAGGCTTTGTACACCAGTGCTAGGAGCGTCTCTCCTACCTCTAAAACTCCTGGTCCAACTAATTAGCTAATTAGTAAACCCAATACAGGTTGTAGGCAAGGAACGCAGTAAAATGCGCAGGGCAGGGCTGCTCTAGGACCACGACGAGGAACCACTGGTTTGGCCTGATGAAGGGTGAAAGGGCAGGCATGCAGTAAAGGTTTAGAAAGCACATGTTTGAATGGTTTGTCAAGTACAGCCACAACCCCTCTCCTGTTACCATGAGCACCTGGGGCTCTTTGGAGCATGCTCGCCCTCATGGGTCAAACATCACATGGCCCCACACAACCTTTTGCACCTGTCTGTATGTGAAAAACTTGTGTGTTACCTACTTAAAACCCATCAGCATCAACCACTTGGCTTAATGTGGCTGCATTTTTATTTATTTACTTACCCACTTTGTGCTTCTCTGATTTTTGAGGCCTGGACGTGGCTGTTCAGTTCTGCTTGTAAGTGTGCCACACCTCCCGCAGCCTTTTCTGTGTTTCTTTTCTTTCCTTTTTGTTTGGTTTTTGATATCGTTCTTCCAAAAGTGCAAATCAAATCTAGTTGTGCTACAGTAGGGCTTCCCAGCCCCCTCCTCCTCTTCCGTTTGCTAGGAATGGTGTGTTTTTGTTAGACCAGTGGTTACAGACTGGGATACCTGACCGCTTGAAGGCGGCTGTGAGCTGTTCATGTTATACCAACCCCGATGCCTATAGGTTTTGTTTTTTTTCTTTTCTGAAATATGAGTAAAAAAGTTCTAATGTCCACACATGACTCTGCTTGTCTCCTTTCATTTGCTTTCATGTGCCTCACTGGCTTTATGCACATATTGAGGGAGTGACTCCCTGCTCGCATCACAGTTAATCAAAATGGTGTAATAAATGTATAATTTAGGCCTAATTCTAACAAAAATGATCAAAAAGTGGTTTTCTTATAAAAAAAAAAATGATGAAGAACACATATTAAATAATAAATAATTCAATGCCTTTTGTTAATAACCTCTTTCCCACACATGGGCTATACTTGGGCAGCCCCCCAAAGTATGCTGACACAAGTATGTTTTGTCCCATTTTAACAAATTCCAAAGGTTTTAAGATTTTTAATAAACAAGGTCACACTTTACATGACATGAGACAGAATATCAGCTGTTTGTGTTCCAACATTTGTTTAGTTTAAATGTTTATGCTCTATATATATATATATATATATATATATATATATATATTACAGCATAACACATTTTTATTGTAAATCATACATTCCTAATTAAATACCCAATTAAGTAAAGAGAATACTTAGATGAGATGAGATCTCCTGCTGGTGTGGGTTCATGTAGGTTTACAGCAACTACTTCAACATGTATCCACCCAGGCATCACAGACAGCCATCATGCATGATGACCACCCTTTATTCCACCACGTTTCCGCAGTATTCCATCCTCTGACTCTGTCACCAGCCTTTACTAACATACACTCAATGTCTAATGGAAACATCTATTTACTTCCACTCACTGGCCACTTTATTAGAAACACTTACCTTTTACTTCTACTGACTGGCCACTTTATTGGAAACAGCTGGCTTCATGCAGGCTCTCCACTATAGGTGTACAATTACAGACTATAGCCCATCTTGGCAGCCACAGTAGCTGGCTAGTGCAGTATCTTACCTCTGTTTTGGTCAAGGCTCTTTATTGCACACCTAGCAGTGGACGGTTTATGTAATTAGCACTTCAAGTAGTATTGGTAATGTCAACTATTTATCTACCAAGTTTATTAATCACACTAATATTACAATAATTAATTAATTACAAGCAATATCTCTGGGATGAATTTATTCAGGGAGAACCAGCTTTAAGCGGCTTCTTAGGGCCTTGCGGCCAAGGAGGGGCCGTATACGTACTTTTAGGTAATTACTGTAAGTTACCATTATGTTGTCTAATAAGACGCTGGGTTAAAGAGAACATAGAGACTGGTTAATCATGTCTTAAATAGACAACAAGAAGTCAGTGTGGACAATGCTGAGACACTATTAGGGTTATCTCTTATCTCTAGTACCCTGTTAACATTAAATCGTGCACAACACCTCAAGTGGCAGTTATTTTTTTATTTATTTAGACCATTTGTGCAATTCATGGTTATTAGTTAGCCCTAAATTTTACACTACATCAGCTAGCAAGCAAATGGTTTGTTAATAACAAAGTTAGGATTTTTAGGAACGTTTATTTAAGACTGTATAAGATTTATATGTATAAATATTTGGATTATGTTAAGACGGATCCTTATTCACACAATAATTCAGCAAATCTTTTCCATATTAAACACACACAAATTAGGCTGAAAATAAATCAACATGCCGTGACAGTTTACAGTCAAGGTTCATCAAGTTAATAACACTGATAACTCGAAACGATAGCTTGAGGCCTCAGCGGAAAAATTATTCTCTTCACTTTTATTTTTTAACTGTTTACAAGCTAGGCACATGGGGGGCCCCCCCTCAAAAAACTGCTTAGGGCCCCCAAAATGCTAGAGTGGGCCCTGTATTCAGGTTTTACTCATCTTATCTAAAAGCTGTGTATTTTTGAATATGGAGCTTTGCAGTAAAACCGTCACTACATTAAGTGGGCTCCTCATCCGCTGCATTGCTCCTGCAGAATGTCAGCCTGCAGTTAAAACGACGATGAAGAAGTCTTGTGTAGAGTTTCATAACTTGATAAATGGCATCATCCTCTCCAGACCAAACAAAGAAGCAGCTCAGTGCAAATGGAATAAGGCTCTGTTCCTGTGGCTTTAATGGTATTATTCTTGTTTTGAAGAGAGAGAAGCACAATGTGAAGTGTTTGCTTTTTCTCATACAGCAGGCTGTGTTTAGCATTGCACAGCCCAGTGCTGTGGTGAGCAACATTAAGCAAATGGAAACCCAAAAGGAAACGAAGACTACAGGATTCAGAACCTTCTTCTGAATCCGCACTCCGGACTGATCACACCTCTAGCCGCTTTTGGTCAGTTGGGCCTTTCCGATGACTTACGTTTTCTCCTGCAACTTTTACAAGATAAACCTTGAGAGGCCTGGAGAACTCGGGGAATAAATTACTGATATGAGAACAAAGTTGTTTAGAGTTAGATGTGAAACAGTGGTGGTGATAGGAACCAGACGTCATGATGGCTAATGCAAATATAGCCATTTTACTCACAGACTAAAATGAGTCTACATTTGTTTTTATGAATTGGAATAAGACTACAATTATAAAGGGTTTATGAATCGTTTAAAATTTATTAATGGTTATTAGGGCAGCAGAGACTGTTTGCCTAATAGTAAACCCACATTCATTTATACAGTTAAACCACAAATTTAACTGGTTACTTATCTTACTTTGTCTTTTTCATAAGTTGGCATTAAACTCAGCTTCATCAGATTTTCATATTTATCAGATATAACAGAGCACATTTGCTCTTTTTATTAATGTGTTATAACGTTTATTAATGAGTTTAAGGTGTTTGTGAACTAATTAATAACCATAAATTAAACCAATCATAAACGTTTGTAAGGGTAGTCATATTCTAAAGTGGTATGCTGAATTTTTAGATGTAATGTGGATAATCCCTGCTGAAACAGGCCATTACAACCTAATGGTTTTACTTTCTAAAAGGAATTGGCTTAACGCTTTCCATTAGAGAGCACTGGTTTCCTGTAGGACACCTTTAGAACCCATTCGGAAACCATCAAATGCATCTGGAACATTATTAGGATCCTTTACACTGTGATATCATGATGTGATGTCATCAGAAAAACAGAATACCATTAATGACTATTGGACACCACCAGGAACCAGCAAAAGCCTTTAATAGTTTCTAGGATTTTTCCAGCAGGAACGGTTAACAAACAGACTATTTAGCCTCACAACACCTTACATGTGCTGCTCTGCCAAGAACACATTTTTAAAATAGTGTTTTAAGCCAAAAGCTGATCTCAAAACTATTGTAAAACAGTGCTTCAGGCATCATGCAGCTTATCCGTAACCACATGGGAGCTTGACTCTTAATGAAAACACACTGTACTCCATTGCTCAGAGCACAGAGCTGCACCACCATCTGCTGGTGAAAAACCCCTTTGAGAATTAGATCAAATCACTGAGGCAGCAGACTCCTGAACTTTGCCTTGTGATGTTTTCAACACAGACTTTCAGAAACATTTCTTGCTATAAACACTATATATGTTCACTTAAAGCCCCCAAGTTACACCACCATAACGTAGTTTGTTTGTTTTTTTATTTTGTTTTGTTTTTGATAATTTTGCTTTGCAAAATATTAAATAAATAATTAAATAAATAAATACACACATAAGTGAAAATCAAGAAAGAATGAAAAGAGTTTTAATTTAAGGGTGTTTCTGCACTTACAAGCATTTTTGGCTGTTCAAATGTTTAGACCTCATATGCAAAATCAACATTATACTGATGAAGATGAGATGACAGTAGTATATCGTTCACTTACATCCTCTGAAGATTTTTAATGAATGTGAGAAAAATTCCAAAAGAAAGAATGTATGATATGGAGACCTCTCGGGTGGAAATGTGTAACTGCACACAATGTGCAATGTCATTTACATTAAATATTTAGTTGTTTAAAGAAGAATCATTTAAGCTCTTTTAAAGTTTATCACATTGGAAAAAAATAAAACATGAAATACAAAATGCACCATAACTTTTGCAAAGGCCACATTTTATGTTTCTTTTTTTCCAATATGTCAAATTCAGCAAATACACAGTAATTGTGGTGCATTCAACTGTACAGAAGTGTGTCTCTGTAGAGGACATGTAACTTATTTCAACTTAGAAAATCAACAAAACATGTCATTTGACCAAGGGTGCCCAAAATTGCATCCAACTGTAATTAATGCAAATCAGCTTAATATCTATATAGAGGCTAAATTTACTACATGTACTAGTTAGACATGTTATTTTGGATTGGGGAGTTAGGGGTGTCCAGAAACATCTTGATCGAGCACATAGCAATGGAAGCAAGGCTGGCTTTGCACAGTGAAACTTTCATGCAACTAGTTGCATGTTGTGAGTTGCATGCAACATAGTTTCTATGCAACTTGATAGTTACATGAAGCAAGTTGCGTACAACATATTCCATTACTTCACTAGTTAGCCAATTTAGCAGCTTGAGGTTTTGATACACCAAATCATTCTCATTATATAAAGTCACCTGTTCAGTGTTATTTACATATTTGCAGCATTTTTATGGTCTTTACATAATTTTTCCAGCTGTCACTGCTTATATATGTCTTTTATCTATCTATCTATGATTCTTTGCTATATATTTGTTTTGTGTGTGTTAAGCCTTTGAAAATAAGTGTTTAAGTAAACATTACTTGATGTTTTAAACAGGTGTTGGTATTAGTTGACTAGTTAACACAGCTGATTAGAGAAACTGTAGCTTGGAGAAACTTCAAAGCTCAGGAAACTGACAAATGAAAAACTGCCAGTCTTGCTTTAAGTCATTCAGGAAGTCTCCCTTTCAACCGGCCAATATTTTCTTGTCTACTAAAGTGGTGAAATCGATCGTCTGAAATTTGTTGTTATACATGATCACGCAATGCGTTATTGCAATTTTGATTGGCTGTTTCATGAAACTGTTTCACAAAGTTGAGACCCTTGCAGCTGTTGCTTTCAGCTGTGAGTTTCAAAAGAGGTACAGGATGCTTTATTCCATATAGCTTTCAAGCCACTAAAGTTGTGTTAAAGTTTCACTGTGTAAAGCCAAT